CCATTTCTAATAAGCAACTTCAATGATTGTGGATCAATGATGTTGCATTGCTCCCAGTCCCATCTACCCCTATTGTACTTTTAACTTTTGGAAACTTGAAGAAGAAAAAAAGAATAAACTAGAAGCAGTAGATAAACCACCATAAAAAAAGTTATTACAAGGAGCTTCCTTCCTCTAGTACATTGCTCTTGTTTTCAAAACTCTTTTATGTTCAACAACTTTTGAATACAATGGATATCTCTAGGCTATAGCTTTCTGCACTTCTTTCCCTCTCCATCTCGATTATGTATACGACTATATGAACCAAAAAGATGAGGAAAATTAAGCAAATAATCATACAAGCTTAGAAACATAGGACCTAAGGTTCTTTATATATTTTATATTTTTATTCTAAAACAGTGTCAATTCCCCACATTGGACGGCACTTTGAAAAACCATGTTCTAAGGTTGTATCATTTGATCATTCATTTTGATTGATAGGGACGTAAAGTTCAGGGGAGTCGACTGGCCATGTGTTAGTAAAATAGTCAAGAGCATATTTGGTTGGGCAAATGGGTTATCTTGACAAGATTGAAGCACCCTACAGTTCATTTCATGTTTCCTCTTATTCAATTATTTGATAATATACTTTAACTTAATAAGATTTTATCTCGAAATAGTCGGTTTAATTAGTAACGCAACACCTACTTTTAAGTTATAGATTATTGTGGTTTCGATGCGAGATTATGCTCATCTCCATCCATGATTTGTATCCAGCCACACAATCCAAACACTCAAAACAAAATAAGGTACAATCACACTACATGCCATACAAAATTTGGAATTTGTTTTGATAAACGTAGTAATACTCTTTTCTTTTCTTTAAAGTTGGTTCGTTTAATATAAGATATGTTATTTGCATTTCAAAATTAGTCTGTTGCACTCGATCTTCCAATCATGAACGAATTGAGATGAACTTTTGATAACCAAATTCCAACTGGGTTTGAGCAACCTTCCATCATCGCTAGTTGGCCACTTTAACCTGTTCATTGTGCTCACTAGGAAGTGTATGATTAAACTACAAGAAAAAAAATAATACTAGCACTACATAATTATAATATATTAAATTCTAGATCAAGATTCAAGTATGATGTATGATATAATTTTTTATTTTATTTTTTATATGTATATTTAAAATAGAATTCATAAAAAGGAAAGACAGGTCACTGCACCCAAAAAAAAATGCCACATGGTGTCTCATTAGGATTTTTATAAATAATTTCCTATAAATAATTTCATGCATGGAATCATCTTTTTTTCTTCTTCTTCTTTTTTTATGCATAAAATTTTATAAATCTGACATGGAATGGAATCACCTTTCAAGATGAATAATGATGTATGACACTCAAATTATACATAATCACATAATTTACATTACTAAATCGGGATTACTGTGCATGGTCAGCATGGGTATTTTATTAGGCCAATGTCTTGGCCTTATACTTTATAGTTTCCGTCTTAGACCAACCCTTCCGCACGTGCACTCGTGGGTTGGAATTTGAATATTCCAAATCAAAGAGCTTTTGGTCCTTGAGAAGAAAAGGTATAACCAATTTGTTTAATTAAGTTGCTATCCTTGAAAACAAAGAAAAATATTGGTATTATCTATTCAGAATCGTCGTCTCGAAGTAACATATTTTTCCTAATAATTTGATATGTTATGTCGTTAGATTATTAGATTAGACTATTATTTCAATTTACACATAGCCTGATAATGTAACTAACGTGTAACGACTTTCTCCTACCATACTTTGTTAGCGTTGGGATTCTTGTTCAGATTTGGAGCACATAAAATGGGTTGGGAAAGACAAGGAAAATGATGGGAAAGAGGGTCTAGGTGGCTTGTGGTGAAGCCAATTGGAGAACAATGCGTTCAAGTCCAAGGAAGGTTGCTTCTGGATTTCTCTGGGAAAACTCCAATACAGATATATCCAAGTATTGACCCGGTTGAACACGTCTGCTTGACACTATTTTATGTGGAAGAAAGAAGAAGAAGGAGGTCAATGCATGATTGTGACTTTTATGAAATCGTCTTCGACATATAATTTTTTTCTCTCTCTCAATCCTTAAAACCCTAGAAATACAAAGGGAGACCAAACACCGTTTTGCTTAATTATTTCAAAAGTCTACAAATTAGACTCAATGATTTGACCAAAATGCCCATGTTTTGAAGCGATTTTACTCATACAAAAATAAATATAATTTATATTATATAATATTTGGGTTTTGGCTCCCACAGTGACAGAGTCTTGCCTTTTATAGTAGTCTCTGTGAGCAGTTTCTTTTTGATGCAGAATCAGAATGATTAATTATGAGATTATTATATTTGATTTTTTTTATAGTATTCTCAACTAGACCACAACTTTTCACCTCCCAATTCCAATTAGGTACAACCAAAATTTTGCAAAATTTTATTCCTCTTCTTCCCCTTGGAAAAGGGTATTGCTTGTTACAGCATATCCAGCACGCATATGCAATGCAAGCATTTATAGTAAGGAATTATAAACATTCTGATGGAAACTTTTGTCTTGGGGGGGTTTTGAATTTAAAAAGAAAAAAAAACCCAAAAAAAGAAGATTCTTCTAAGTGAAGAAAGATTATTAGATGGAAAACAGATTTTTAGGAAAGGATTAAAAGGAAAACTTGGGGAAATTTTTATATGTTTCGGGTACATCAGATGTGCACATAGGACATGTGAAATTATTCTCTAACTTACTGCATTGCTTTTTATGACATGTGGTTGGTTGTATTTTAAACATTCCACAGATCCTATGTCTATTGGACGGTGCACTAACCACGCGATGTAATCAAAAGTTACTTGAAAACAAGACATAAAAAGAAAATTTAAGCTTTAGACTCTATTTACATTTGATAGTAAACAAAAGTTACACAACACAAAAACTACCCTCTTGAAGTTTCAACCACCACACACTTTTGGAAATGAAATCCAAGTCCTCCTGATATTCGAGAGGGACATAACATTCAAAATAGAAGCATCACATATGCTCCCTTAACAATTATGAAATCTGAGTAAAGTGCTTGTTTATGTACTTTTTGTGGACATCTACTAAACACATTTAAACACAATTAATCTTTTAATTTAGTTCTAAATACAAGTACTGTTTATCAAGTACCACAAGGTCATTGAATTTGGAAAAAAGACGATTAAAAAAAGAGGGAAATTGTTGCTGGTTAGACACTGGCTTGCAAATTGGGTTCTCTTTTGGAGTGCTGAGTTTTGGTTATTTGTTTACTTTGACACATTGGTACAAAGCACAAGGTTTCATGAGCCTTGAATGAAATTGGAATTCATTGTTATATGGACCCAGTCTTCTTTTCACCTTTAGCTAACCTTCCTAGCCTAGCCTTTTGTGTGAATGATGCTGCTATATCTGAGATGCCAACCCATCTCACAATTTTATTTTTATTCACTTTTTCTTTCTTCTCTGTCTCTTTACCTCTTTCAGGCAATCTCCATTAATTTTCGAGTTGTACTGTACATAGGACTGTATTTCACACATTTGGTAACACTCTTTCAACCCACTAATTTATACGAAAATAATCAAGTGCGGACTAGGGACTGTGAGAGACTGGACGATCGGCTATCACAGCCCGTTATTGTAGATGTCCGCTCCTGAACAGGCCTCCTAAATAGCATGTTATTCCAAGAGGAAGTCATGCAATTCTTATGCAGATCTCATTTAAACAGAAAGTACGTATCACAAAAATTGTGACATGACAACCTAATCTGAAAGATTTGGAAACAATGGCCAGTTAATTGTAAAGAAAGAAGAAAACAACGGCCAGATAATTCAACTAGTAATGGCCTAATTTGTAACTGAAAGATTAGTCCAACCAACGGTATCCCAAAATTAAACGAAATAATTAAGATTAATCACAATTAATTTGCACAATTTAATAGAGGGTTTATGACTGCATTTGAACGTTTGCCAGAAGCAAGACCAGGGCCGTCGTTAAAAAAAATTCAAGTCCACGGTAAAAACTCTGGTCAATGATTACGTAAAACTGAGCAGAAAGAGAAACCTGCTGGAGGAACTACAAGGGTATTTCTGGAATAGTACCCGCGAGTGTAGAGGCGGCAACAAGCGTCAAACTTTCCGTCAAACCAGACACCCCATACAAGTCTCGTTTTGTCTCTGAGTCTTTGTAGCTTTTGGTCCAAGGCTGAGCCCCCAGAAATAGAATATTTTCAGAGACCTTTCCCAAACCCAAACCCAAACCCCAATCCCCAACCCCCAACCAACCCACAACATTTCCAAATTTGATTTTTTTATAATTTTAACTTTTATATACAATCGATATGATTCGAACACAGAATCTCGGATCGAGAATGCCTAGTGTTAAAAATTTAAGTTACAAACTCCTTGGTTTCCCGATTTCAAATTAGAACTGGGAATTTCCAATTATGTGCTTCTCTAACCACCCATAAACCATCTGAAACTTTAGGAAAACCTCGTCTCAATCTTCAACTAATCTGGTTGTTACCCAAATTAAAATTTTTAAACTAAAAGATATTGCCTAAAAAGTACACCCATAAAATATATAAAAATACTAAAAAAATAGTTTTTAAACTGATACACACCGACGCACAATGCCACCATACATAGCCTCTCACTCTCTTTCTCTCACATAAACACAAACACACTGTTCACCCTCTCTCTCTCTTTGCTTTCTGTGTCTCTCTGCTACAAGCCGACGACAAACTCCGCGCTGGCAAAGATTCCCTTCTCCCCTCCTTTGTCCTCCTTTTTTCCTTTTCCTTTTCTCTTATCTTCCTCCGCACAAACCCTAAGCTCTGAAATTTTCCCGAGAAACAAACAGGCAAACCCAACAACTATCAGAGAATCCCAATCCCACCGTTATGTTTCAGCTGATCTCGCCTTAACCCAACACGTCTCTTTCCCCATACACTCTTAAAGTTGTCTTCTTTTTCGAGCCTGATGGGCTGCACGAGCTCCAAGCTTGACGATCTTCCGGCCGTGGCTTTATGCCGAGAGCGCTGTGGCTTTCTCGACGAGGCGATTCACCAGCGCTATGCTCTGGCAGAAGCCCACTTCGCTTATATTCACTCCCTCAGAGACATCGGCCACTCTCTGCATAAATTCATCGAACAGGAGGTGGGCAATTCATCTGGGTCACCTCCTTCTCCCCACCTCAACCTCCCTCCTGTCCGAAAAGGGGACCCCAAATCGTCGCCGCCGCACCACTCTCATTCAAATTCAGGTTCCCATCTTCACTTTCACTCCGATTCCGACGACGACGACTTGGGCTCGCTCCACCACTCGGACCACTCGTCGCCGCTGCACAATACTCACCCTGGCAGCCATATTGATTACATGGGCAACGGCCAGGAGGGTTTCCAGGAGGGTTTTAGCTCGTACCCAGATGGTTACATGCGCATGAATTACATGAGGAACAAAGCGACACCGTCTGTGGTGTATCAGCAGAAACCCATGAGCCCAGAGAACGTGTATCACATGGGTGAATCTTCTTCTTCTTCAAATTCGTATTATGGATATCCAAATTCAAATCCTAATCCGAACAACACTGCTAATCCTTACCCCTATTATGGTGGGTACAACAATTACGGTGGCGGGGGTGGGGGTGGGGGGTATTATGGTAATTCATCTCCGCCGCCGCCTTACGGAGCCATATCGTCGGCGCCGGCTTCGGCTTCCACCTCTGCGAAGCCGCCTCCGCCTCCGCCATCGCCGCCTAGAGCTTCGGCTTGGGAGTTTTTGAACCCGTTCGAGACTTACGATAAGTACTACTCGGCCTACACGCCGAGCCGAGACTCGAAGGAAGTGAGAGACGAAGAGGGAATTCCCGATTTGGAAGACGAGGAGTACCAGCAGGAGGTGGTGAAGGAGGTGCAGAGAGACCACAAGCACGTGGTCGATGGCGGGAAGCATTCCAAGGCTGTTGTGGACGATGAGTTAGCTGAAACGCAGCCTTCCTCGCTTTATCAAGCGAGGCCGAGCGTGGAGACCGATGGTGGTGGGGCTGAGTATGAGGTCCATGTGGTAGAGAAGAAGGTTGTGGATGAGGACGAGAGGCGCGAGGACCGTGCCAATGGCGGCGGTGCACCTAAAGTTCGACCGGGGTCTCGGGATGCTTTTGAAGTAGCTCGAGAGATTGAGGTTCAGTTTCAGAGAGCTTCCGAGTCCGGGAACGAAATTGCCAAGATGCTCGAGGTGGGAAGGCTTCCACATAATCGAAAACATGGTGGGTATGGGATTATACACCTTTTAATGGATAGATTGCTACAAATTTGCTTGCTTGAATCTTGATCTATCTGGGAAGTTTTAAACTTTTATGCTTTTGGTGTGTAGTAGTTTTAGTTTCCTAAAATGGGAAGTTTATAGATCAGGATTTTATGTTGTTGAATTTTTGTTGAATTTGAACTCTATTTAGCAGAGATTTGACTTATTTGTTGTGTGGGTCTTTATGATCAGTTTCTTCCAAGATGATGTCGTTAGTGTCTTCGCAACCTTCTACTTCTAAGAGTGCTGAGCCATCGGCCTCCTCTGAAATAGCTGGTCCTGCTCAATTGGGGTTTGATGAAGAAATGATGATGAGGTCCAAAAATCTCTCTTCTACCTTAGCCAAGCTGTATCTTTGGGAAAAGAAACTCTATAATGAAGTAAAGGTATGTTGCTTCCTCCGCTCCTGTTACTAGCTGCATGTTTGTTTGCTCATTTTTGTGGCTTTGAAATTTCTGAGCCATCTGGGTTTCTTGACAAATCAAAATTTTCTAATTATGCTGTGCCAGACAAATGGTTCGTGACCGTTTGTTCAAATGTATTTTACGTTCCTTCTTCATAATAAATCTCTTACTTTCTATTTTGGTTGAATGTGAAATTTCAAATATTTAATTTCTTTCCCCTCTTGGATCTAGATCTCTATGAAAGTATCTTCTTAATTTGAAGTCTGACCAGTGCATGTTTGTCTTCAGAAGAGCCTCTTTATTGATAGTTTGATGTTCTCTCGGACATACATCATGATTCACTGGCTAAAACTTGGCTAATCTGTATCCAACATGGGTCTATCTGAATAAGTAACAGAAAAGTTTTCTTTTTCATTCAAGCATTAACCATTACATGAGTTTGACTAGTTCTTTTGGTGACGTACTCTTGCCTTGCTTACTATCCTAAAGTTTAAAGCACCGGGCGTATTCAAGGTTTTTGCCCTTCTTAATTTGTGTCCTTGTCAGTTGTGACTGATGGGTTTCCATTCTTATAATTTTTCAGTCTGAGGAAAAGATGCGGGTAATCCATGACAGGAAGGTCCGTAAGCTGAAGCGTTTAGATGAAAAGGGAGCGGAGGCTCACAAAGTTGATACAACTCGAACTTTAATAAGGAGTCTGTCCACAAAAATCAGAATTGCAATTCAAGTTGTTGACAAAATATCTGTGACCATAAATAAGATTAGGGATGAAGAATTATGGCCACAACTGAATGAATTAATTCAAGGGTATGTTATCAATCTTCCTAGTTCTGCTGCGCTTGTTTGTAAGTTTTGTTATTTGTTTCACTCACAACCCATGCTATGAATAGTTTCTCTTCTTTAGTATATTTGTATGGGTTAAGGATTAGGCTTGGTGATTAAAGAATAGAAGTAATTACGCTAGAAGGAGCCTGGGGAAAATTAGAAGAATGGAAAAAGCTTGATCACAGTTTCCTTATAATATTTGTCAGTTGGTGTATCATATTTGAGATCCTCATGTAGGACTTCCTAAAACCCTTGTGACAAATCTAAAATTAAATAACTTGTACCAAAAATATGAAATTGGGTAAGTCTCATATTGGAAGTTTTTACTTCATATAGTGGTGTCATAAGAACACCTACCTTAATAGAAGGCTCCTAATAAGACTACAAGTACTTATGGTAATCAATGAACCTCATTTTGCAATAGGGAAGATTGGCTAGGTGATGGCGATATTGGGGAGGCTTATATTTATTATTTATGCTTTTATTTTCTCAATGATCGCTCACTTGGAAGTGTATACTTTGTGGACGACAAAGTGTATGTCATCTGTGTGACATTATGGTTAAATTATTTTTCCTTTTCTTTTCTTCAGGTTAACCCGGATGTGGAGATGCATGCTTGATTGTCATCGTACTCAGTGCCAAGTAATTAGAGAAGCCAGGGGTTTAGGTCCTATTGGATCTGGAAAAAGGGCTAGTGATGCTCATCTTGATGCTACATCGCAGCTTGAGCATGAGCTTATTAACTGGACTTTCAGATTCTCTACTTGGATTAGTGCTCAAAAGGGTTATGTGAGAGCTTTGAACAATTGGCTTCTAAAATGTCTTCTGTATGAACCTGAAGAAACACCAGATGGAATAGTTCCTTTTTCACCTGGTAGGATAGGTGCGCCTCCTGTTTTTGTAATCTGTAACCAATGGTCACAAGCTTTGGAGAGAATATCAGAAAGAGAGGTGGTAGAAACTATGCGTGTCTTCACCACGAGTGTCTTACAGGTTTGGGAACAAGATAAGCTTGAAATGCGCCAGAGGATGGTAGCACACAAGGATCTAGAGAAAAAAGTTAAGAACTTGGATAGAAAGGACCAAAAATTACAGAAGGAAATTCAGGCATTAGACAAGAAAATTGTGCTAGTATCAGGGGATGCTGACACTCTCTCAGTTACTGGACAGATTGTATATCAGAGTGACACTAGAAATAGTACTTTACAGGCTAGTCTGCAACGCATTTTTGAGGCCATGGAAAGGTTCACCGATAATTCCACAAAAGCTTACGAGGAGCTTTTGCAACGTAACGAAGAAGATAGGCTTGCGAGAGAGGAAGAGAGGGTTTCATAGGGTCTGTTGTTAGATGGAGTTATAACTATCCCTTTTGCATTGATGACTTGGTTTATTATCTGCACATTTCAGCTGTCAAGGCGAATGAATGGAAGGTGTCTAGTTCTTTGAGGGTCTATTACCTTGGAGCTCAAGAATTCATTCCTTGGAGCAAGCTTTTCCTCCATCTGTCGGCGGCCATTTCATTGTCTGCTTGGCTAGTTATTGTTGCTGAGATCAGGATAATCTGTAATAGCAGTAAGCCATGCTTGAGGCTTCCCCATTTACAGTGCAAGCTATTTATCTGGGCTGGCTCTGCAGTTTTAATTTAAGGAGACAACCAGTACAGTTGATTGACGACAACGGCTGAATATTTATACGAGCAAAGACAATGGGCAACAATGCACAGGGGCAAAGGTGAGGGCCAAGCACAAGATAAGTTATTGCTGATTATGAATCAACTTGGTCCACTGCCTGACAACAGAAATGATTTTAAAGCTGCTTCTGGCCAAAGTGTTCGCTGAATCGACGATTGCTCGTAGAATCACATTATGAACTACTCTTACTGCTCCGTGAATCAGCGAAATCTACTTTCTATGGACTGGGGCTCCTTTCTTGAGCTAAATATTGCAATTTGGCAGCATATGAGAGACGTGGAATGAAGGGCAAGAAGGGAGCTACTTTCACAAATCAAAAGTACCAAGACTTTTGCACAAATTGGCCAAAATAATTCAAGTAAGCGGCTGTCCTTTTCAGTTTTGTGATGATGATGAGTTTCAGTGTAGTCTGTATGGGGTGCTTGGAGTGACGCAAGTCCTGTCTCTATGCCCAAAAATAATTGGATATTTGTATAAAATTTATTCTTTCCTTGTTCTTTCTTTTTCAGTATTTCATTTATATCAATTATTGTACAGACAACCTTTGGCAATTGAACAAAGTGACAACACCTTTAATAAGAAAATGAACCAAATAAAAGTTCTGCTAAACGGCGACGTTTCATGGAGTGTTTGAATGTGGATGCAAAGTAAAAAGCTGTGAAGTGAAGTGTGAAATGTGACTTTAGTCTCTTCAATTATTGAGGTTTACATCCTGTAAACTCTGTAGAGCAAAAACTACGTTTGGATTTTGGAATATATATATATATATATATATATTTTAATGTTTATGATTAGGTCACTTTGCTTCCAGCAGTCATGCTTCCGTGATTCAGCAGAAAACTCTGAAAAAAACCTTTGAACCGAGTGAACTTGAGAGTCGACAAAATTCATTGCTTCTTGACAGTTGAACGGAATTCACTTTCATGGGTTTTTGTATGTGTTGAAAAGTCCAAAAGATATCATGCCAAGCCCAATTCAGTTAAACACGTTCATGTTAATCTCTGAATGGGGATGCGTCTATAAGCTTATGATTCGTCTTCGTCCAATACAGCAAGACTTTGCCCCAAAAGTCCCATCGATTGGTCCATAGTCCACACGACATTAGGCGGCCATAGGGTGCCTCTTTCCTTGAAATGAGAACCATAGGTTGGCCATTTGACCATTTTTACATAAACATTGAAGAGTACTATGATCAGTCGTTCATACCTTAATATCGCTCATTAAAGAATGTCAAGCTTAGTCGCTTACGCTTTAATGCTGCTTTTACAATGTTATGGTCAATGAATCATGACTATTAGAATGTTATAGCAAAACAGTACTATTCTTGCTGTAAATAAGTTTTTCTACTTATCATGGCTCGTAATGCTAAAACTTACGCTTTAATATTGTTTTTACAATGTTATAGTCAATAAATATAAACATTAAAGAATACTACTGTCAGTCGTTCATGCTAAATATTAATCTTATAACTCTTAGAATATTACGATTAATCACTCATACTTTATCACTGCTCTTATAATATTACGATCAATTGCTCATGCAACATTTTTGGTTATTTTGTCCTCTACAAATTGTAAAAAAAGCTAGGCTAAAGTCACACTTCCCAATTCCAAATCACCATATGAAATATAAAATGGGGCTTGTACAAGTAGAGAGTATGAGAATAAAACTTGTGACTATCATGGGTTAATAACAATTTTCTATAGTTCTTCGATTGTCTAACTTATTATCTTTTTGCGAGTGGAATTAAAAGCAATGGACGAATGGGAATTGGGAACCAGCAACTACCACTCCAACCAGTCTTTTTTCTCAATTTCACCAGGTGTTGAAAAATATTCATTTCATCATCCACCAAACAAATGATTGACATATGTTCACTCTAATTTTTTTTTCTTTCTCCTCTTTGGTATCTGTGCAGAATCTGCAGATAGATTTGATTTGGCTACAAACTTTGCTGGCAGTCTTGAGTTTCCACCCAATGAGTTAAAATTATGTGCATTATAATCAGCATTTTTATGATAACCAAGGATTTATTTATTTATTGCTTTTTGGGGTACATTTTAATCAAGACCAAGCCTATGCTGGCAAAACTCAGAGTGTTGGTGATATCAAACCAAAAAAGCCAACAGGTTGAGTCGAGTAGAAAAGAGCATTGACTTGCACACAAGTGGTCTCAAATTTGAACCCTCATAATACTTTGACAGTGTGAGAAACCTTTCTCTTCTTATAATTTAGACTATCGTGTGTATTAAAAAAAACCAAAAAGAAACGTGGATTGTGTTTTCGAACTTTTGGGCATAACATAACATTATTGAATGGTACCTGCCTACAATGAATGAATGCAACTGTTAAAACACAGTAAGTGGCATATAATGATTTGTCTCCACAAAGAAAAATTGGACCTTTATGAGAAGAGAATATATGCCTTTTCAATTGGATAGGCCACACTTAAAAATTGTTAATACACATCAAGATTATATGCATTAAAGAAAACAAAATGCAACAACCAAACAAGTTCTGGTATCTTGTCATGATGAAGTACTACAAGGAAAGCAAAAGAACAAGACAACTTGAGTAATGGGAAAATCAGTTGGCTTTTCTTATACAAATCAATCCGTAGGTCAATTATGATGCAAAATAACAGGTCATGAGATTCTGTGTTTGTTCCAAACACATACTATTATTAAAAGGGAGAAACTAAGCAAGAAGGGTTTGCTTTGATTCTGCAATTTGCCTGTTTACTGTGTGTGCCCTTATATTTTATTTTGTGGTCAACTGCACCAGGAAACTTGGTATTTGTTTAACCATGTTTTCTTCTGTCTTTACTTTGTGATGATAATAAACTACCCCACTTGAGCATAATTTAATTGAAAGCATGAACCTTCCAAATCTAATTTCAAAGGGGGAATTCTTGTGGGGTTTAAGGAAAAGAAAAGAAAAAAGTAAGGACTATGTAGCACAAGTAGGTTAAGAGCATTTATTTTCTCATCCGAGCTTATCTATTCGGTTCCTATATCGGTTAATATTATACGCATGAAAATGCATAAAGAAAAATTATATATAAAAATACACGCATATAGATAGACGACAGAATCTTATAATCCTAAACAAAATTTCACAAACTAATGATATTAATGTGATAAAACTTGATAAATTACCAACATTTAGGAAAAGAATTGTTCGGGCAAGATTAGTACTAAAATGGTGATGATTGATGTAAAAAGAGATACGTGTTGCATTGCATTCCTATCTTTTTTTTTCTTTTTTTTTGGTCAAAAAAGGAACTAATTAAATTCTTTTGCTTGTAGGAAATTTGAAAACCAAATGACCAAAAGTGTTTAGTGGAAAAATGGAAAGAAATAAAAGAAGGTTAACTAATAAAACTGTAGCAACTAGAAATGCTTTAATTACCATAAGCTAAACCTTTAGCATTAAACTGCCAGGAAGCTGTGACAGGGAGAGAGCACATACAAAACAGTCTCCTCTCTCTCTCTCTCTCTCTCTCTCTCTCTCTTCAAGTCTCTCTTAACCCACTAGGCACTCAAGCTGAGGAGGCAGCCAGGAACCAGCTCATGGTTTTCCTCTAGTTTTTTCTTCTTCCAACTCCAAGAAGCTGCTGAAGCACACAAACACACAAACCAAGTCATGGGTTGCTGTGAATCAAAGGTTTCAGAGAAGCAACCAGACAAGCTCCAAACCCAAGCACATGCCAACAACAGCCGGACTCCGACCCACCACCAGAACCCATCTCCCGGATCCGACCCGGAAACCGGCGGAGCTCCACCCTTCTCTGAATTCTCCTTCTCGGACCTCAAAGCCGCCACCAACAACTTCAGCTCCGACTACATAGTCTCAGAGAGCGGTGAGAAAGCCCCTAACCTTGTCTACAAAGGGCGGCTGCAGAACCGCCGTTGGATCGCCGTCAAGAAGTTCACCAAGATGGCTTGGCCTGATCCCAAGCAGTTTGCGGTAAGCTTGTTTATGCTTTTGGCCTCATTGGGTTTGGGACTTTGGGTCGTTTTGGTGGTTTTCAATCGTTTTGTGAAGTGGGTATGTGAAATACTTTGTGGGTTTTTAAATTTCTGGGCTTTTGCTTTTGTAGGAGGAAGCTTGGGGTGTTGGGAAGCTGAGGCATCGGAGGCTTGCGAATTTAATTGGGTATTGCTGTGATGGTGATGAGAGGCTGCTTGTTGCTGAGTACATGCCCACTGATACTTTAGCTAAGCATTTGTTTCATTGTATGTGTCAATACCTTTCTTTCCTTTTTTTTTCCCCCACTTTATACTTTAACTGGTGTATCAAGAATGCTGCTTTTTAGCTTAGCTTCTAAGATTTCTCAGTGACACTTTTGTGAAGTATCTCTAAGTACATAGTTCTTAAACAATCAAACATTGAAATGTAAGATTGCATTGACATTAGTTTTCTACAACATGACAAGTTATGCCATTTATCTTAGCTGGTCTATTTATGCATGTTGTTATCTAGTAGTTTTGCTAATCCTAGATGATGTTTTATATTGCCTTTCATTTGGGGAAGGTACGGTGAGGTGGTTTTTGCTATAGTATTCTATTTAATGTGACTGTATTGTGCTTGTCTTCGTACTGTTAATTTCCTGAGTTTTGCATAGGAGATCAATTTTACTTTTGGGTTTTGTGCCTCCAAATTGAGAAATTAGTGGCTGCATTCTGTTATATCTAAGATTAAATTTTTGGTCTTGGCTTGTTCTTGACAGGGGAGAATCAAACCATTGAGTGGGCTATGCGTTTAAGAGTGGGTCTTTATATTGCTGAAGCTTTAGATTATTGTAGTACTGAGGGCCGTCCATTATACCACGATTTGAATGCTTATAGGGTTCTCTTTGACGAGGTATTCCTTTCTCAAATTTGATTCTCATAGTTAAAAATATATGCATTTTCAGTTACTTCAGTGTCCATTAATATTAAGGGTGATATTCTAGTATTTGAATGTGACCTGTAGGATGGTGATCCTCGTCTTTCCTGTTTTGGCTTGATGAGAAATAGTAGGGATGGGAAGAGTTATAGCACAAATCTTGCCTACACGCCGCCTGAGTATTTAAGAAATGGTAATAACATCTCTAGTCTAAATGTCACCTATCCGTTTGATCATTGTCTAGTTATTATTGTAGTTTTCCTGCATGAGATATGCCTTCAGTTGTCTTTTAATTTACATTGTAGGAAGGGTCACTCCAGAAAGTGTTATTTATAGCTTTGGCACTGTCCTTCTAGATCTGCTAAGTGGAAAGCACATCCCTCCAAGTCATGTAAGTGCACTGCTATATAACATGCTTTATGTGTTTTAGAGCAAATGTATCTTGATGCTATAGTCCTCTTGGATTGTGTCAACTAGTAGTTGTCACTCAAAGTTGAAATTAATTAATTACAAATATTCTTTAGTGGATCTGTTTATACTAATTTGATTGTTCGAATAAGATACACAGATATATCTTTGAGTATTCAAGCTCTTCAGCATGCTGGATTTGAGAAACAGTTTTCTTCATAACCTCCACATCTTAGTGGACAAATAATATTGAACAACATCCCTGTTTTATATAATTTCATTCTGTCTCCATGCAATTCACCCGTCTTGATGTTATGCAAAAACACTCCCTTCGCTTCTTCTAAAAACTATTTTCATGGTTATCTTAGTTCACAGAAATCTCTTCTTGGAATTGTGAATTTCAGTTTACTTTTAATTTCAGTACATGAGAAGATTTTTCGTGACTTTATGAATTATAACAATACTTAAAAAATGATGGGTATTCCTCCATCATGCTAGAAGTTTAAGTTGTTCACCAGTTACATATCACTTAAGATGTAAGGTGAGACTTGTTCAGTGCTGGTCTTTTTTTATAAACGGAACATAGTCTAGTATATATTTGATGTATATTCATGTAAACAGGCTCTTGATATGATACGGGGGAAAAATATCATTCTCTTAATGGATTCACATTTGGAGGGGAAATTTTCTACAGAGGAAGCAACCGTGGTTGTTAATCTTGCCTCTCAATGTCTCCAATATGAACCCAGAGAGCGGCCTAATACGAAGGACCTTGTTGCGACACTTGCTCCACTGCAGACCAAACCTGAAGTAAGATACTTTTCTCTTATTGGATTATGAAATAGTCTAGTTTAACCTCCTTTAGGGAATTTCCCTGGCATCCACATATTCTTACATGGCCAAAACTATGTTTGTCTGTGGACCTAATATGAGGTCAAATATGTTTTGTAATCGATGGGTGTGCTCTTAAGATGATAAAGGAGCACTACTTCACATTAAGAAGCTAATCACAAGGGTCTGGATTGCAGGTCCCATCTTATGTCATGCTTGGAATTCCAAAGCATGAGGAAGCCCCTGCAACCCCACAACGTCCCCTTTCTGCAATGGGCGAGGCCTGTTCTCGGATGGACCTCACAGCAATCCATCAGATCTTGGTTATGACGCACTACCGAGATGATGAAGGAACCAATGAGGTAGTTGAGTGGTACTAGAGGTCTTGCATATCCCTGTTCATTCAATTTGTGCTAAGAGATCTTTTTGAATTTGGATGGGTTCAGTTATCTTTCCAAGAGTGGACTCAACAAATGAGAGACATGCTGGAGGCAAGAAAGCGAGGGGACTATGCATTTCGTGACAAAGATTTTAAAACTGCCATTGATTGTTACTCCCAGGTATAACTTTGTAGCTCATGTGTGCTTTTTAATTTATATATAATGGTAAATCTTTTGGGCCGGAAATATGTCAAGAAATTGACTGAACGTTTGACTTGGAACCTTCCACCGGTAGATTATGTCATAATATTATGCCCTCAACTGTAAGTGCTACCATATTTATTTTCTTGCTCAACCTTTTTGAATCAAATTACTGCTGATGTAGTCTTTAGTAGTCTTTTGTTGATTAGATTTAGGATGGCTATTCGAAGCATTTTGTTTTTTTATGTGTTATGATGGGCTCATCTTGTTATAATCTTGAAGTAACTGGGTCTTAAGTAGTGATGTTAACTTAAGTGGTTCCTTTTGGGTTTTTTGCATGCAGTTCATAGATGTTGGAACTATGGTGTCCCCAACTGTTTTTGCACGACGCAGTTTATGCTATCTGTTAAATGAGCAACCTGATGCTGCTCTTCGAGATGCAATGCAAGCACAATGTGTTTATCCAGACTGGCCCACTGCCTTCTACATGCAGTCAGTTGCTCTAGCCAAGCTAGACATGCACAAGGACGCCGCCGACATGTTAAATGAAGCAACTGCACTAGAAGAAAAGCGGCAACGAGGAGGCAGGGGATCATGAAGTTCAACTATGTAATAAGTGATAGTCCATTATTCACCACCACCAATTGACAGTTGTTGAGGCCAACCAAAATTTGTATAAAATCTGAGCTGGGAATCAAATTGTCTTTACCATTGAGAATGTATTTATACAGAAACATCGATATCTTTTGTTGCACTAGTGAATGTGTGCTTCTCTCCTCTCTCTCTCTCTCTCACTGCCTCACTGGTCTTGTATAGAAACCAAAGACAGCTACTTACTATCGTTGTGATTTAGAAATGGTGGATATAATTTAAGTGACTCCAACCCGTCTTAATATGCTGACCATGACATTGGTGTCATGTTTGTCGTGCACCTGCGAAAGCGCGTTACTCAGGCTTGTAGATGGAACTTTTTATTTTGAACAATGGTGATAAAATCAGCAGGGCAAGTTATATTACTATTAACACCTTTTCCTCAGATACAAGGAAAGGAGATAAATTTTCCTTGGTGTCTTTCCCGTGTGTATTTATAGGTTTATATGTTCTTTTTCTTTTCTGTTCATGCAATGGCAACAATGGTATTCTATGTTGTTGAGAGTGTTTGTCCCGTATTGAAATGTTAAGGGACTTAGCCTGGGTTTATAAGGAGTTGGGCTACTCTCCTCATTGCCAATTGGTTTTGGGGTGGAACCTCAACTTCCTTCATGGTATTAGAGCCAGGTTAACCCACGTGTGAAAGCCCAACGGCCACACGTGCTCCACGTCACCCAATATGTGTTGTCCATGTGTTAGGCTTGAAAGTTCGCCACACGTGCATGAGCGTGTTAAGAGTGTTTGTCTCACATTGAAATGTTAAGGGACCTAGCTTGGGTTTATAAGGAGTTGAGTTACTCCCCTTATTCCCAATTGGTTTTGGGGTGAAACCTCAACTTCCTTCATATGTGACAAAATTTGCACGTAAAGACATTATTTAAACAAAACTTTTGACTGAAAAATCATATGAATTGTATGGGTTTTCTAAATGATTGTATTGCAAGACAATATGATCACAGGCTTAATCTTTTTAGTAGTCCCTATTTGTCCCTCTTAACATAGAGACAGTCAGCATTGTTTACTGCTTAAACCTTGTGAGAATCAAGTCCTTTTGAATGCCATTGATTGTTGATTATTTATTATCTCTCTTGAGACAATTGGAATCTTGACAGCCTTGATATTTGACATGATTTGCGCAAATCCCATGTGACAATCATAATTTCAAATGCTCCTGTGAATTTACCCCTCTCAGGTTTGACTTTGGGAAATTAGAGTAAATTCATCTTTTGATCTTGTAATTAGACAATAGGGATACGTTCATTTTTCAATTAGTTTTCTAGATCGAAGCCATGCATAGGATGATAATCGGAATGCAGAGACCTGAGGATGATAGTCGGATCCGAAATCGTGTCGGTTTCAGTAGTTGCAAGAATTCAAGATCAGTTCCCAAAGTGAATGCTTTTGAAGAAAGAAAGAGACTAGTTGAGAATTTAAGCAAATGAGTATGTCATTTTGTATAATCAATTTGATATCAGAGGATTTATTTGTATACACAAGTAATGTTTTTCATGTACAAAATCGAAAAAGCTAATGTCTAGTGGTTTAGGATGTTGAGGAGGGAGACTCTTGTTTTGATCATTTGCCTAAATAGGCACTCAAGTCCGTCTTCCTGATCTTGAATGCATGCGTCCAGCTTCTCCAACTGGTTGTGTGCATTATCTGCACTTTGGGAATGAGATTTGCTTGTCTTGTGTCCAATGAGTGACTGCAATGAAGCATCCACCTCTGCAAATTCATTTACTTCTGTTTCTTCCTCACAAGCTACTTGTTTTGATTGCATCATCTTGGAGACCAATGACCAGCTGCTGTTTGGCTGTGATTTTGGGCCGGAGATGAAGGACAGCAGTGATTTGAACACTGCAAGAGTGACTGCTTCAAAATCTCTCAACTCGCTCACAATGGAAATAGTCTCACTGTCCTTGTTGAGGGAAGAGAAGGTGGATCTGTTTTCGGTTCCCTTGAGATTCTTCATAGCCTTTTGGATTGTCTTTTTCACCATCTTCCTGGAGGTTAAGTATTTCCTAACCTCACTTGTAAGAGCTCCAGTTTCACCTCCCCGCCTTCTTCGCATGATCGATTGAAGGTCCTGGATGCATTCCTTGGTTTGCAACAAGGCATCTTTGGCAGTTCCACAAACATCCAACAGCCGGAGTGAGCCATCTAACAACTTATTAGTCCATTTCTCGTTCTGCTCTTGGGCTAAGGCTTGTTGAGTGAGGGGCAACTGAAGAAACCTATCAACAGAATCATGCAAGTGTTGGAGGCTACTTAGTTTGTTGCATATTGATGATGAAGATGTGGAGGTGGCCTCAGAAGACCTCAATCTACACAAAAGTTCATCAACTTCTTCAATGATCGGGTGTGGCCTAGAGGGTAAGCTGTTAGAACGAGTATGCAAAGCCATTTCTTCTTGGTGTATTGTGAGAAGATAGAATAGAAGACCTTGTAGTTAATGTACAATTGAGATTGATTTGTTCCTCTCCATATGCATCTGCTTAATATGTAGTGTTGGTTGAGGAAGGGGACATGGAAACTCATCCACTTCAATCATCAGTGAGAACATGATTTTGATTTGGATCTATACGTTCACTCGGCAATGTTTATGCAAGGTTTCTTCCCACACCAGCATTCCAACTCATGAACTGATTAATTTAGGATATGACACCTCATACTATCTTTATATAATGTTACAATCACTCAATCACTCAATCATAATTAACATATAGGACAGCAATCCATAAATTGAATATTAAGCATGAGTGCCAATGGCCCTGTGTCCAGCCACTTCTATGCTTAAGTCTTATGCATAGACTCAATTATGATGATTCATGTATGTGATTAGTTAATGCATCTTATTTTTGCAGGTCCTTGACATGATATTGTTAAGCAAGCAGCAGGCAAGATCTGCAATCTGCATTTTTTTATAGCCTCAGTGTTTCCAAAATGTAGAAAAATGGTGTGTAGCAGACTTGATGAATTGGACTGTTCCCAAGCAGAACGACATCCAGCAGAATTGTCATTCTTGGATCTGAGATGCGCATCTGCCGTGTTAGTGTCGTTGATTAGTTACAACAGTTTGTTAATTTTAACCTGTGTTTGATTATTCCCCGGGAGATAACTGGAATTTGACATCCATTTCAGTTTTGAAATTTTGTTTAGTGGTCACAGAGTTTTACCAGAAAATTCTTCATTCAATGATATGCTGGCAAGTTTACTAGAAAAAAATAAAAATAAATGACTCTATAGCAACCAAGACCATATGATCATAGACTTAAAACCTTTTTTAGTCTTTAATAGTTCCTCTAACAGAGACAGTCAGCATATTCTTACTGCTTAAAGAAAATCAAGTCTGCTTTTGAATGCCATTGATCGTTGATTATTTATTGTCTCGCTTGAGACAATTGGAATCTTGACAGCCTTGACATTTGATATAATCTGCGCAAATCCCATGTGACAACAATGATAGTTTTACGTACTCCTGTGAGTTTACCTCTCAGGTTTGATTTCGGGAAATTAGAGTTAATTCACTTTTCATTATCTTGTAATTAGACAATAAGAGTAAGTTCCATTTTTCCATGCACAGGATGATAATCGGAATATAGAGGACGGAAATCGTGTTAGTTTCAGTACTACAAAAGTTCATGATCAGTTCCCAAAGTGAATGCTTTCGTAGAAGGATGAGACTAGTTGATAATTTGAGCAAAAGATTATATCATCATTATGTATCTGAATTTGACCTCAGAGGATGTATTTGTATACAAACATGTTTTTCATGTACAAAATCGAAAAATCTAAGATATATGTATCTAGTGGTTTAGGATGTTGAGGAGGGAGACTCTTGTTCTGATAATTTGCCTAAATACGCACTCAACTCCTTCTTCTTGGCCTTGAACGCATGACTCCAGCTGCTCGAGCTGGTTCTGCGAATTATCGACACTTTTGTTTTGAGATTTGCTTGTCTTGTGTCCAATGAGAGAGTTCAATGCAGCATCCACTTGTGCAAATTCATTTGATTCTGTTTCTTCTTCCCAGGCAACTTTTTTTGAGTGCATCATCTTGGAGACCAAGGACCAGCTGCTTGGCTGTGATTTTGGCCCAGAGATGAAGGAAAGAAGTGACTCAAACACTGCAAGAGTGACTGCTTCAACTTCTCTCAACTTGTTAACAATGTCAATTGACTCATTGTCCTTGTTGAGGGATGAGAAATTGGATCCCTTAAGATTCTTCATAGCCTTTTGGATTGCCTTTTTCACCGTCTTCCTGGAGGTTAAGTATTTCCTGACCTCACCGGTGAGTGCTGCAGATTCACCTCCTCGTGTTCTTCGTATGATTGATTGAAGATCTTGTACGCATTCCTTGGTTTGCAAGATAGCATCCTTGGTGCTGCTGCAAACATCCAAGAGTCTGAGAGAGCTATCTAATAGCTCATTAGCCCATTTCTCATTCTGCTCTTGTGCTAAGGCTTGTTGAGTGAGGGGCAACTGAAGCAACCTGTCAACACAATCATGCAAATCTTGGAGACTGCTTAGTTTGTGGCTTATTGATGATGAAGATGTGGAGGTGGCCTCAGAAGACCTCAGCCTACACAAACATTCGTCAACTTCTTGAACGATTGGGTGTGGCCTTGAAGGGAAGCTGTTAGAGCGAGTGTGGAAAGCCATTTCTTCTTTGTGTATTGTGAAAAGATAGAACAGAAGACTTAGAAAGTTGTGGTTGATGTACAATTCAGAGTGCTTAATATATAGTGTTGATTGAAGAGGGGGACATGGAATCTCATCCTCTTCAATCATCAGTGAGAGAGGTAACATGATTTCGATTGGATCCATATGTTCCCTAGCCAATGTTTATGCATTGTCTCCTCCCACACCAGCATTTCAACTCATGAAGTTATTAATTTAGCACACTATAATGCTACAACAATTTAATCACAATTAATATACGATACCACGAGTGGAATTGACGTCCCTGTTTCCGCAAATACATGGGGAGGCAAAAACCATTTAACTCAATTATGGTGATCAACATATGTGATTAGTTAATTCCTCTTGTTTTGCAGGTCATTCACATGATTGTTTGCCAAGGAGGAGGCATGATCTGCAAATATGCAATATTCTGTATTAAAAAGTCACCATCCATTGTGTTTCTATAATGTAGAAAAATTGAAAGTTGCTGGTTATTTAGCAAACCAGAAAGAATTGCAATGTTTCCATCATATAGATGAATTGCAATGTTCCCCCAAACAGAAAGAAAACCAGCATAATTTTCACTATAACCAGCATAATTAATTAGTCCCAATCTGTGTTTAATATTTCCTGGGAGATAATTAGAGGTTGATAGATTTGATATCCATTTTATTGTTTTGAAAACTTCTGCAGTGCTCAGAGATTTTTCTTATGAGTTAAGTACTTAACTCAGAAAATAAAATGCAGATATGAAATAACGCAGCTAAGAAATAAAATGCTTCAGTGAATTTCACCAGAAAAAGGAAAGCTTTCTCTGATGTTACTTTAGATTTTACCTAAAAAACATACCAAGTAAAATAAACCACCTCCAAGGTGTGTTTTTACAAAACAAAATTGTGGGTCAATCTTTAACTGATGTTACTATTTTTCACCGCCCAGTGTCAACAATGTCTTTTGAAGATCCTCTAAAATGCTTCAGTGAGTTTTACGCCATAAACTTTTGTTTTAGTCTCTTTCGAATGTGAAGTGTTTATTGATGGTTATCTTCCTTGAGACAAATGGAATCTTGACAGTCTTGTGATCATATTCAACTCCCTAAATTTTCCCTGAAACATACAAATTGATCAAGTATTGATGAAATTCTGAGCTTCCAAATAGACCTTAAAACTCAAGTCATTATCTGAAGGTAAGAGCGGGTGCAAGTTATCCCACATCGCTTGGTCGATATCAGACACTACGCTTTATAAACCCTACACGAGGAGACTCTACCGCCGAGCTTTGTAACGCAAGCTTATAACCCGAGTGGGGGCTTGGAGGGTCTGGAACATTGGCTCGGAATTAGCGGGTCGGGTCCGGGTTGACTATCTTCTGGCCCGCCCATTCCAAGCAAAGAGTTGAACCATGTGGCTCGAGCGAAGGCTCTGGGTCTCTTGGTTCCTAGGGAGGAGGAAACCGCGTAAGGCTGGCTTCACAGAGCAACGATTACCTCCCGCTCTTGGCAGTGGAAGGATAACGGGTCGGTGTCACTCGGATCCACTATGGCCCGCTAGACTGTCCCAATTGAACCAAACCTTTTTGCGGTTTTCTTACTCAGATTTGGGAAGCTACAATGCCAAAATCGAAGTCAGGTTTTTCTTTAATTTTTTTTTCTTTTTTACCTGATTGGGGAACTCTGCTTCTGTTTTAGTTTCTTCTTTGAAATTATTAGGGTACTGCTTGTATCGATCAACCATTTGAGGTTTGGAAAAAAAAAGCTTTTGAAGTAAGAAAAAGGGAGTGTATATATCATTGTTTATTATCCATTTCATATCAGAAGTTTGTATTTTTACACATTACTTGTATTGCTTTTCATGTTAAAAATTGAAAAGCTGATATATATATATATATATATCTACTGGTTTAAGATGTTGAGAAGAGAGACTCTTGTTTTGATCAATTGCCTAAAAAGGCACTCAAGTCCTTCTTCTTGGTCTTGAATGCATGCCTCCAGCTTGTTAAAGCTCGGTATTAGCGGGTCGGGTCCGGGTTGACTATCTTCTGGCCCGCCCATTCCAAGCAAAGAGTTGAACCATGTGGCTCGAGCGAAGGCTCTGGGTCTCTTGGTTCCTAGAGAGGAGGGAACCGCGTAAGGCTGGCTTCACAGAGCAACGATTACCTCCCGCTCTTGGCAGTGGAAGGATAACGGGTCGGTGTCACTCGGATCCACTATGGCCCGCTAGACTGTCCCAATTGAACCAAACCTTTTTGCGGTTTTCTTACTCAGATTTGGGAGCTACAATGCCAAAATCGAAGTCAGGTTTTTCTTTAATTTTTTTTTCTTTTTTACCTGATTGGGGAACTCTGCTTCTGTTTTAGTTTCTTCTTTGAAATTATTAGGGTACTGCTTGTATCGATCAACCATTTGAGGTTTGGAAAAAAAAAGCTTTTGAAGTAAGAAAAAGGGAGTGTATATATCATTGTTTATTATCCATTTCATATCAGAAGTTTGTATTTTTACACATTACTTGTATTGCTTTTCATGTTAAAAATTGAAAAGCTGATATATATATATATATATCTACTGGTTTAAGATGTTGAGAAGAGAGACTCTTGTTTTGATCAATTGCCTAAAAAGGCACTCAAGTCCTTCTTCTTGGTCTTGAATGCATGCCTCCAGCTTGTTAAGCTGGTTCTGCACATTATCGACATTTTGGTGTTGAGATTTGCTTGTCTTGTGTCCAATGAGGGAGTTCAATGCAGCATCCACTTGTGCAAACTCATTTGCTTTTGCTTCTTCCTCACAAGCAACTTTTTATTTTATTGCATTATCTTGGAGACCAATGACCAGCTGCTTGTCTTTGCTTTTGGCCCAGAGATGGAGGACAAAAGTGACTCAAACACTGCAAGAGTGACTGCTTCTACTTCTCTCAACTTCTCATGATCCTTGTTGACGGAAGAGAAAGCGAATTTGTTTGCTATTGCCTTCAAACAACCCACAGCCTTGTTGATTGTCTTTTTCACCATCTTCCTAGGGGTTAAGTATTTCCTTACCTCACTTGTAACAGCTGCAGTTTCACCTGCTCGCCTTCTTCGTATGATCGATTGAAGATTCTGTGTGCAGTCCTTGGTTTGCAGGATGACATCCTTGGCACTGCTGCAAACATCCAAGAGTCTGAGAGAGCCATCTAATATCTCATTAGCCCATTTCTCATTTTGCTCTTGGGCTAAGGCCTGTTGAGTGAGGGGCAACTGAAGCAACCTATCAACACAATCATGCAATTCTTGGAGGCCACTTAGTTTGTGGCTATGGATGATGATGAAGACGTGGAGGTGGCCTCAGAAGACCTCAAGCTACACAAATGTTCTTCAACTTCTTGAAAGATTGGGTGTGGCCTTGAAGGGAAGCTGTTAGAGCGAGTATGGAAGGCCATTTCTTCTTTCTTTGTTGTTTGAAGATAGAACAAAAGACCTTGTAGTTGTGGTTGATGTCCAATTCAGAACTGATAGGTTCTTTCCATATGCATCTGCTTAATATATAGTGTAGGTTGAGGAGGGGGACATGGAATCTCATCCACTACAATCATCAGTGAGAGGTAACATGATTTCGATGTGGATCTATATGCTCCATCGGCGATGTTTATGCATTGTCTCTTCCCACACCAGCATTCCAACGCATGAACTGATTAATTTAGCATATAAAATCTCGGAGTTTCCTTACATAATGTTACAATCACTCAATCATAATTAACATATTGGACTGAGATCAATTAATTATATATGTGATAGCACGAGTGGACATGACCCCATGTCCTGCAGTTTTGTATGCTTATTTATGTATGTGATTAGTTAATCTTATTTTGCAGGTCCTTGACATGATTGTTAAGCAAGCAGCAAGCCTGATCTATAATTTTAAGGCTTTCCAAATGATTGTATTGCATGAAGCAAGTAAGGCCATATGATCATAGACTTAATCCCTTTTTTAGTCTCTAATTGTCCCCCTAACCGAGACAGTCAGCATATGTTTACTGCTGAAGTGTGTGAGAATCAAGTCCTCCATTTCATGCCATTGATTGTTGATTATTTATTCTCTTTCTTGAGACAATTGGAATCTTGACAGCCTTGACATTTGATATAATTGGCTTAAATCCCATGTGTGACAATGATAGTTTTTGATACTCCTGTGAGTTTACCTCAGGTTTGACTTTGGGAAGTTAGAGTTAAATTTTTTCATCTTGTAATTTAGGGTATGGTTTTGTTTTTGTCTTTTTTTTGGGTTCCATTAATTTCCAAGATTGATGCCAAAAACATAGATTATATGTGGTTATATAGAACATAAATGGTAAAATGTTTGTTGTTGTAGCTGCAAGAATTTATGATATGTTCAGAAAACGAATGCTTTTGACAAAAGAAGAAGAATAGTTGACAATTAAGCAAATGAGTAAATCATTTTGTATAATCAATTTGATATCCAGAGGATGTATTTGTATACACATGTATGTTTTTCATGTACAGAATCGAAAAAGCTAATATCTAGTGGTTTAAGATGTTGAGGAGGGAGACTCTTGTTTTGATGAACTGCCTAAAAAGGCACTCAAGTTGTTCTTCCTGATCTTGAATGCATGACTCCAGATTGTCGAGCTGGTTGTCTGCATTTTTGTGGTCAGATTTGCTTGTCTTAATGAATGATTGCAGAGCAGCATCCACTTGTGCAAATTCATTTGCTTCTGTTTCTTCCTCACAAGTTACTCTTTTGGTGTGAATAATCTTGGAAACCAATGACCAGCTGCTGCTTGGCTTTGGGCCAGAGATGAAGGACAGGAGTGATTCGAACACTGAGAGAGTGACTGCCTCAACATCTCTCAATGTGCTAACAACGGCAATAGTCTCGTTGTCCTTGTTAAGGGATGAGAAACTGGATCCCTTGAGATTTCCCATAGCCTTGTGGATTGCCTTCTTCACCATCTTCCTAGAGGTCAAGTATTTCCTGACCTCAGTTGTGAGTGCTCCGGATTCACTTCCCCGCCTTCTTCGCATGATTGATTGAAGGTCCTGCATGCATTCCTTGGTCTGCAACAGGGCATCCTTGGCACTGCTGCAAACATCCAAGATCCTCAGAGAGCCATCTAATAGCTCATTAGTTGATTTCTCATTCTGCTCTTGTGCCAAGGCTTGTTGAGTGAGGGGCAACTGAAGTAACCTATCAACACAACTATGCAATTCTTGAAGGCCAGTTAGTTTGTGGCTGATTGATGATGATGCGGAGGTGACCGCAGAGGACCTCAATCTACACAAATGTTCGTCTACTTCTTGAACGATAGGGTGTGGCCTTGAAGGGAAGCTGTTAGAGCGAGTGTGGAAAGCCATTTCTTTTTTCTTTTTTGGTCTTGTGAGAGAGAGAATAGATGACCTTGAAAGAATAGGTTAAATGTACAATTCAAACTGATGTGTTCCTTCCCATCTGCATCTGCTTAATATATAGTGTTGGTTGAAGAAGTGGACATGGAATCTCATCCTCTTCAATCACCAGCCGGAGGTAACATGATTTCGATTTGGATCTATATGTTCCCTAGGCAATGTTTATGCAATGTCTCTTCCCACACCAGCAAAACAACTCATTTAGTATATGCTGTTGCACGAGTGGCATTAACCTAATAACCCTGTGTCGACCAAAGGAAACCATGCATCTTTCCCAGCCATAGTGTTATATGATTTATTAAAGTCAATTATGCAGATCAGAGTATTTTGCAGGTCCTTGATATGATTGCTGGGCAAGGAGGAGGCAAGATCTGCAACCTGTATTAATAAGTATTGTAGAAAAATGGTATGTAACAGACTTGGTGATCTGGACTGTTTGTCTCCCAAACGAAACGAAAACCGGCAAAATTATCGTTACTGGGTGTGATATCTGAGTCTACCATTGGAGTAATAATTAACTAATTAGTCCCATTGATTTGTTAATGTTAATCTGTTTTTGATTGTTTCCCTGGATATAATTAGACATGAAAGCCCCCAATTAAGTGTTTAAACACTTGAGCTCTAAGAGTATTTGATTGAGTATCTGAGAAAGTATATAACAAATGTATATCTCATTCATGTACAAGTATGAGCCAAAATACTTTTGGGTGAATCATCAAACGCCTTGAAATTCTGGTTTTCAACGTACTTTTTGGAAGAATCATCCGGTGCTAGTTGAATTTTCTAATCTAGTGGTTTGAGGATGTTGAGAAGGAGACCTCAATCATAACTTAAGTTCAAAGAGTCCTGTGAATTTGTTGAGGGTATCTTGGATGTTTGCAGCGCTGTGGTATTTCTAAAGGAAATTAAATAAATAAAAATGATTAAAACAGAAAATTCAATTCAAAAATAAAACTTGAAAAAGAACAAAAGAGGAATTGGCTAAAAAGGTGGGCGGTCTGGTCAAGAGCGGCGGACCTCTTCGGCCAGTAAGTTCGGATAGCTCTGGATGCCGTCGAGTTCACCACTGCTGCTCTGATAAGCCAACATCCTTATGCCATCGTGGGCAAAGACGTCAACCGGGCAGCCTAAAGAGACTATAGGAGCCCAATCTAGTCCTTCTGGAAACATACGGCGAGCCTAGACTTGTGTATCTAAGGCACTAACCGAGAACATATTGGGCCGTAGGTTGTTTGTCCGTGTCTTAACAAGAACTTTCCACATTCCACCTTTAATGCCCCCACGTTGGGTCACAAGCCCACGTTACTAAGCTCGGCAAACTAAATTTTAGGAATTAACCATATTAAGTACTTAACAAGCATTATGTTTTTTCAATGTGGGATTTACTGTTTTTCAGATGAAGGAGAAAAGGAATAAAACTATAACATGATGTTCACTGCTTCGCGAGAGTCAAATCCTCCTTTGAATGCAATTTGTTGTTGATTATTGACTATCTTCCTTGAGATATCTGATATCCTTTGCTTGCATATAAATCCATGTAATCTCAGTGTGATTGCTGTTAAATTTTCCTTTTCTTTGTAATTTTTCTTTAGTTTGGTTTCTGTTTGTTCAAGGCTTGGAACTATATGTTTTCTGCACTAATTCAGGATTACGATCGGCACCAAACTTTAATGCTATTTTAAGCAAGAAAAAAGAGTCGTAGCAATTATTTAAGCAAAAGAGTATATCATTATGTGTATAAATTTGAGATCAGAGGATATTTCTGTATACAAGTCCTTTTTCATGTACAAGTATGCGCCAAAATACTTTTGGACGAATCATCAAACGCCTTGAAATTCTGGTTTTCATTGTACTTTTGGATGAATCATCCGGTACTAGTTGAGTATTTTTTTCTAATCTAGTGGTTGAGGATGTTGAGAAGGTAAAACTCTGGTTTTCATCAAACGTCTTGAAAGGTGTTCAAGTAACACTCTTCTAGATCTTGTACGCGCAAGTCCAATATTTGAGGAGGCTCCCTTGAGATATTTGATATTTTTCTTGCAAAAATCCCATGTGACCTCAATCATAACTGTAGAGAGTCCTGTGAATTTGTTGAGGGTATCAAACGTCAAGGATGAAAATTTTGCATTAATATCATTTCCACCTAGTACAAATTTCTTCCGGCTTGAACACTCACTTTCTAAAATAGTCTGAATGGTATTTCTTTCCCGTATTTTATTTTTTTTGATAAGTGGGGGGACAAAGCCCAAGAAACAGACTACACCAACTGGTCTAAACAGACCAATCTAGAATGAAAAATTCCAAGCAGATCATCAACAAGATAATCACTTAACCAACTAGGGGCCTGCTCAAACAAGCATAGCCCAAGATCCACTTGATAACTCCAATTAGCCAATCGGTCAGCAATAATATTCTTCTTATGAAAAACATGCTGAAGGGCACACCTGGGAACCTGCTGCATAAGGTCACAACATTTCCTAACCAAAGCAGCTAGAGGATGCAGAGCAAGCATAGAAGAATTCTGACAGAGATTGACTGCAATAGTTGAGTCCATCTCAATAATGAGACTACTGATGCCCTTCTCAATTGCTAACTTCAAACCAAAGAAAAGACCCCATATCTCAGCCTCAAGAACTTGACCTTTTTCCAGATTGACAGCAAAACCACTTACCCAGTCACCAAAAGGGTCACGAATGACTCCCCCAGCACCAATGCAGCCAGTAACGCTTCTCCTTGAACCATCCACATTCAGATTGAACTGTCCAGGCCTAGGAGGCTCCCAGGCAACATGAATTTGAACTTTATTTACCCTTATAGTGCGATTAGAAGTTGACTTAATCCACTCTTGGGCTGCCCCACAAATAACTTGTCTTGGACTAAAGAGGACTGTATCCTCATTCTGAAAAACATGTTTATTTCTCCAACACCATAAATGCCAGCAAGTAAACACAAAAAAAGTACTCCAAGGAACATCACCATTCCATTCCTCCCTGGAAAGCACATTGACCTTCATCCAAAGCTGAGCATCTAAATGGAAAAAATTGTGAGCATAGGCAGGGAGAATAGCATTCCACGTAGATCGAGCTTGCTCACAATCACGAAGAATGTGAAGAACAGTTTCAGTAGGCCAAGAACAAAAGCCACATGAAGGGTCAGAAGCCAACTGCCTTCTAACATGCTGATCATTAGATAAAATTTTGCCTTGAGAAGCCAGCCACATAAAGTATTGAAGCTTAGGAGGAACATTTAAACTCCACAAGGAATTCCAGCAGGAGTCAGGAGTAGAACAGCTTTCAAAGAATAAACTATAAGCAGATTTAACAGAAAAGTTGCCATTAGCACTACCCTTCCAAATCTGAGTATCAGGTAAAGAGCCCAAAAACCCCATAGGAACACTAATGATCTGTTGAACAAGGTCTTCACAAAAAACACCTCTCAACTTATCAATATCCCACCAGCCATTCATAGAAAAACTTGAAACAGAACATTTGCTATCATGGATGGTGAGAACTCCAGCCTGCTGCATTAAAGGGACATCAGTAACCCAATTATCCTCCTAGAATTTTACACTATCTCCCCGACCTATTCTCCAACGCATCCCTTGCATAAGCAACTGAATACCATGCATAATACTCCTCCAAGTAGTGGTGCAAACCTGCCTTGCTCCAAGAGAATTATCAAAAATAGAAGCCCCTTTAAGATACTTAGCCTCATAAATTTTTGCCCATAAACCATTGTCCTTAGAATGCAATCTCCACCCAATCTTAGCAAGAAGAGCCTGATTCATACTAGCAGTCTTTTTAAACCCCAAACCTCCTTTACCTTTAGGCCTACAAGCCAAATCCCATTGACAAAGATGGATCTTATATTTCTCTCACTGCTGCCCTAGAAGAAATTACGGTTAAGCCGATCTAAATCATTACAGACACTAACAGGAAGTTTAGTAGTTTGCATAACATAAACAGGGATAGAAGCTGTAACCGCTTGAATTAAAGTAGCTCTTCCAGCTAAAGATAGGAGCTGACTCTCCCAAGATGCCAGTCAATTTGCACCTTATCAACTAAAGAACTATAAGTGTGCTTTCTGATTCTAGAATGCAAAAGAGGCATTCCTAGATACTTACCAAGGTCATTAGTGAGAGGAGAGCCACAAATCAAACTTGTCTCCTTAGCAACCTCTTTACAAGTGTTAGGAGAGTAGAAGATAGCAGACTTATCAAAATTGACTACTTGTCCAGAAGCAGAGCAAAACAAATCCAGACAACTCTTCATAATTTTAGCTTGGCTAGCACTAGCCTCCGCAAACAACACAAGATCATCAGCAAAAAAAAGGTGGGAGATTGCAGGGCCAGACTGAGAAGATTTCACAGGCCGCCACTTATTCTTACTAACAGCATCATAGATAACATGAGAGAGTTTTTTAATACAGAGAACAAAGAGGTAGGGAGATAAGGGATCTCCCTGTCTAATACCATTCATAGGACTAAAAGGAGCAGTCAATTCCCCATTCACATTAATCTGATATCTCACAGACTGAACACAGTTCATTATCAACTTAACCAATGGAGCAGGTAGCCTCAATTCAAGAAGCACATACTCAACAAAATGCCAACTCAACCTGTCATAGGCCTTAGAGAGGTCTATTTTCCAAGCGACAAACCCTTTTTTCCCTTTAGACAACTTAAATTTATGCATTAACTCCTGTGCAATAAGGATATTATCTGTAATATGTCAGCCAGGGATAAAACTAACTTGGTTGGGACTTATAAGATTAGGAAGAATAGGCCTTAACCGAGCCACAAGGATTTTAGAAATGACCTTGTACAGAGTAGAGCATAAGCTTATAGGCCTAAACTGGACCATAGACTGGGGGCTTTGCAATTTAGGCACCAGAGTTATTAAAGTGTAATTCAGCTTGTCAGGGATGCTGCACTTCTGAAAAGCTTGAGTCACCATTGCAAAAATATCATCAGCACATTTATTCCATTGAGCTTGATAGAAACAAGCTGGAAACCCATATACACCAAGAGCTTTCAAACCTCCAATCCCAAACAAACTTTGCTTAATCTCAGCCATATCAACTTCCTTCTCAAGCAACTCCAGATTAGCCGCATCAATAACAGGGAACAACTTAGGTAAAGTTAGGTAACTATGCTTCACAATCTCTTGAGAGAACAACTGCTCAAAATACGCCGTAGCCAAACCTTTAATGTCTTGAGCTTCCTCAACCCAAACCCCCTCATTATTCTCTCAATTTTATTCCTCCGCCGCCTAATAATAGTAGTAAGATGAAAGAATTTGGTGTTTCGATCACCTTCCTAAAGCCACTATAATCTGGATTTTTGTTTCCAGAACATAGCCTCTTGCTCCATCACACAATTATACTCCTCAATCAAAGAAATTTCCAATTTACTCAAAAAAGTATTTGAGCCATTGCAAAAAGCTTTTTGAATACCATTAAGACGAGCCAACAAACAGGCATTCCGCTTCTTAATCTTGATTGGATTGTGATCAGAAGTAGTCCTAGGCAAATGCTGAACATTAGCCTCATGAAATAACCTTCTCCATTGCATATTACAAATAGCTCAATCTAACCTTGCATAGACTCTCTTATTGTTCCATGTAAATTTAGGTCCAGAATAACCCAAATCAATCATCTCATTACCATCAACCCAGTTTCTAAAACCTTTAGATTTGCACTCTAAAGCTCCACCAAACTTCTCATCAGCAGTAAGTAACCCATTAAAATCCCCGGCAATCAACCAAGGCATATTATGACTTGCAGCAACAAAAGAGAGATAGTCCCACATTTTCACTCGCTTGACAACATTAGGACTAGCATAAACACCAGTAAAAAGCCAAGGGTCTTGACCATTGCGAGCCACACAAGCAGAAATCGTTTGATCAGAGGTGCCAACAACTTCTACATGAACTCTGGAATAATCCCATAATAGCCACAAACCACCAGAGAACCCCACAACGTCAACAATTTCAAAGCAAGGAAAGCCGAGAGACTTAACTACAGAAGTAGCCTTTGCTCCACTTATACGAGGCTCACAAAGAAAAAGCATATCCAATCGATGAGTGCGAATCAAATCAAGCACATTAGACTTAAATTTGGAGCTCGTTGCTCCTCTACATTCCAACAACAAAAATCCATAAAAAATCAAAGAGTAGAGTAACCTTAAGGCCTAAAACCCTTTTATTAACACTCAAAAGTCATACCTTCACCAGGAGAAGGTATTACTTGCCAAGTGTCCACCATGTGAACTAATGTGTCCTTCCGAAAAGTCCATTTTCTCTGTGGGATCCAAACCCTCACTATCAGAAAGGATTAGCACTTCATCATCACTGTCAGAACCAGAGTTGTCATCCCTACTAGTAGCCATCTCCCCTATATTGGGTGGCTGCTGCCCAAAGATATACAACCCTTTTTCCTTTTGAACTGGTTGTCCACTACCCCAGCTCGCAAATTGCTCATGTAGAGAACCAGCAACAACACTTTTCTTGCCTTGAAATCCCACTCTTCCTGTAGAATAAGATATACCAATGGTACTTCTACTTGCCACACTAGCAGCCTGACGACTTCCAAAGAGATTTCTAATTGCCACACCAGTATTCTGACAACTTTCCTTCACATGATTCTTCACAGGCAAGCTCTTGTTTGAAATATCCTCCAAAGCCTACCTAGCAACATACTTTTTACCCTTAGACTTTGTCCAAACCTTATTTCCCATATTCAAATCAGTCAAGAAAGATTGCATTGGTTTGTTACCAGTCTGATAAAAAATTTCACCAATATTCCCCTCATCCTTTCCAAAATTCTCACCAACTTGCCTAAGAGCATCAAACCTTGAGCCTTTATTTTTAACCCCAGAATCCTTGCCTTCCACTCCCTTAAAATTAGATTGAAGCCTACGCCTAGGGGGAACTGAAAATGGTACTTAGGTGACGAGGGGTAAATTTAAAAGATATTCAACCAAGAACGCAGCAAACTTCACACACTCTAGACCTTGACCAAATACTCTTATGACTAGTCAACTGTCATATATGAATTATACCAAACAATAACATACACAGAGCACACCAAGATGTACCTGCAAGCCTAGAGAATTACTAGTGACAACCTAGGCACTCAGAAGGACCCGTCAATCTAGGCATCCCATGTGCTAGCAACAACTATGGTGAAAGTGTGTGAAGACCAAACAGCAGAATCAAGCAAACACCAAACAGCAGAAAAAGATGACTAGTCAACTGCACAAACCCAGATGACTAGTCAACTGTCAAGAACACAAACCCAGAAAATTTACAGAGTTGGAAACCAGAAACTGTTTACCCAGAAACCCACCATTGGGAAAAACTGGGGGTCATCAACCGACCAGGCAATCCACTAAGTAGAAAAAGATTCTTACAAAGGAACACAAGCAAGCTCAAGAAAAACCTAGATCTATTTAGGAAGATGAGCTATACCTCCTTTGTGCAATCTTCTTCTCCAACTTAGCAAAGCTTGAAGCTCAGTTCTTCATGGCAATGGCAGCTCCTTCTCCAGCTCGTTCATCCCATGACACTAGCTTGCAAGCTCCAACACAAACCGAAACCAAAATTTGGATTCAAAGGAGAATGACCAATTTCTTCAAGAAACCATACTCTTGAAATCTGACCTAGATATAAATGATAGAATGATTTAAGTAGCTAGATGCAGATTTGTGTTTCAAATGCAGTTTTTCAAAAAGAAATCAATTGGAAAAACTCATAGATGAAATAAGATGGTTCTCTCGAGGAAGAAGAAGCGAAAGATGGCAAGCCAAACTTTCCAAAACTTCCACCCAAAAGAGACAACACCCAAATGACCAAAAACGTAGCCTTTACAGCCAAAAAATTCCTTAGGTCAGAAAACACAGATGGCAGCAGAGAGAGAGAAAGAGGAATAGGACAAAACAGTTTGTTATCCAGCTGGAAATCCTACAGAGCAAGGATGACTAGTCATCTGAGAAACGGATGACTAGTCATTATTTTTATGAAGACTGTTTTATGAAATGATATGCAATGCACAATACCTTTGTCAAATTGCTTGAACCTCCATACAACAGAAGTTAGAGAAGAGCACCAAGAAAGGTTTTCCTTAATCTAAACTTGAGCTTGATAAATAACAACACACATTCTATTACAAAGTTGTCAAGGGAAGCCAAAAGAAAATAGTAAAAACCATACATTAACAGGAACATTCATCCATGGCCCTCTCAAGCTCTGGTCAGACTCATAGTGAGCCCTATTAATTCCCACCGAACTACTCCCCTTAACATCAGCACCCATGGCAATAGTAGTCTCACCATTAACAGTTTCAGCATCTTTAACATTCAATTCACACTTCTCTCGTTTATGGCCATACCTCCCACATAGGTAGCATATATCTAGCAGCCCCTCATACTCTACTAGTTCTGGTTAATTTGGACGAAAGCATCTAAAGGCTTAGTGAGATCTAATTCCACACACAACCGAGCAAAAACTTTCCCCTATTTTGAGCAGTGGTAAGAGAATCAATCTTTAACAATTTCCCCAATAAATTCCCAACTCGTTTCAACGACCAAACATCAAAACACTCAAGTTGAATAGCAGAGACACGAAGCCAAACAGCCATTCGAGTGATATGTGCAGTAGCTGGACAAAAGCCAGGCCTCCATTTTTGCATGACTAAATATTGACCAGCTATTATCCAAGGACCACCAGTGAGAACAAAATTTAAGTCCTCCTCAAGCTCAAATTTTACCACAAAATAATCTCTCCAAATCTATCAATTTCCACTCCCCTTTCAAATTCCATTTCTAGTGTAATCGATCACGTAAATAATTATAAGTATGAGACCTGCCCAAGAGCTTAATAATCAGAGCATTCTTCCAAGGTCGGCATAACCTATCCATTGCCCTATCAGAGAATTGAATACTAGGGCCTCGATCACCCCGAGAAATAACCACATCTTCGTCATCATTGAGATCCTCATAAGCATCATCCAAACAATTAACATCTATACCCACATTCTTAGTCAAATTCACCTTGTTCATAAGCTTATCATGAAAACTATCAGAACCAAGGTGAAAACGAGATACCTGCTCAGAGTCAACAATAGGTGTCTGGTCCTGCATCAGACGTGAATCATAATCAGCATCCATATCACACTCAGGTTCAGCATTCTCTGATGCTCGACTTCGCTCAGGCAAGCGACAAGGATTCAAGAAAACTCCAGGTGAGCCTTTCGCCATGACCAACAGAAAATCAGAGGGAAATCAGCCAGAAACGAAAGAGGAACTGCCTGGAAACCACTGGAATTGGCAGTTTCCAGCAAGAATCAATCGGAAACGAGCGAGATCTGGAAAGAAAAGAAAAATCCTTCGGGTGTTAGGCGCGTACAAAAAAAAAACTGACGGAATCCAAGTTTTTTTCTTATCTCATGGTTCTTCTTTCCCGTATTTCAAATACTTCATACCGTGCCAAATAAGTTACTGGGTGTTCTTTTAATGGTTTCAGTACCAACTGTTAAAAAAAAAAAAAAAAAAAATAAAATAAATTGTAATTTTAATTTTTTTTATAAAAAAATTGGTCTCTATCTATCTGTTAGGAAGATGGTTTCTTGTATTATATCCCATATGATCTCAGTGCTTGCTTTGAACACTCACATTATAGCTGTTTAATTTTTGTTTTATTCTTTGTAATTTTTCTTAAGCTTGGTCTCTGTTTGTTCAAATCTTTGACCTCTTCTCTTAGGAAGATGTTTTCTGCCTTAATTGACGCCTTGATAACATGACAAATAGAACATTTACAACGCAATTAGTGCAATAAAGTTTCAGTAAATAGTGAAAGAATTCAGGATTCGGATCGGCACCAAATTGAATGCTATTTCAAGCGCAATTTAACCAAAATTGTATTAATTTGAGATCAGAGGATGTTTCTGTAACCAAAATTGTATTCCGCAAGCATGTGTTTATGTGAGGATCAAGTCCTCCTTTGAATGTAATCAACTGTTGATTATTGATTATCTTACTTGAGAGTGAGACAAACAGAATCTTGACAGCCTTGACATTTGGTATAATTTGCACAAATATCCCATGTGACCTCAATCATACATTGTTATAACTCCTGTGAAATACCACTCAGCCTTGTGTACGATTGAGAAATTACAGTTAATTCTTTTTCAAATTGTAATTGGAGAAAAAGAAGTTCTTTTGTGAATTAGTTTTTAAGACTAAGTAGAAAGTATATCTTCAGTACTCGCATTAATTAACCATACGAGCTTCGGAAAGGAATGCATTTGAAAAAAGAGAAAAGATAAGTGGCAATTCAAGGGAAAAAGTATATCATTATGTATATGAATTTGATATCAGAGGATGTATTTGTATACACATGTATGTCTTTCATGTACAAAAATCGAAAAAGCTAATATACGTCTAGTGGTTTAGGATGTTGAGGAGGGAGACTCTTGTTTTGATCATTTGCCTAAATAGGCACTCAAGTCCTTGTTCTTGGTCTTGAATGCATGACTCCAGTTGGTCAAGTTGATTGTGGGCATCATCAGCACTAGGCTTGCTTGCCTTGTGTCTAATGAGTGAGTTCAACGCAGCATCCACCTCTGAAAATTCATTTATTTCTGTCGCTTCCTCACAAGCCACTTTCTTTGACTGCATCATCTTGGAGACTAGTGACCAGCTGCTGGGCTGTGATTTTGGCCCGGATATGAAGGAAAGAAGTGACTCAAACACTGTGGGGGTGATTGCTTCAACTTCTCTCAACTTGCTAACAATGGAAAATGTCTCATTGTCATTGTTGAGGGAAGAAAATGTGGATCTGTTTTTGGTTCCCTTGAGATTCTTCATAGCCTTTTGGATTGCCTTTTTCACCATCTTCCTAGAGGTTAAGTATTTCCTAACCTCACTTGTGAGACCAGTTTCACCTCCTCTCCTTCTTATGATCGATTGAAGATCCTGTACGCATTCCTTAGTTTGCAAGATGGCATCCTTAGCACTGCTAGAAACATCCAAGAGTCTGAGAGAGCCATCTAGTAGCTCATTAGCCCATTTCTCATTCTGCTCTTGTGCTAAGGCTTGCTGAGTGAGGGGCAACTGAAGCAACCTATCAACACAATCGTGCAAGTCTTGGAGGCCACTTAGTTTGTGGCTTATTGAAGATGAAGATGCAGAGGTGGACTCAGAAGATTTCAATCTGCACAAGAGTTCATCAACTTCTTGAAGGACCGGGTGTGGCCTAGAGGGGAAGCTGTTAGAGCGAGTGTGGAAAGCCATTTCTTGTTTGTGTGTTGTGAGAGGATAGAAGAGAAGACCTTGTAGTTAATGCACAATTGAGATTGATGTGTTCATTTCCATATGCATCTGCTTAATATATAGTGTTGGTTGAGGAAGGGGACAGGACATGGTATCGTGTCCACTGCAATCACCAGCCAGCAGTAACATGATTTCGATTTGGATATATATTTTCCCTAGGCAATGTTTATACAATGTCTCTTCCCACACCAGCACAACAACTCATGAGCTGATTCATTTTGCATATAAAATCTCAAGGTCTGCTCAAAATCCCTATTAACAATTGGACATAAATATATATATATATATATATTTTATATGTGATTGCACGAGCAGCATTGACTCTGTGTCTAATAATACGTGGTGAGGAAAAAACCATGCATCATAGCCATCCTTCTCATATGCTACAAACTCTATTATGCTGATTATGATTAATGTAAGTGATTAGTTAATTCATCTTAATTTCATGATTGTTGCTCTACGAGCAGGCAAGATCTGCAATATCCATTAATTTATGACCATGCATTGTGTTTCCATATTGTAGAAAAATGCTATGTAGCAGACTTGAAGAACTGGACTGTTCACTAAACACCATGAAAACCAGCACAAATATTGTTATCGGGTGTGATATCTGAGTTTGCCATGTGAGTGTCATAAATTAATTAGCCCCAGGGATTGGTTATCTGTTTTTGACTATTTTCCTGGAGATTATTAGACGAGGACAGATTCAAATTCCGTTTACCCTGTTTGGGAAACTTGTGAGTTTTACCAGCAAATGCTACAGGTTTTGAAGTTATTAAGTTTTATCAAAAAGAAAAAACCTGTAATTGAAGTAATTTGTGGAAAGAAAAGTATTGATTAATTATCTGAGAAAGTATATTGTACATGTATATCTCATTAATGTACAAGTATAAGCCAAAACAATTTTGGATGAATCATCCAGTACCATCTGAATATCCTAATCCAGTGGTTGAGGATGTTGAGGAGGGAAACTCTGGTTTTGATCAAACGCCTTGAAAGGTGTTCAAGTGACTCTTCTAGATCTTGTATGCACAACTCTAAATTTTGCAGTTGGGTTTGTGCATTCTGAATAATGTTATCAGATTCTTTTGTCTTGTGACCAACAATTGAGTGCAATGCTGCATCCACCATTGCAAATTCATTTGCATCTGTTTCTTCTTCTTCTTCTTCTTCTTTACATGGTGCTACTCTTTTATGGCGCATCAAGTTTGAGACTAGTTGCAACCCACTTGGCTTTGATTGTGTCTTTGGACCCGAGATAAAAGAAAATATGGAGTTAAACACAGTCTGAGTAACTGCTTCCATCTCTTTCAACATGCTAACCATAGCCACAGCCTCATGCTCCTTACTGAAGGGAGAAACACCCTTCAAATTTCCTAAGGCCTTGCAGACAGCTTTTTTCATCACCTTCCTGATTGTCAAGAATTTCTTAACCTCACTTGCAAGCTCAGTTTTTCCTCCCTGTCTTCTGCGGATGATTGATAAAATTTTTATCGTGCATTCCTTGGTTTGGAGCAAGGTATCCTTGGTGACACTACATACATCCAATAGCCTAAGAGATCCATCCAATAGCTCATCGTTCTCCTCTTGAGCTAAGGCTTGTCGAGTGAGTGGCAACAAAAGCAGCGCATCTGCACAATCATACAAATCCTTAAGGCCATTTAGGTGGCTTACTGATGTAGAGGATGAAGAGGCGGTTCCAGAAGTCCTCAATCTGCACAACTGCTCATCAAATTCTGAAATGAGAGGGTGCGTTGTTGAGGGAACGCTGTTTGAGCGAGCATGGCAATTGGATTTTGTGGCAGCCATTTTTTTCTGTTTAGAGAAAAGAAAGTTTTGCAGTGAATTATTGTACAAGTTCTTCTAGCGGTTCCTCCATGGGCATCTGCTTAATATATACAGGAGGATGATGACTGACTATTCAAGTATACTGTGGATTGCTAGGAAACATGAAGAATCTCATCCTATTCATATAACAATGAATGGTTTTGGATCTTTGTGATTTGAATATGTTTATCTCAACAATGTCCCTGCCCTGTTCCCTACCTTTCAACTCCCCAGCTCAGCATTTATGTCTTTTAATATTTGTGACGCCACATTCTGTGTTACATAGAGTACACGAATGGCATTGACTTTGTGTCATACAAGAAGCTGCCACAACCATAATTTCTCACCGTTTGCATTCTTAGTTTTAATGAATTTTTGGTGACAGATATGGATGCCCAACTGATTGAGTTGCTGGGTGATTGCCAAGTTTCGCTTATTTTATAGATCATCTTCGTCATTGTCGTTGAAATGGAAACACCAAAGCACCTCCAATACCTGTAAATTAAGTTGTCTGACCAAACAATCATGGTATGCCTGATGACCAACTTGTTAATGCATGTAAGGTTGTTGTCTGGAATGCGCTGTAAGACATACAGAATATAAAGCAAAGGAAAATGCATTTCATCAAGATAAAAAAATAAAAAAATAAAAAAATAAAAAAATAAAAAAAACAGAAAATGCATATGCATGCATCTGATTCTGATATAAAAACTAGTTGGTGGGAATTGGAAGATGATGAGTGATTCTGACATAGACAATGAAACCACATGATTTTAATAAACTAAAATAAAATATTGTGTTACATGATAATCGAGACATTGAATTAACAGAACTCGTCCCCACAGAGGCAGGCAGGAAGAGCTGGAATGCTGGATTGAAGAGCTATTATCTTTCTTTTACATATAGAAAGATGGTACAATACCACTTGTGTTCTGCATATTTTATGTTTAATTGTGCAAGGCATTACATAATATTGTTACCTAATTGAAGATAATCATGCTATATTAGAAGTAAAATATGGTTGGTGATGGGTTGCTGATCCGGTGTTGGGAGACAATGCATAAACATCGCTGATATAGTTTTCGGATCCAGATCCAAATCACGTTGTGACTCATTCAGCTGTGAAGAGGATGAGTTGCTTTTATCTCCCTAACCATGTAATATATATTGAGCAGATGCCAAAGGGAAGGAAAGCAAACTGAAACACCCAATTGAACATTCAACTGCAAAGCACAAGGCCTTTCTCTTTCCCATTAAAAAAGAAAATGGCTTCCTTCCATCCTCGCTGATAGGATTTTAAGTACCTGTGCAAATAGGGTTAAAATCACATAAAATACTTGCAAGAATACAAGACTATTGTAGTATAGATGCTCATGCAAAGTCGTTCTCCTCAAGGACTATTTAGCAATTTATGTAAAAACAATTTCCAATTAACTATCTAAAATTAAAGGTTGAGAAAGATGTTTGTGAAATTGGTTGATACTAAAAATAAAGTTTAAATAAAAACAAATACAATTGAAGGAAAGAGTTTTAAATATCAATTTATAAAAGCACTAGGGTTTCACCATCACCTAGCAATCCTATGAATTTTTACCAAACACTTATGATTTGCACTTGCCACTTTGAAGGTTAGGTTTTCCTAATTTATATTCTACTTGAAACCTCTAATATAGAACGTATATCCAACATGCAACCCGTCCGGACGTTTGGATCAAATATGAACATGAAAGACTTATTAAGTTTTGTGAAAACCCTTTGAAAAACCATGCAACTCTTAAGACGCAGTGCCGGAGCCAATGCATGCCCAGGGAGGGCATGTGCCCCTCCTCAAATATTGTTGTATGGATATTTAGTTATAATAATATTATGAAATTCCCTTTAAATTCTTAAATTTCCCCTTTTTTCTTTGTTTTCTCTATTATTCTCAAGTGTAAATTTCTTTTGAGTTGCATATATTTTATTATTATGAATGAATGTTAGGTTATTTATACAAAAAGTAACAACAAAGAAAGTAAAAAGAGTTTGAATTTTCAATTGTGCCCCTTCTCACTTAAATTTTTGGCTCCGCCACTGTTAAGATGTGGTGTTCATCTTAAGTGAAATTACAATTATTAATCATAAGAAGCTAACGTCAATTTCAGGGAACATTCCGACCAAAATTGCATCCAATTACTTTTCTAAAGATCCTAATGGTGATCATGCATTAAGACAATTAGATAGTTTAAAACAATGATTAACAATTCAAAGTATGCATGCACTTAATCATAAGCAATTAAATAAAAATCACATATTCATGCTAAGGTTCAAGGCTTCACCCTAGCAAAAGGAAATTAGTTACTCATATTCATAATTGAAATCCAAGAAAATATCATTAAGAAGAGAAGAATGAAAACACCTTAAAGTCGCAAAAACCCAAAACCCTAGCAATTGCTCTCCATAATGACACATTCAAAAGCCAAAAGGAAGTCTAAATTGAATTAGGAGAATATGCCCACAATCTGTCCAGCCACGTGTTGGCCTCAAATCTCCTCCAAATCTAGCCCAAGATAGCTTGTTTTAAAAATAAAAACATTTTGAACACTTCTCCAAAAGGCCACAAACCCATCCGAGGTCATCTTGGGCTCCAAAAATGCAATAAAAGCCCAAAACGTCATTATTCCAGCACCGTGCACTGCACTTATTGCCAGAAAATAACCGTTTGGTAGAAAAATCTGGAATTTTGATACGATCAAGCTAAGTGACTCACGAACGTCCTCCAACTGGAATTACTCCAAAATTCGTCCATTTGATTATGTTTTGCTCCAGAGGAAGTCGAAAGTCCTACACATATTTGCCTTTCATATACAAAACTGAAAAGGTAATATCTAATGGTTTAATGTGTTGAGAAGAGAGACTCTTGTTTTGATGAGTTGCCTAAATAGACACTCAAGTTGTTCTTCCTGATCTTCAATGCATGACTCAAGATTGTCAAGATGGCTTTGGGGATGAGATTTGTTTGTCTTGCATCCAATGAGTGATTTCAATACACCATCCACCTTTGCAAACTCATTTGCTTCTGTTTCTTCCACACAAGCTACTTTTTTTGATTGCATCTGTTAGATAAAAAGTGTAATAAAGAAATTAAAAATTCATCCAACATAATCTCACTCTTATTTACAAATAAGAGTTTTTTTATTTTTAATTGAGTACGACCCATTCAAGATAAAAAATATCTCTTAATTACAATCTCTTCGTAAAGAGAAAACCCTTTGATTCCAATATGAAGAATGAAATAAATAATGGAATTTGATTTGATGTTACGGCTGCATCCAAGCAACCCCAGATTGCCTACATACCCCATTTTGGGGATCAAGCCTTTTGTAGTTCTCAAGAGAATTTAATTGGACTTTCAAGGAATGAATGACCCCTTGAAAGAATTTGTGGTATGAGAAATCTTTTATGGAATTTGGATGAATGTGGTTGGACCAGAGATTCAATTTGATTTTGTGGTTGGAAAAGTGTTTGGGACGAATTTGGTTAAGGGACACCAGGGATTCTGTTTGGACTTGCGGTTGTATTTGGATTGAATTTCCAAATTGCCTACATATCCTTGGCGGAATCAAACCGGACGTAGTTCAGAATGATTTTTGTGGAGATTTGATTGGTGAGAATTTGGTTGCGGTAACTAGTGATTCAAATTTGGTTGCGGTTGCGTCTATTAGGATGTTAGATTGCCTACGTACCTTGATGAGATCAAACCGACGTAGTTCCAACCGTTTGGTTGGTCTTTCAAAGAATGAATGACCCTTTGAAAGAATTTGTGTGTTTTGAGAAATTTAAATTTGATCTCATTGAAATTTGCAGGGTAAATGACCCATGAGAAAATTTGGAATGGTTTTGTACCATCTTTTTATTGTTAATGTCCAAAGAAAATTAAAAGGCATTTTAATGAGCCTATTAATTTACTCACATATGGTTTTAAGGATTTAAAAATTAATCCATTAACCACATAATTTATTTGGACCACCCATAAAATATTTTGGGCTTTTGAGAGTCAATGGGTAATTTGTTTTGTCAGCCCATCAATTTGTTTCCGGGCCTTGATATTTCCATTAGTTGGCCCATAAACAAAGAGTCCATGTCTGAGAGCCAGCTGCCAATTGAAACCAAAACCAATACAGAGCTTTGAGTTTGAGAAACCAAAACCGAGGTAAGTCCTTTCTTCTTTCCTCTGCTCATGTCTGTCAGACTTAGACTACATAACCAATTAAAATATAAATTGGAAGTATGGGAACTTAAAGTCAGACTTAGACCACAAAACCCATTGGAAGTATGGGAGCTTAAAGGCAACAACGTCTGTTTGTCAAAGTACAAAGGTATTTTTCCTTTTCTTTGTCCCTTTTTGGCTTTTTCTTCCTTGTTTTGTTTTTCGTTTCTTTCAGTAATACGAAACTTCATTTTTTATTGCTTTTCTTCTTCAATCTTGGGCATGGCAGGAAGGCTTTCTTTGAGCAACAGGTTTCTTCATTTTTTTGGTCTAAAGACCAAATTTTGGTTTGAAGAAAATTTGCTGGCAGCAAGCTGTGCATCCATTTAGCTTTGACTTCTCCTTTTGCATATGGCAAGTCTTTCTTCTTCTCCTTTGAATTTTGTTTCTTTTTCAGCTTTTGGGACTTCTTCAACCTTTAGCCTTCTTTGTTTTTGGCTTATGTTGCTTTTGGGTTCTTCAACAGCCACATGAGGAGGCTTGTTGTGTGGCTATTTGTCTTGGTGACTTGTGCTGCTCACTTGTGCATTTTTGGTCTGACAAGAAGGCAATTTTCTTTTTGTACAGAGACCTCTTGAATATCTTTGTCTTTCTGTTTGTTACTCAAGAGAATCTGCATTTTCATCGAGTGTGTCTATGAACACCTGCAAAGCACTCACAGCACTTAATACAAAAGGGTTCTTGCGAAAGCCCATTTGCATAATTTTCACAATAGAGAGATCCTTGCGAGAGCTCTCTTTGTGTAAAAGTTGTGCAGCCATCTCATCACCAATTTGGGAGGATTAATACAGAGGGGTTCTTATGGATGCCCATCTGTATATTTTCATAGAAAGGAGGTCCTTGCGAGAGCTCTTTCTATGCAATGTTGCAGTGACACCACTACTTTATCTCTAGGAAGGATCTAATCCTTCCGTCTGCAGTTTCTTGAGATCTCTGACAAATTGACAGCAAGGACATGGAGGAATTTCGCAGCGCACATTCTCAAAGCTTTTATGGCAGATTGATATGAGAGATATTTGTTGCTTTCATAGAGAAATGTGTTTTCAAGATGTTGGCATCCACGCAGAACTCATGATCTACCATTTACAGAGGCTTGTTGGATTAAACTTTGCATCGGATGTTTTTGAGCCGCAAAGAAATAACCTGTACTGAGAGACACCCTGAAGTTTTACAGCAAAGAATGAACTTTATACCTTGCCTTTCTTCTCTGATTGCTCCTGCCCTTTTGTTTCTTCCTTGATTTTTCTGTTATTTGAAACTTTCTGCTGGACCTTGGGTATCTTTTCTTCACGCTTCAATATCAATTTCTGAAGCACTTTCTTGCTTCTCGGCTCCTCCCTTCTTTGCAGCCCTTGGTTCCTCTCTGCGTTTTCTCTCCTGCAGCACCTCTTTTCTTTTTCTCTTCTCCTATCCCCTTTCCTTGCCTCCTTTGGTCCCTTTTTATAGACCCAGAGGAACTGACAGAGTGGGATCAGTTAAGGCCTCACGTACTGTGTGGGTGAGAGTAACTTCCCATTACAGTCACCCTCTCAACTCCACACTTCACGTACATGAAACTGTTTCTGCTTTCAATATATATTAATATTTCCTTGTAAAAATATCAATATTAATTCATTTGGGCCTAAACCAATTTACCAACAAGTCCACAAAACCATTTATCTATGAGCCCAACTTCTTTAAACTTGGGCTAGAATTTAATTTGCTGTCAATGAATTTTTTTATTTCAACAGCATCATCTTGGAGACCAATGACCAGCTGCTTGGCTGTGATTTTGGATCGGAGATGAAAGAAAGATGGGATTCAAACACAGTGAAAGTGACTGCTTCAACATCTCTCAAAGTTCTAACAATGGCAATAGTCTCATTGTCCTTGTTGAGGGATGAGAAACTCGATCCCTTGACATTATCCCATAGCCTTGTGGATTGCCTTTTTCACCATCTTCCTAGAGGTCAAGTATTTCCTGACCTCAGTTGTGAGTGCTCCACATTCACCTCCCTGTGTTCTTCGCATGATTGATTGAAGGTCCTGTATGCATTCCTTGGTTTGTAACAAGGCATCCTTGGCAGTGCTACAAATATCCAAGAGCCTTAGAGAGCCATCTAATAGCACATTAGTCCATTTCTCATTCTGCTCTTGTGCCAAGGCTTGTTGAGTGAGGGACAACTGAAGCAACCTATCAACACAATCATGCAAGTTTTGGAGGTCACTCAGTTTGTGGCTGATTGATGATGATGATGTGGAGGTGGCCTCAGAAGACCTCAGTCTACACAAATGTTCATCAATTTCTTGAACGACTGGGTGCGGCCTTGAAGGGAAGCTGTTAGAGCGAGTGTGGAAAGCCATTTCTTTTTATTTGTCTTGTGAGAAGAAAGAAAAGGAGCTTGTTGTTAATGTACAACTGAGATTGATGTGTTCATTTCCATATGCATCTGCTTAATATATAGTGTTGGTTGAGGAAGGGGACATGGAATCCCATCCACTTCAATCATCAGTGAGAGATAACATGATTTCGATTTGGATCTATACGTCCCCTAGGAAATGTTTACACAATGTCTCTTCTCCCACCAGCACACCAACTCATTTTGCATATAAAATCCCATGGCATGTGATGAGTCGATTTTATATTATATATTTAACCCCATTCTTATTATATTTTGGTTAATATTTTGGAAGAATTTTGATACTTTGAATTATATTTCCAATATAGGACTTTCGACTCCCTCTGGAGCAAAACATAATCAAATGGACGAATTTTGAAGTAATTCCAGTTGGAGGACGTTCGTGAGTCACTTGGCTTGATCGTATCAAAATTTAAGACTTTTCTACCAAGCGGTTATTTTCTGGCGATAAAATAAAGGAGCGATGTGCAGTGCTGGAATAGTGACGTTTTGGGCTTGTATTGCGTTTTTGGAGCCCAAGATGACCTTGGATGGGTTCATGGCCTTCTGGAGAAGTGTTCGGAATATTTTTATCTTTAAAACGAGCTATCTTGGGCCAGATTTGGAGGAGATTTGAGACTAAAACGTGGCTGGGCAGATTATGGGCAGATTCTCCTAATCCAATTTGGACTTTATTTCCTAGTCTTATTTTATTTTAACTTAGTTTCCTTGTGGGGATTGGGTAGCTAGGTTTTAGGAGGTATTTAAACTCCTTTTCACAGCAATTTAGGGACTCCCTTTTTACTTCTTTTTGGCTTTTGGGAGCAATTGCTAGGGTTTTGGATTTTCGCGACTTTCAGGTGTTTTCATTCTTATTCTTCTTAATGATATTTTCTTGGATTTCAATTGTGAACATGCGTAACTAACTCTCTTTTGCTAGGGTGAGGCCACGAGCCTTAGCAAGAATATGTAGTTTCTGTCCAATTTGCTTATGATTATATGCATGCAGGTTTTCGAATTATTCATCACTGGGTTAAACTATCTAAGTGTCTTGATGCTTGATCACCATTAGGATGTTTAGAAAAGTAATTTGATGCAGTTTTGGTCGGAGGTCGGTCCCTGAAATTGACGAAGGCTTCTTGTGATTAATATGTGCAAGTTCACTTAGGATGAATACCACGTCTTAAGGGTTGCATGGTTTTTCAAAAGGTTTCACAGAACTTAATGAGTCATGTATGTTTAGATTTGATCTGAATACCACATACGGATTGCATGTGTGATATACGCTCTATGTTGGGGGTCCAAGTAGGCATATATTAGGAATACCTAACCTTCGAAATATGCATGTATAGGTCATAAGTAATTGGGGGAACTATATAGAATTGTTAAGGTGACGGCGGATCCCTAGTGCTTTCTTAATTTGATTTCTAAAAACACAACTGTTTCTCTTGCTCTTAGCTTTAATTTTGCATATTGCCTTATTTTTATTAGTTAAATTCCTTTTAATTTAAGGTCTTCAAATCAAACATCTCAACTTTCTCTTTTGCAATAATTAATTAGAATTTGGTTGCTACGAGTTATTTAATAATCCATGCGGAGAACGACCTTGCGAGAATCATTTATACTACAATAACCTTGTCATTCTTGCAAGTTTTGTAGGAGTTTTAACCATGTTTGCGCAGGTACTAAAAAGCCTATCAGCATGCTTTCATAATGTAATAACCATTCCGTCATGATGAATATATTGGAGAGAGAGATCTGTAAATTAAATATGAGATTACACGAGTGGCATCGACTCTTTGCAGGTCCTTGACATGATTGTTAAGCAGGGAGCAGGCAAGATCTGCAATATGCATTAGTTTTATGACCATGCATTGTGTTTCCGAAATATTAAAAATGGTTTTTTTGCAGGCTAGACAAATTAGACTGTTCCCTGATCAGAAAGAAAGCCAGTACTATTGCCATTTTAATTAGAAGGGTTTGAGATCTGAGTCTGCCATGTGATTGTCATTAGTTAGTCCCATTGATTTTTTAACTTTAATCCACGTTAGACAGAGTGAGCAAGAAAATTTTAATTTGTGGCAGCCATTTCCCTTTCCATCCAGAGAAGAGAAGGTTTCTGGGTTGAATGTACAATACATTCTGGTGATTTACCTTTCTTTCAATAGCTCCGCGGCATGCCTACAGGCTGCATCTGCCTAATCTACAGAAGACTCCAAGGTAAACAAAAAAATTTATCAACCTTTTCCCATACAAGATTGTTTTGATTTGGCCAAGTGTTATCTCAGCAATGTCTCCCTAGCACTGGCATCTTAACTAATTTCCTATTATTTTTACATATAAAATCATACGACTAAGTTTCTTAACCTTAAGATAATGCTCCATATTGATGCCATGCTATATTATATTTTGAGCAATGGTGATAAAATAAACAAGGGCACGAGTGGATTGAAACCTTTTCCTCATACCCAAGAAAAGGCAATACCTATTATTTAGTGTCTTCCCCATCTGTACTTGCACCTGTTTGTTTTTTTTCTCTCTCTTCTGTTTCATGCAGCAGCAATAATGGTGTGTGACACGTTTGCATGTGAAAATAAATACGTTTTTTATGCTAATCGCCGCTGTAATCCTGGATATTAGATCGAGAAACACGGCACAGATGAAGCTTCTTAATTAATTGACATTAAGCTGTAATGTAGTTTACATTAGTAACAAACCAGACTGTGAAGCTTATGTGTGAAGTTCCTGCTATCTGCCTATCTGGTTGTGGTGGTTGTATATATTTCCACTAGGCACAAAAACCTTTTTCCTTTTGAATTGAATGTGATGATGCCTTTTTCTCCAATCCAATATGTCTCATTATGGCTCAACTTGCACAAATTGTAAACACTTTTCAATAACCAACAATTTAAATAAGTTCCACACTCACCCCATGACTACATGAAAAAACAATATTTAAATATAACTTTGGCTGATATAAAGATCATATGGATTTTATGGATTTCAAAAAGATTGTATAGCAAGAAAGCAAGCAACTTCATATCTTAGACTTCACCTATTTTTAGCTCTCTTTTTTTTTTCCTTCTTCTCGAAAACATGTTTTTAATCTCTGTTTTGTTGAAAAAAAAGAAAAATAGCGTGAGATGCAGAGCTAGCCTGCCAAGCTATCCTGTTGTCCCCCTAACAGAAGGACAGCCAGCATATGCTCAGTGCTTAGAGCATGTGAGAATGAAGTCCCCCTTTGAATAGCCTTAATTGATGTTGATTATTGATGATCTCTCTTGGGACAAGTAGAATCTTGACAGCCTTGACATTTGATATAATCTGCTTTCAGAAATCCCATGTGATCTCAATCATAATTTTGAAAACTCCTATAAATTTACCTCTCAAGACTCCCAGTTGACAGAGCAGAAGTAACTTCTATGGTTAAAATAGCTTTTTTGTTGAAGGGGTGAAAAATTAAAGACTTATTCATCTTTGTAATTGGACTATAAGGAAGTTCCCCTTTCCATTAAATGTCTTAATTGATACCTTGCATATAGGATCATAATTGGAAAATTTATAAGGTAATCAAAAGAATGAGAGCTTGCAGGAATTCATGATCAGTATGATGAACGAACCTTGCGGGATCCGAAAAATAAATGATTATGAAGAGAGAAAAAGTAGACACAATTTAAGCAAAAGAGTATTCATCATTTTGTATTACAAAACACAATACATGTATATTCATTTATGTACATAAAACCTAGCATCTTAGGCAACAAAAATCTTGGATGTTCATGATACTGCAGCAAAATTTTCACAATTAGTTGCTCAGGGTGTTGAGGAGGGAAACTCTATTCTTGATTAAACGCCGGAAAAGACACTCGAGCCCTTCTTCTAGATCCTGACTGCACATTTCCAATTGTTGCAGCTCACTCTGCACATTCTCACTGTCTACCATGCTGTCAGAGTTGCTTGTTTCTTGACACACAAGGGAGCTCAATGCAGCATCTACATCAGCAAATTCATTTATTTCTGTTTTGTCTTCCTCACAACCAACTTTTTTGGTGAGCATCAGCTTGGAAACAAAAGACCAGCCTCTCATCTTTGATGCTGACTTTGCTCCAGAGATGAAGGACAGAAGGGACTCAAACACTGTGAGAGAGACGGCTTCAACCTCTCTCAGCACAACAATCAAAGCCACAGTTACATTGTCTTTGTTGGTGGATGAGAAGGTGGATTTTTTCTGAGAAGTTCTTAAAGTCCCCAGGGCCTTGCAGACTGCCTTCTTGACCACCTTCCTTGAGGCTAAGTATTTCCTAACCTCATTTGTGAACCCGCTTTTGCCTCCCCTTCTTCTGCGCATGATCGACTGGATTTCGCGTGCGCACTCCTTTGTGTGTATCAAGGCATCCTTGGCTGCTGTACACACATCCAAGAGCCTAAGAGAGCCATCCAAAAGCTCATCTACCCACTTCTCATTTCGCTCTCGGACAAAGGCTTCTTGGGTGAGGGGCAACTGAAACAACTCATTGAGACAGTTATGCAAATCCAAGAGCCCACTCAATTTCTGGCTTATGGAAGATGACGAGTATGAGGATGAAGAGGAGGCATCAGAAGCTGCTATTCTCAACAAATGATCTTCACATTGCTGAAATAGAGGGTGTGGTTTCGAAGGCAGGCTGATTGACCGAATATGGTAGTTGGATTTCGGGTTTAAAGCTGAGGCAGAAGCCATTTTTTTTTCTTCTTTTCTAGGAAAAGAGAGAGAGAGAGAGAGAGAGAGAGAGAGAGAGAGAGAGAGATGATGGCCTTGAAATATTGTTCAGCTTTGTTAGAAATTTCAAACTTGGGTTTTTGCTTTCCTTTCCTTCAACACCTACTCTACATGTATTTATATAATGGAGCAAAGCCTCAAAGAGGAGGAGACAGAGAGCATCTTATCTTATCATCACACACAAATCAATGGGAGTTGATAGCATGATTTGGATTTGGATCTAAGACACCATCTCAGCGATGTTCATGCAATGCTCCCTAACACCAACACAAACACCATTACACAATTATTTTAGCTTGTCCATATCTCAATGTATCTCCAAAGCCTTTAACCATTGAGATTTGGTTCATGTGTTAGTGATGTGGCTGCACGAGGGGGGCTGGCTTAAATAATTCATGCAAACTCAAATTTGCATTGTAATGTGGTGTAGTCTTTAATTAATTTAATTTGCAGACAAATACAAAGATGAAGCCTCTTGGTTAGGTAAGCCCTGCCTCTCTGGAAGACAAGAGGAGGCTGCTTCACACTTGCACACGTGCATACTTTAATCCACAATGGTACCATAATGCCGTGTGAGATTAATTGTAGGGCAACAGTTTACCTTAATTAACTAATTATAATCACCTGTCAATGCTCAGTGTCACGTGTGACTTCCTTGATGATACAGCAAAGCAATGCTTGTGTTTATCTGGGCTGCTCCGCTATCATCAATTTGTAGTATTTTATTCCCTTTTTTCATAAGGGTTTGTCACATATTTTCGAATATGACAAATGACTGCTTTTGGTAATCAACTTGATAATGCCCCATATTACTTCGTTAACATGAAATGCCTTAACAAGTAGAAAAGTCAAGTCAAGAGCTTGTGGAGTGGTTAAGAGTATTTACCTCAATTTTTGTTTTTTTGTTTAATGGGCTTAGCCAAGTTGGTTAGAACGGATATGCTCCCCACTCAGCAGCTCCCCACTCGACACCCGAGTTCGAATCCTCTACCCAGTAATTTAGTTTAGATTAAAGTTGAATATTTTTTTTCCAAAGATTAAAATTGAATATCGTTTTTATAAAAAAAAAAATTGTCAATTGTATAAGAAAATAAAATAAAAGTAATTAGACTAAGTGCTAGTTTGGCATTGCTTATTTTGGGTGATAAGTGATTTTTTTAAAATTTTGAGGAGCCCAACCCGTTTGGTAAACTATGAGAAAATCACTTATTGTTAAAAATTGCTGTGAGAGAAAGCTATAAGGGAAAGCAGCTAATGAGGTGCTTTCATTTTCTGATTATGCAGAAATCAGTTCCGAAGAGGCTTTGGGTTTAATAATTGTGCGGCAATCATTTTTTGATTATGCATAAAATAAATACCAACAATACTTTTAACAAAAATTTTACCAAACGCCAAACTGCTTTCTCTTACAGCTGATTTCTCTCACAGCAAATCTGACAGCAATTATTTTCACAGCACAGCAATGCCAAACTGGCCCTAAGAAGGTGTAAAGTTAGCAAGGGTTTAGGGTATCAAAGATATAAATTCCAATTCCCAACTTGAGAAAACATACAGAAGTTCCAAAATGTGGTACGTTTGTATTAATTTCTTGTGTTATGATATTGTTCGTAATTGGATGAAATTAGGTGTTATGGGTTAAAATTAATGAAAACCCAAATCGGATGATTTGTTTTTTTTTTTTTTTTTTTTTTTTTTTTTTTTTTCTTTATTGTTGTTTATTTGCTCTCTCTCTCTCTCTCTCTCTCTCTCTGTCATCGTCATGTTGGTTTTGATGATGTGCTTAATGATTTAAGTGGTCCCAATTTTGGGATGCATTTCCAGCACCTTAGCTGGTTATTGTATTCCAACTTCTTTTCTTGTTATTTGATCTCCTCATTATTTAAAAAATTATCAGAAAGTTTCCAGCTTGCCATAACCCCATGTTGAGAGTTCCAACTTCCATTGCATAGCTGACATGTACAGGCAAACACAACACTCAATTATAACATTAATTTTGTTAAATCCATCAAATTTTGAGTGTTCTGAGGAAGCAAGACCTGCAAACGCCACAATCTTTTTGTCTTTGAATGATGCAAGGAAATAATTTAGGCTTGGAGGAGCAACTATGTCCCCTACTGTTGGAAAAAGACATGTGGAGGTTTAAATCTACCATGCACATTGTGTTAAACTTATTATTCTTAATTACTCTACCATGTGAATCTTAAGAATTGTTATCTGTGTTTAATCACAATTTGAGACAAATGGAATCTTGACAATGATAAGACGAATTAAATTACACGAAATTTGGCAGAAGCTAGCCTCATATTCTGATGCTTATGGTTGAAATCTAAGTATTGAACAAAACGGGCACTTGGTTGAATTAGCTTTGATTTTTTCTATCATGGCATTGGTATTGAAATTTAAAAAGATGGAAAAAGCAAAGACAGAGAGCAGATATGTTGTGTCAAAGGGGCATATTAGTTTTGAATCTGAAATGAAAATAAGTATATATCTCTTTAATATACAAGTATGTTTGTTTAATCTCTACAAAATTGGATGCCTATTCTATACTGCATGAGGATTTTCATGCCTAATGGCTGAATATGTTGAGAAGGGAAATTCTGGTTTTGATTAAGCGCCTGAACAGGCACTCAAGTCCTTCTTCAATGTCTTGAATGTTTGCCTCCAAATCCTGGAGCCAAATTTGCACATCCTCGACTTGCATTGTGTTATCAGATTTTTTTGACTTGTGACTAACAAGGGATTGCAATGCAGCATCCACCTTCTCAAGTTCATTTGTATTCGCAACTTCCTCGCCCTCACAAGCTATTCTTTTCGGCTGCACCAGCTTGGAAACAAATGACCAACTGCTTGATTTTGATTTTGAACCAGCTATAAAGGACAACAAGGATTCAAACACAGCAATAGTGACCGCATCTAACTCTTTCAACATGTTGACCACAGCAGGAGTCTCGTGGTTTTTGTCTGTGCAGTTACTTTCCCTGACCTTTAAGGCATTGTTCATGGCCTTCTTGACATCCTTCCTAGAGGTAAGGTATTTTCAAACCTCACTTATGAAGCTCATGTCACCTACTCGTCTTCTTTGCATAATTGATTGAAGTTCATGCGTGCATTCCTTTGTTTGCAAAAGGGCACCCTTAATGATGCCACACACATCCAGGAGCCTCAAAGATCCATCTAGTAGTTCATTGATCCATTCGTCTCCACACTCCTGTGCCAAGGCTTGTTGAGTGAGTGGCAAAAGGAGAAAATTTTCAACACATTCATGCAAATCCTGAAGTCTAGTTAGTTTTTGACTTATGGATAAGAATGATGAAGAACAGACAGTTTCTGAAGCCTTTAATCTGCACAAGTTCTCCTCAAATTCTGCAACAAAAGGGTGTGAAGTTGAAGGCAAGCTGTTAGAGCGAGCATGGATATGTGATTTTGAGTTTAAAGGAGAGGCAGCCATTTCTTCTATGGGAAAAGAGAAGGTGAGATGTATACTTGCAATTGAAAGTTCAATTAGGTGCATAAGTCTGCCTTCTTTCTCTCTGTCATCTGCTCAATATATATACATGGTATGGGAGACAAGAGCAACTCAGCTGCCTAACAACTCAATGAGTGGCAGTGCGATTTCGATCTGGATCGAAAAATTATATGAACGATGTTTATGCATTGTCTCCACACCAGCTTATCACCCACCGATCATCCAACCCTATTTTAAATCTAATATAAGATGAGCATCTTCAAAAGAGTAACAGTATCTGATAAACTACACAACAAACCATAGAAATTAGAATATGTACACGATGGTATTGCATCATATTCAATATAAATAAAAGTAAGGCAATAACTCTTCTATCCAGCATTCCAGCTCTACTTGCCTGCCTCCATGGAGACGAGTTCTCCATAACTCTGCACTGGAAATATATAAATTCAATGGAAATTATCACCTAACACAATATTTTACATTAAGAAATCAATTAAAATCTTGTGCTTACATATTGTCTGTGCCAGAGCCTCAGAACCTTGTTACATGCATGCATTTGAATTTTCCTGTGCTTTTCTTCATGAAATGCATTTATATATGTTATATTATAATATTGCAGGTCCATTGCATAGCTCACATCTGCATACACAACAATTAATTATATTGCTAATTGATATATTAATTTATCAAATTGTGGGTGTTCACAGAGGAGGCAAGATCTGCATTTGCCACGTCTCTGTCTTTCTCAAGAAAATCGAGGCTAATAAGCAAAGAGGCTCATATTATATGGGGCTGTTACCAAAAAGAAAAGAAAACATGTGGGAGATTCAAATCTGCAACTACATGTGAGTCTTGATATCAATTAAATTGTTTATTCTGTTTGATGGGTTATTTATGAATGGGAAATTGAATTAACTTATTGTTTAATCTGTCATCAGGATTGCACAATTAAAAAAGATGGACAAAGCAAGACATATAACAGATATGTTTTGTGTCAAAGGAGTATATATGTTTTGGATGTGATGAGAAAATACACATAGATCTCTTTCATATACAAGTATGTATGTTCAATGTCTACAAAATTGGATGATTTTTCATCCCTAATGGCTGAAAATGTTCAGAAGAGAGACTTTGGCTTTGATCAAGCGCCTGAATAGGCACTCAAGTCCTTATTCTATATCTTGAATGTTTGCCTCCAAATCCTGGAGCCAAATTTGCACATTCTCGACTTGCATTGCGTAATCAGATTTCTTAGACTTGTGAGTAATAAGGGCATTCAATGCAGCATCCACCTTCTCAAGTTCATTCTTAGAGGCAAGATATTTTCTAACCTCACTCATGAAGCTCTTGTCACCTCCTTGTCTTCTGCACATAATGGATTGAAGTTCATGTGTGCACTCCTTTGTTTGCAAAAGAGCACCCTTAATGATGCCACACACATCCAGGAGCCTCAAAGATCCATCTAGTAGTTCATTGATCCATTTGTCTCCACACTCCTCGGATAAGGCTTGCTGAGAGTGTGGCTATAGAAGAAACTTCTCAACACAATCATGCAAATCTTGGAAAAGAGAAAGGTCTTGTACTTTGCAGTTGAATGTTCAATTTGGTGTTTCAGTTTGCTTTCCTTCCCTTTGGCATCTGCTCAATATATACCATGCTATTCGGGAGACAAGAGCAACTCATCCTCTTCACAGCTGAATCAGTCACAACGTGATTTCGATCTGGATCCAAAAACTATATTAGCGATGTTTATGCATTGTATCCCCACCACCGGATCACAAACCCCATCAGCACCTATATTTTACTTACAATATATAGCATGAGTATCTTCAATTCGTTAACAAGAGTTGTGCATAACGTCATTACAATAGACAGAGGAACATCCCCTTGAGCAATTAAGGTCACCCGAAAGGCAATTTCATAAAAAGCATTGAATGGAGTTGAATAAATGGCCTAGGCGGGGGCTAGGCGGGGACTAGGCAGGCGCTAGGTGGGGGCTAGGCTGGCTAGGCGCTCTAGGTGGGCGCTGGAGAGAGAGAGAGAGAGAGAGAGAGAGAGAGAAACGAGGACGACGACGTGTGATTTCAGGTAGAAAAATTTGGACCATTTGGACTGTGATTTCAGGTAGAAAAATTTGGCACTGTGAAACTACGGTTTGGTGGTGTGGGAAAGCTAAGACAAGAGTAGATGATGGTTTCGAAAAAGGAAGACAGCTATTTGAAGAAATAGAAAAGGTTACAATTTGAAACCTTGCATCAATTAAAGACTTTGGCCCTAGAATAAGAGAACATCGATAATGATTGTGCAAGAGTCTCAGTAAATAGAAAGGTTGTACAAATAAACCCAAAGCAACAGCAAACGCAAACCTTGTTCTTAATTTCCTTTGCAGAATCAGTTACATAAATGGCAGAATTTGGATCACTGGGTTAGTGAGGATAAATAAACAAAACAGTACCCGCATTTTCTCTTGCAGCCTTTTGGGATCGAACTGCTCCCCTTCTGAGAAAATATCTAGTGAAGACATTGATGCCATGGCTAGCTGGCCAAATATATTCCTCAAAAAGCTCACTACCAAAATGCACAGCGAAGATTGCTGCAGGATCAATAATTGAGTCGCTGAAAGAAAGGGAACCATTCAAAAATGTCAGAAACACGCAACTATGTGTTAAGCTAACACACACATACACTGTGACAAATGCACGCAACCTATGAGGTGCGTGTCAGACACCTTTCAAAAATTCACAGATTAAGAGCAAGAAACTAACGTTGAGATCCCTGATTTTCCAAAAGCATCGTATGCTTGGTGTTGGCCTGGGTCACTTAAGACTTGGCAAGCTTCTCCCAAAACCTGAATCCAGGGGTACTGGCCCAAGAGTTGTGCATACCCTCATTACAATAGACAGAGGAACATCCCCTTGAGCAATTAAGGTCACCTGAAAAGCTATTTCATACAAAGCATAGAATGGAGTTAAATAAATGGCCTAGGCGGGGGCTAGGCAGGGGCTAGGCGGCCTAGGTGGGAGATAGGCGGGCTGGGCGGGCGCTAGGCGGGCTAGGCGGGGGCTGGGCGGGCGCTAGGCGGTCAAGGCGGGCTAGGCGGGGACTAGGCGGTCTAGGCGGGGGCTGGGCGGGCGCTAGGCGGTCTAGGCGGGCTAGGCGGGGACTAGGCGGTCTAGGCGGGCTAGGCGGGCGATGGAGAGAGAGAGAGAGAGAGAGAGAGAGAGAGACGAGGATGACGACGGAGTTATGTTTAGGGTTTAGAAAAGGCCCGCACGGATATACTATTTTTTATAATAAAAACCGTAGTATAGCCGCACGGCTATACGATTTATTGAAAAAAAAAACCATTCTATTTGCATTAGTTTATACTTTATAGATCGTCAATACAAGAAAGATATTGATTATACTTTCTATTTGCATTAATTTATACTTGAAAAAAAAACCGTAGTATAGCCATGCTACTCTTACTGCATTTTTATACCACAATTCTATACCACATAATGTGGCAGCTTACTTGGACATGCCACCACATCACTTAATTTCAATTTAAATGTTCTTATTTTTCATATGTTTTAATTTAATTCTTTAATCATTTGAAACACCATCATCCACCATTGAATATTACCCTAACACCATCATACACCGCTGCCATACCACCACCACCACACAGCTGCCGTCATCACAGCCTCTTCGTCAACATGAACCCTTAGAGAGATTTCCTTCATGTGAAGATATATATATATATATATATACACATAGTTCTGAGTTCATTATGCAGATCGTCAATACAAGAAAGAGATTGATGATATTACAGTACCACTCACAACCGATAACATTATGGAATTTGATTTGAAATCAGAAGCATTGCTTCTTGGTATGTTAACAGTCCGCCCAAAGAAGTAAAACGAAACAACAAACAAACCATAGAATCTGAAATAGTCTTCCTTTCAATTAAAGATGAATCTGCAATACTGAAGAGAAAACAAGCCCAAAAAAAAATTCTAATAGACACACAAGAAACCGGTGGAAAACACTCTAGTGGTGGGGCGAGATAAAGAACGGCGGAGAGGGGTGGACGATGGTGTTATGCAACAAAGGTTGGGTAGGTTTCGATGGTGGGACTGATTGTTTGAATTACTATTATAATTAATGAATTAAATAACAAGATTAAATCCCTTTTCCCCCAAATAATAATAATAATAACAGGATTAAATTATAAATTTGGAGTGAATTAAAATTAAAGATGTGGTCAATGACATGGATTGACATGTCATGTGCCACATCATGTGGTATCAAATTGTGGTACCAAAATGTGGTAAGAGTAGCATTATTCATTAATTTGCTAGTTTAGATATTATACTTTATAGATTTAAATTTTTGAATATATATTATTTTTATTGAATAGTATGTGAAAACTGGGTGTATAATACATGAATTTTAGGTGTATTATTGAAAATTTTGTGAAAAACAAGTGTATTAAACATGAAAAATACATACGTATGTGTAAAATACAAGTATTAAACATGAAAATGCTAAATTTTTTATACGGCTAATAACTTTGAAAAAGTAAAAACTCAAAAGGGTACAATAGAGACTCATGTAAAGGCCTAATAGTAATGGAAAATGCTCTAAGCTATCGATAAACAAAAGTTGTGGAAAAAAGATAATAGTAAAAATTCCCGAGTATAGCCGCTCGGCTGTACTATTTTCAGTAGAAAAATTCAAATCTGGCTCAAAAGAATGCCAGACTGCTACCCATTATATTCATAATCACAACAAACAATGTTGAGGGTAATGCAACCATCGGCGAGGTGAAATGAGAAGTGGCCAAAACCACACCCAAAGAAGAATTTTGCATGCCAACCTGCGAGTGTCAAACATGTAAATGAATGATTAGTGTTGTATGCCCACCAAAATTTCAATATGGGCATAAAACAATGAAGATCTTCCATGGACTTACAATAAAGTTTAAGAAGAGAATTTTTATATCTTTATTACCAATTTGACCAAAGCTGAAACAAAACTGGAACACAAGGATTAACAGAAAGCCAAATCATGTCGTAAGGTTTACATTCTATTTGATTAATACCTCAATTGATATTGCTCGTCTTTGTGCTTCTCTAAACCCGCAAACAGCTGCTGATATATACCTGCAAATTAAACAAACATGCCGGCACCACAACCTTAAAGAATATTTGTATGAGTGCAAACTCTGCCAACAATGCTCGTATACAAAACTAGCTTCTGTCTTCATATGTCAAATTAAAATCCACGTAGACAGAGAAGATTGAATATACTTTCTTACTGTGAAAGCTTTTTTGGCTATGAAGTCATTATGACAGCAGACTATAGTTTTTCAATTATTGTTGCTTACAAATTATGAATACTTTCTTTTTTCAAATTATGGTTAACTTCACTCAATAATTTATATATCAAACTTGACAGAAGCTAAATCAAATAGCAATAATACACTAATACAAGGCTACAACGCAATTTTTTTATAATTTTTGAGCTAAAATTAGAGCGAATCTTTACATACTGAAAACAAAGTATACATTACCTTGAGCTTTTTCCACAACAACACACCTAACAATCAAAGTCACCAACAGTTAAAGGCAACTTACCCCACAAAGAAACCAGCAATATGTACTAACAGCACAGAAAGAATAACCACCCCAACTTCTCCAGATAACACTGTCTCAGCATGAGCCATTAGAGAGAGGTCAGCCGGCAATGTTACAGCAACCATTGAAGCTTTGAGACGGACAACATTCTCATATAATACACTGGCCCACAAAATAAAATCTAGTATGTTTGGAAGGAACCACAGGCAAGACAATCATATTTTACATATAAGTAATTAAAAAGATATTTATATGCACAAGCAGTGATGCAGCTAGCTAGAACAGCAAAAAGTGGTGCAAATGCAAAAGGTATCACAATTTTAACCACTGCAGGAAATGCACTCTGCATATAAGAACCAAACAAAATTGGAGCAACAATAACCTACAAGTGACAGAATAGAGACAATAAGCCCAGCTGATGGATAATATAATATTACTGAAGTTTCTTATATTTAACTTAACCTGCATGGTGCTCATTGACAGTTTGGCAGCATCCACAGGGACGTAAGTCCCTGCCAATATCTTTGTTAGTAGAGGAGTCAGGGGTACTGCCCCAAGAGTTGTGCATACCGTCATTACAATAGACATCCCCTTGAGCAATTAAGGTCACCTGAAAGGCTATTTCATAAAAAAAATATTGAATGGAGTTGAATAAATGGTCTAGGCGGACGCTAGGCGGGTGCTAGGAGGGCTAGGCGAGGGGCTAGGCGCGGGGCTAGGCTGGCTAGGCGGGCGCTGGAGAGAGAGAGAGAGAGAGAGAAACGAGGATGACGATGGTTCTATGAGGCGAGAGAGAGAGAAACGTGGTCGACGATGGAGTTATGTTTAGGGTTTAGAAAAGGGCCGCCCGGCTATAAACAAAATGACCCTAGTAAAGCCGGGCGGCTATACTGTTTTTTAAAAATCTTTTGGGGAAAAAAAAGGAACGCATAGGATATAGCCAGCCGGCTATACTAGTTTTTTATAATAAAAAAACCATTATATTTGTAAGCATCTCAAGGGAACCGAAAATATAGTTTCTCAATTGTTGCTTACAAATTATTCATCTCAAGGGAACCGAAAATATAGCCACCCGGAAATACTTAACCTCTAGGAAGACGGTGAAAAAGGAAATCCAAAAGGCTATGAATAATCTCAAGGGAACCGAAAACAGATCCACCTTTTCTTCCTTCAACAAGGACGATGAGACATTTTCCGTTGTTAGCAGGTTGAGAGAAGTTGAAGCAATCACTCTCGCGGTGTTTGAGTCACTTCTTTCCTTCATCTCCGGGCCAAAATCACAACCAAGCAGCTGGTCATTGGTCAAGATGATGCAGCCGAAGAAATTGTCTTGTGAGGAAGCAACATAAACAGATGAATTCTCTGTTAGACTTAAAAAAACTGAACACTATAATAAGTTCATACTTTATTTTGACGAGATGATGCAAAACAAATAGCCTCTCCATGTATTAGTAAACATATACGTGAATTATGATTGAATGATTGTAACATTGTAATAAAATACTAAGAAAGTTTATAAGATAAATTAATTAGTTAATGAGTTGTTATGCTATAGTGTGGGAAGAGACATTGCACAAACATCGCCTAGGGAACATGCATATGGATTATGCAGATACATCTTCTATCTTCTTACAAGACACAACAAGAAGAAATGACTTTCCACACTTGCTCGAACAGCTTCCCTTCAAAGCCACACCCGATAATTGAAGAAGTTTATACATGGCAATACGGTTGTGTTGCGTACTTGGAGAAATTTTGGACCTTGGGATAGACTCCTTCACTTAAATTGCTACTACGTACTCTCTTGTTCTTGTTTAAAATATCAGTGAATTTTGGTGCCTATATGGTTAACTATTACTAATCCTGAATTCCTGCAATTATCATCAACTTGCCTAAATAAGGGTTTGAGCTTAATTACGATATGATCTTGCTTGCTGCAATATCATCAATTTTTTTAATCAATGGGTATCCATGTGTAGATGATGGGATTTGAATTTTACCTTTCTTTCATATTGAGAATAAAGATAGTAGAAATAATAAAAAAGATTTCTCTCCTGAAAAAACAGTAAATCCCACATTGGAGAAGTATAATACTTGTGAAGTACTTAATATTGTTAACTCCTAAAATTTTGATTGTCGAGCCTAGTAACGTGGGCTTGTGACCCAATATAGGGGCATTAAAGGTGGAATGTGAAATTGGTCTTATCACGTAGAAAACCTACGGCCCAGTGCCCTAAGTTCAGCCCATTATTTAATTGCACTACTTAGTGGCCCAGCCACAAAAGTTGCTTTCTTCAAAGACGCCAGTGCCCAGGAATTTGAGTCCGCCCACTACGAACTTACTGGGCCAGGCCGAGGTGGTTTACTCTTGACCTAACCGCCACCTTAACATATGGAAAAGAACATTAACCACAACTTCTTCAAGGTCTTATATTCTATCTTCTCACAATACACAACAAGAAGAAATGGCTTTCCACATCCGCTCCAACAGCTTCCCCTCAAGGCCACACCCGTTCAAGAAGTCGATGAACATTTGTGTGGATTAAGATCCTTCTGAGGTCACCTCCACATCCTCCTCGTCAATCAGAGCCACGAGCTAAGTGGCCTCCAAGACTTGCATGATTGTATTGATAGGTTGCTTCAGTTGCCCCTCACTCAACAAGACTTGGCCCATAATTAATTAGAAATTGACTAATGAGCTATTAGATAACTCACCTAGGCTCTTGGATGTTTGCTGCAGTGTCAAGGATGCCCTGTTGCAAACCCAGGAATGTGCACAAGAACTTCAATCAATCCTACGAAGAAGGCGGGGAGGGAGGTGAGAAACTGGAGTCACATGAGGTTAACAAATACTTGACCTTGAGGAACATGGTGAAAAAGAAAATCCACAAGGCTATGAAGAATCTCAAGGCAATAGAAAACAGATCAACTTTCACTTTCCTCAACTAGGATCATGAGACCATTGCCATTGTTAGCAAGTTGAGAGAAAGTAGAAGCAGTCACTCTTCCAGTGTTTGAATCACTTCCTTCCTTCATCTCCGGGCCAAAGTCACAGACAAGCAGCTGGTCATTGGTGTCCAAAAGTCACATACAACCACTCATAAATAATCAACAACTTTCAGAAGAAAACATAATACCAAGAGGAATTTTGGACCTTTGGATGAACCTGAAGGCTAGGGCTTCCTTCTGTTGGAAGGACAAACAGGATACAATTTGGCGTGTTCCCCTTGGTATAATCATCCTTTTAACCCATGCGGAAGGAAGATTGTTTTGTAATTAATATAGAGTCATTTTCTCCTTCTATCTTTAAAAACCATTAATCCCACATTGAAAAAACATAACCCTTGTTAACTACTTAATATTGTTAACTCCTAAAATTTTGATTGCCGAGCCTAGTAACGTGTGGGGGCATTAAAGGTGGAATGTGGGAAGGTCTTGTTTAGACGCGACCAACAGGTCCAGTGCCGGTGTTTCCCCTATGGTTATAGTAGGCTTCTACAAAGATGCTCCCAAGTTGACGGCTAATCTCAATTGGCTGGTTGGCAACATTGTGGAAAGGCAGTTGACTTATCAGAGCAGCTGTGGCAGACATAACGGCATCTGATCTCACTCTGGGCCGACTGAGACCCGCTCTTGACTTGACCAATGACCACCATCTTTTTCACCTCCCTCCTCCCACAACCCACAATGCCAACCCAATTCCTCGCTTATTTTTCGTTTTTATATGTATTAGCTTTTCGATTTTGAACATAACAAAGCATACCTTGCATGCAAATACATCATCTATCTGATATCAAATTCATGCCCAATCTGCTTCGTAAATATTCAAATTATTATCATGCTATCAGATAGAGACCAAGATTAAAAAAAATTACAAAAAAAGGAAAAAATAATTTTTTTTAGGTGGTCAGTGTTTGACCCGAAACAAATTTGTAGAGGCCAAGAATATTTAAACTATTAATGCAAAAGTTTCATCCTCACGTGGGATAATCTCAATAAATTCAAAGGAGTTTCTGAAATTATGATTGAGATCACATGGGATTTTTGCAAGCAAATCAAATATCTCAAGGGAGATGAATAATCAACGACTAATGTCTAGCATTCAAAGGAGCATTTGACTACACGCTTTGAGCAGTAAACATTATACCAAGAAGGATGTCTAAACTCGGCCATACGATTGTGATGTATATATACTTGCACGAAGCATACACAATAAATTCTCCAAAGGCCTTTAATTATATACAAGAAAATTACCGAACTGCTTGTAATAGAGTTCTATTCCTTTTCCTCTTCTCTCTTGAAATAACCGTAGATCCCACATTGGAAAAATATAATACGTGTTATGTACTTAATGTTATTAACTCCTAAAACTTTGCTCGCCGAGCTTAGTAATGTGAGCTTGTGACCCAACATGGGGGCATTAAAGGTGGAATTTGGAACTTAGTGTATGACGTGGACAACCTATGACACAATGCTCTCGGCACGGTTGCTCGTGGGCTATCCTACGAGCAACCATGGTGGCTTATCAGAGCAGCTGTCGATCACGGTAGGCCTAGCTCTGCTCTTCACCTGACTGCCACCTTTTTTAGTTTTCTACGATTTTCCATTACCTGTACAGATATAATTCAAAACCTATACATTTACTTCTGTCAATCTCTCCAACCACAGTAGGCAGCCAATCCACTTTTGCTTTGCTTATTAATTCGAAATAAAATGTTTGGGGAGCAGTCCAATTCATAAAGTCTGCTAGCTACAAACCATTTTTCAACATCATGGAAGCATAACGCAATTGCACATGATCATTGAAAAATACAGATTGCAAATCTTGCCTGCTACTTGCTTAACAATCATGCCAAGGACCTGAAAAATAATATGAACTTGATCAGCATATAATTGAGTTTATGCATTAGGGTTAAGCATGTTAATTTATAGAACTCTGTCCAATATGTTAGTTAAGCTAAATTAATGAGTTCACGAGTTGGCATCCAATTCAAATCATGTTACCCTTCTCACTAATATGATTGAAGAGGATGACCATGACCCCTCCTCAAGCAACACTATATATTAAACAAACACATGGAAAATATATTACATTAACCACTTCTTTCAAGGTCTTCTATTCTATCTTCTCACAATACACAACAAGAAGAAATGGCTTGCCACATTCTCTCTAAGCTTCCCTTCAAGGCCACACCCAATCGTTCAAGAAGTTGATGAACATTTGTGTAGATTGAGGTCTTCTGAGGCCACCTCCACATCATCAACATCAATCAGCCACAAACTAACTGGCCTTCAAGACTTGCATGATTGTGTTGATAGGTTGCTTCAGTTGCCCCTCACTCAACAAGCCTTGGCTCAAGAGCAGAATGAGAAATCAACTAATGAGCTATTAGATGGTTCTCTCAGGCTCTAGCAGTGCCAAGGATGCCCTGTTGCAAACCAAGGAATGCGTACAGGACCTTCAATCGATCATGCGAAGAACGCAAGGAGGTGAATCTGGAGCACTCACAACTGAGGTCAGGAAATACTTGACCTCAAGGAAGATGGTGAAGAAGGCAATCCACAAGGCTATGGTAAATCTCAAGGGATCCAGTTTCTCATCCCTCAGCAAGAACAATGAGACTATTGCCGTTGTTAGCACGTTGAGAGATATCGAGGCAGTCACTCTATCAGTGTTTGAATCACTCCTATCCTTCATCTCTTGTCCAAATTCAAAGTCTTCTGTTCTATCTTCTCACAACGCACAAAGAAGAAATGGCTTTCCACACACGCTTTAACAGCTTCCCTTCAAGGCCACACCCGATCGTTCAAGAAGTTGACAAACATTTGTGTAGACTGAGGTCTTTTGAGGCCGCCTCCACATCTTCATCATCAATATGCCACAAACTAAGTGGCCTCCAAGACTTGCATGATTGTGTTGATAAGTTGCTTCAGTTGCCTCTCACACAGCAAGCCTTGGCCAAAGTTGCTTCAATTTGCTCATTATACGGTTTTTTTTTCTTTTAAATGGATCTCCTTTTCATATATTTTTCCTTTCTTTTCTTCTATTATTTTTTCTTTTGTCAAACAGGAAAAAACAAAAAATTGTTGACCATCAATTATTTAGGCAGGTATAGTGAGCAAATTTATGGGTACCAACATGGTTTTCTCTATGAAAATAGATATGATCTTCTTGGCATGTATGGATTTTATTTATAAGGTATGATTTTTGCACTGTAGTTGGGATGAAGTTCCAATTTGATAAAAGTTTCTGTTCTCGCGATATAACACTGTAGTTTATTACAGTCTACGTACAAACAAAGACATCTTTACCTGTAGCTCTTTTGCTGACTTTCTGGCATATATGTAGCCAATTGTATTCAACATATCAACACCTGTAAGCTGTAGAAAACAGACCATATATTCACTGAAATTTATATACAAAAGCTTAGGAAATAATCATAGAAACAGCTCCATCAGATATTAATCACATTAGCATATCGTAAAATCAGTTCCACAACATCTTGAGCAACGAACTACCGCTCAGAAATTTTTTAACCTTCAAAAGGCAATGAACTGTTGGGCATAGTTTGGATGATAGTCCCCATTAAACGTGTCACAGCATAATATACTATTGAAATTGGATGCAGTAATAGTATTTATTTGAGTTTATAGGAATGCCATCCATGATGAAATCATAAAATGAGTAGCTAAATTACAAGCCAACAAAATTTCTTTTTCCTCAATAAGTTAAAAGGCACCAAGTACTGACAGACAAATCTTATAAGACATGAATCAAATTGGCATGTAAGTGCAGACAGATAAGCAGAATTTTTTTTCTTGCTTGGACAATCTATAATGAGAAGGGAAGGTAGTAGATCCAGCAACAAATAACACTCTCAAACCAATTGAGGACGACAAATTTCTATTACTAACATGTGAGACAATTCAAATACCTCGAGATTTGCTCTAAATTCTTTATGTTTCTCTATTGAATCTTGTCCACCAGAAAATGCATGCCTGTTTATCTGCACATGCACACAAATTCTTTATTTTGTTAATCCTGAAGAATTTTTGGACCATTTGGACTGTGTGATTTCAGGTAGAAAAATTTGGCACTGTGAAACTACGGTTTGGTGGTGTGGGAAAGCTAAGACAAGAGTAGATGATGGTTTCGGAAAAGGAAGACAGCTATTTGAAGAAATGGAGAAGCATGTTTTTCACTGAAAGTTTAAAAGGTTACAATTTGAAACCTTGCATCAATTAAAGACTTTGGCCCTAGAATAAGAGAACATCGATAATGATTGTGCAAGAGTCTCAGTAAATAGAAAGGTTGTACAAATAAACCCAAAGCAACAGCAAACGCAAACCTTGTTCTTAATTTCCTTTGCAGAATCAGTTACATAAATGGCAGAATTTGGATCACTGGGTTAGTGAGGATAAATAAACAAAACAGTACCCGCATTTTCTCTTGCAGCCTTTTGGGATCGAACTGCTCCCCTTCTGAGAAAATATCTAGTGAAGCCATTGATGCCATGGCTAGCTGGCCAAATATATTCCTCAAAAAGCTCACTACCAAAAAGCACAGCGAAGATTGCTGCAGGATCAATAATTGAGTCGCTGAAAGAAAGGGAACCATTCAAAAAATGTCAGAAACACGCAACTATGTGTTAAGCTAACACACACATACACTGTGACAAATGCAGGCAACCTATGAGGTGCGTGTCAGACACCTTTCAATCTCAGAATTCATAAATTCACAGATTAAGAGCAAGAAACTAACGTTGAGACCCCTGATTTTCCAAAAGCATCGTATGCTTGGTGTTGGCCTGGGTCACTTAAGACTTGGCAAGCTTCTCCCAAAACCTGAATCCAGGGGTACTGGCCCAAGAGTTGTGCATACCCTCATTACAATAGACAGAGGAACATCCCCTTGAGCAATTAAGGTCACCGGAAAAGCTATTTCATACAAAGCATAGAATGGAGTTAAATGAATGGCCTAGGCGGGGGCTAGGCAGGGGCTAGGCGGCCTAGGCGGGAGATAGGCGGGCTGGGCGGGCGCTAGGCGGGCTAGGCGGGGGCTGGGCGGGCGCTAGGCGGGCTAGGCGGGGACTAGGCGGTCTAGGCGGGCTAGGCGGGGGCTGGGCGGGCGCTAGGCGGTCTAGGCGGGCTAGGCGGGCTAGGCGGGCGCTAGGCGGTCTTGACAGGCTAGGCGGGCGCTGGAGAGAGAGAGAGAGAGAGAGAGAGAGAGAGAGAGAGAGAAGGATGACGACGGAGTTATGTTTAGGGTTTAGAAAAGGACCGCACGGCTATACTATTTTTTCTAATAAAAAACCGTAGTATAGCCGCACGGCTATACGATTTATTGAAAAAAAAAAACCATTCTATTTGCATTAGTTTATACTTTATAGATCGTCAATACAAGAAAGCTATTGATTATACTTTCTATTTGCATTAATTTATACTTGAAAAAAAAACCGTAGTATAGCCATGCTACTCTTACCGCATTTTTATACCACAATTCTATACCACATTATGTGGCAGCTTACTTGGACATGCCACCACATCACTTAATTTCAATTTAAATGTTCTTATTTTTCATATGTTTTAATTTAATTCTTTAATCATTTGAAACACCATCATCCACCATTGAATATTACCCTAACACCATCATACACCGCTGCCATACCACCACCACCACACAGCTGCCGTCATCACAGTCTCTTCGTCAACATGAACCCTTAGAGAGATTTCCTTCATGTGGATACATATATATATATATATACATAGTTCTGAGTTCATTATGCAGATCGTCAATACAAGAAAGAGATTGATGATATTATAGTACCACTCACAACCGATAACATTATGGAATTTGATTTGAAATCAGAAGCATTGCTTCTTGGTATGTTAACAGTCCGCCCAAAGAAGTAAAACGAAACAACAAACAAACCATAGAATCTGAAATAGTCTTCCTTTCAATTAAAAGATGAATCTGCAATACTGAAGAGAAAACAAGCCCAAAAAAAAATTCTAATAGACACACAAGAAACCGGTGGAAAACACTCTAGTGGTGGGGCGAGATAAAGAACGGCGGAGAGGGGTGGAGGATGGTGTTATGCAACAAAGGTTGGGTAGGTTTCGATGGTGGGACTGATTGTTTGAATTACTATTATAATTAATGAATTAAATAACAAGATTAAATCCCTTTTCCCCCAAATAATAATAATAATAACAGGATTAAATTATAAATTTGGAGTAAATTAAAATTAAAGATGTTGTCAATGACATGGATTGACATGTCATGTGCCACATCATGTGGTATCAAATTGTGGTACCAAAATGTGGTAAGAGTAGCATTATTCATTAATTTGCTAGTTTAGGATATCAAAAATGCTAGGCTTAACATTTTTCATACCACAATTATACCACCTCTCTAATAGAGGATAATACATGAATTTTATGTGTATTATTGAAAATAATTTTGTGAAAAACAAGTGTATTAAACATGAAAAATACATACGCACGTGTAAAATACAAGTATTAAACATGAAAATGCTAAATTTTTATACGGCTAATAACTTTGAAAAAGTAAAAACTCAAAAGGGTACAATAGAGGCTCATGTAAAGGCCTAATAGTAATGGAAAATGCTCTAAGTTATCGATAAACAAAAGTTGTGGAAAAAAGATAATAGTATCCATGTAGTAAAAAATCCCGAGTATAGCCGATCGGCTATACTATTTTCAGTAAAAAAATTCAAATCTGGCTCAAAACTAAGCACCACAAGATGTACGCTAGAGTAAAATAGGATGTGTGACCTCAAACGACATTGTTTTAGACTATTAGAAAAGTTGTTACTGTCGCTTAACATCAACTGTAAGACACTTAATGGAGCCAAAAGGATACATATCTCGAAGGACACCCAGACTGCTGCTGCCCATTGTATTCATACTCATAGCAGATATTGCCGGGTTAGGGAAAACTTCGAAAGGGTGCTATAGTTGTCACTTAACCTCAACTGTATGAGTCTCCTTAGAGTCAGAAGGATCTACACATATCTCCAAAAGAATGCCAGACTGCTTCCCATTATATTCATAATCACAACAAACAATGCTGAGGGTAACGCAACCATCGGCGAGGTGAAATGAGAAGTGGCCAAAACCACACCCAAAGAAGAATTTTTTATACCAACCTGCGAGTGTCAAACATGTAAATGAATGATCAGTGTTGCATGCCCACCAAAATTTCAATCTGAGCATAAAACAATGAAGATCTTCCATGGACTTACAATAAAGTTTAAGAAGACAATTTTTATATCTTTATTACCAATTTGACCAAAGCTGAAACAAAACTGGAACACAAGGATTAACAGAAAGCCAGATCATGTCGTAAGGTTTACATTCTATTTGATTAATACCTCAATTGATATTGCTCGTCTTTGTGCTTCTCTAAACCCACAAACAGCTACTGATATATACCTGCAAATTAACTCTCCTTGATCAAAAAAGACTCCTCAAGTTATACATTTGCACCGCAAAAACTCCAAAACAAACTAAACAAACATGCCGGCACCACAACCTTAAAGAATATTTGTATGAGTGCAAACTCTGCCAACAATGCTCGTATACAAAACTAGCTTCTGTCTTCATATGTCAAATTAAAATCCACATAGACAGAGAAGATTGAATATACTTTCTTACTGTGAAAGCTTTTTTGGCTATGAAGTCATTATGACAGCAGACTATAGTTTCTCAATTATTTTTGCTTACAAATTATGAATACTTTCATTTTTCAAATTATGGTTAACTTCACTCAATAATTTATATATCAAACTTGACAGAAGCTAAATCAAATAGCAATAATACACTAATACAAGGCTACAACGCAATTTTTTTATAATTTTTGAGCTAAAATTAGAGTGAATCTTTACATACTGAAAACAATGTATACATTACCTTGAGCTTTTTCCACAACAGCACACCTAACAATCAAAGTCACCAACAGTTAAAGGCAACTTACCCCACAAAGAAACCAGCAATATGTACTAACAGCACAGAAAGAGATAACACTGTCTCAGCATGAGCCATTAGAGAGAGATCAGCCGGCAATGTTACAGCAACTCCTGAAGCTTTGAGACGGACAAAATTCTCAGATAATTCACTGGCCCACAAAATAAAATCTAGTATGTTTGAGAAAGATGGCACATTTGGAAGGAACCACAGGCAAGACAATCATATTTTACATATAAGTAATTAAAAAGATATTTATATGCACAACAAATGTACTTGCATGCAAGCAGTGATGCAGCTAGCTAGAACAGCAAAAAGTGGAGCAAAAGGTATCACAATTTTAACCACTGCAGGAAATGCACTCTTCATATAAGAACCAAACAAAATTGGAGCACAACGACCTACAGATGACAGAATAGAGACAATAAGCCCCAGCTGATGGATAATATAATATTATGAAGTTTCTTATATTTAACTTAACCTGCGTGGTGCTCATTGACAGTTTGGCAGCATCCACAGGGACGTAAGTCCCTGCCAATATCTTTGTTAGTAGAGGAGTCAGGGGTACTGCCCCAAGAGTTGTACATACTGTCATTACAATAGACAGAGGAACATCCCCTTGAGCAATTAAGGTCACCTGAAAGGCTATTTCATAAAAATAAAAAAAACATTGAATGGAGTTGAATAAATGGCATAGGCGGGCTAGGCGGGGGCTAGGCGGGTGCTAGGCGGTCTAGGCGGGCGCTGGAGGGAGAGAGAGAGAGAGAGACAGACAGAGATAGAGACAGAGAAACGAGGATGACGATGGTGCTATGAGGCGAGAGAGAGAAACGAGGATGACGATGGTGTTATGTTTAGGGTTTAGAAAAGGGCCGCGCGGCTATAAACAAAATGACCTTTAAAGCCGGTCGGCTATATTGTTTTTTCAAAATCTTTTGGGAAAAAAAAAGGGAACGCATAGGATATAGCCACTCGGCTATACTAGTTTTTAATAATAAAAAAACCATTCTATTTGTAAGCATCTCAAGGGAACCGAAAATATAGTTTCTCAATTGTTGCTTAAAAATCTACACAAACCTCCCACTTTCACTTCCCTATAAATAGGGAACAGTACCCTAGTACAAAGGGTAACTACTTTCTTACCTTTTATTGTTACTCTGCTAAAGTTACTACTCTTAGCTGACTTAAGCATCGGAGAGCCTTCGGCCGGCACCACACCGATGTCCGAAGCTTAACGACTGCTTCTCCTACTTTGTCTTCTGCAGGGTAGCCCCTTACTGAAGGTCCACACCTTCTCCATTGCTGAAGACAAACCCCTTTTCTCTAAGTTGACCCTCTCCGAAAAAGAGCATCAACAATTCATCTCAAGGGAACCGAAAATATAGCCACCTGGAAATACTTAACCTCTAGGAAGATGGTGAAAAAGGCAATCCAAAAGGCTATGAAGAATCTCAAGGGAACCGAAACCGGATCCACCTTTTCTTCCCTCAACAAGGACGATGAGACATTTTCCGTTAGCAGGTTGAGAGAAGTTGAAGCAATCACTCTCGCAGTGTTTGAGTCACTTCTTTCCTTCATCTCCGGGCCAAAATCACAACCAAGCAAATGGTCAGTGGTCAAGATGATGCAGCCAAATAAATTGTCTTGTGAGGAAGCAACAGAAACAAATGAATTTGCAGAGGTGGATGCTGCATTGAACTCGCTCATTGGACACACGACAAGCAAACCAGATCTCAAAAGTGCCGATAATATTAATGTCCACAATCAACTTGACACACTGGAGTCATGCATTCAAGATCAGGAAGAAGGTGTTGAGTGCCTTTTTAGGCAATTAATCAAAACAAGAGTCTCACGCCTCAACATCCTAAAGCACTAGAAATTAGCTTTTTTGATTTTGTAAATGAAAAGAATTACTGTAATTTCCCAAAGAAGATAATCAATAATCACCAGTTGATTACATTCAAAGGAGGACTGGATCCTCACATGCCTCCTTTCTGTTAGACTTAAAAAAAACTGAACTCTATAATAAGTTCATACTTTATTTTGACGAGATGATGCAAAACAAATAGCCTCTCCATGTATTAGTAAACATATACGTGAATTATGATTGAATGATTGTAACATTGTAATAAATACTAAGAAAGTTTATAAGATAAATTAATTAGTTAATGAGTTGTTATGCTATAGTGTGGGAAGAGACATTGCACAAACATCGCCTAGGGAACATGCATATGGATTATGCAGATACATCTTCTATCTTCTTACAAGACACAACAAGAAGAAATGACTTTCCACACTTGCTCGAACAGCTTCCCTTCAAGGCCACACCTGATAATTGAAGAAGTTTATACATGGCAATACGGTTGTGTTGCGTACTTGGAGAAATTTTGGACCTTGGGATAGACTCCTTCACTTAAATTGCTACTACGTACTCTCTTGTTCTTGTTTAAAATATCAGTGAATTTTGGTGCCTATATGGTTAACTATTACTAATCCTGAATTCCTGCAATTATCATCAACTTGCCTAAATAAGGGTTTGAGCTTAATTACGATATGATCTTGCTTGCTGCAATATCATCAATTTTTTTTAATCAATGGGTATCCATGTGTAAGATGATGGGATTTGAATTTTACCTTTCTTTCATATTGAGAATAAAGATAGTAGAAACAATAAAAAAAGATTTCTCTCCTGAAAAAATAGTAAATCCCACATTGGAGAAGTATAATATTTGTGAAGTACTTAATATTGTTAACTCTTAAAATTTTGATTGCCGAGCCTAATAACGTGGGTTTGTGACCCAATGTGGGGGCATTAAAGGTGGAATGTGAAATTGGTCTTATCACGTAGAAAACCTACGGTGCAGTGCCCTAAGTTGGTGGCTTATTTGTGGAAAAGCAGTTTGGCTTATTAGAGCAGCTGAGCCCGCCCACTCCGAACTTACTAGGCCAGGCCGAGGTGGTCTACTTTTGACCTGACCACCACCTTTTTTTTACAAGTTTTATTTTTAACTTAAATTTTAATCTTTATTTATTTAACTTCCTTCTGTTGGAAGGACAAACAGGATACAATTTGGCATGTTCCCCTTGGTTTAATCATCCTTTTAACCAATGCGGAAGGAAGATTGCTTTGTAATAAATATAGAGTCCTTTTCTCCTTCTATCTTGAAAAAAAAGCCAGTAAATCCCACATTGAAAAAACATAACATTTGTTAACTACTTAATATTGCTAACTTCTAAAATTTTGATTGCCGAGCCTAATAACGCGAACTTGTAACCCAACGTGGGGGGAATGTGGGAAGGTCTCTTGTTAAGACGAGGACAACAGGTCCAGTGCCGGTATTTGCCCCTATGGTTATAGTAGGCTTCTACAAAGATGCTGAGGGGCCACGTATTTGGCTCCCAAGTTGACGGCTAATCTCAGTTGGCTGGTTGGCATCATTGTGGAAAGGCAGTTGACTTGTCAGAGCAGCTGTGGCAGACATAACGGCATCTAATCTCACTCTGGGCCGACTGAGATCCGCTCTTGACCACACCACCTTTTTACCTCCCTCCTCCCACAACACACGATGCCAACCCAAATACATCATCTATCTGATATCAAATTCATGCCCAATTTGCTTTGTAAATATTCCAATTATTATCATGCTATCCATGGCGTCAGTTAAAGTTAATTCAGAGAACATCTTCCTAACAGATAGAGACCAAGATTAAGAAAAAAAATTAAAAAAAAAGGAAAGTCAGTGTTTGACCCGAAACAAATTTGTAGAGGCCAAGAATATTTAAACTATTAATGCAAAAGTTTCATCCTCACATGGGATAATCTCAAAAAATTCACAGGAATTTCTGAAATTATGATTGAGATCACATGGGATTTTTGCAAGCAAATCAAATATCTCAAGGGAGATGGTAAATAATCAACAACTAATGTCTAATAGCATTCAAAGGAGTATTTGACTCCCACACGCTTTGAGCAGTACATTATACCAAGAAGGATGTCTAAACTCGGCCATACGGCTGTGATGTATATATACTTGCACGAAGCATACACAATAAATTCTCCAAAGGCCTTCAATTCTATACAAGAAGATTACCGAACTGCTCTTAATAGAGTTTTATTGCTTTTCCTCTTCTCTCTTGAAAAAATTGTAGATCCCACATTGGAAAAGTATAATATGTGTTATGTACTTAATATTGTTAACTCCTAAAACTTTGCTCGCCGAGCTTAATAACGTGAGCTTGTGACCCAATGTTGGGGCATTAAAGGTGGAATTTGGAACTTAGTGTTAAGACATGGACGACAACCTATGGCACAGTGCTCTCGGCACGGTTGCTTTGTGGGCTGCTCTACAGTAGCAACCATGGTGGCTTATCAGAGCAGATGTCAATTACGCTAGGCCTAGGTCCGCTCTTCACCTGACCGCCACCTTTTTTAGTGTTTTTTTCCGATTTTCTATCACCTGTACAGATTTAATTCAAAACCTATACATTTACTTGTGTCAATCTCTCCAACCACAGTAGGCAGCCAATCCACTTTTGCTTTGCTTATTAATTCGAAATAAAATGTTTGGGGAGCAGTCCAATTCATAAAGTCTGCTAGCTACAAACCATTTTTCAACATCATGGAAGCATAACGCAATTGCACATGATCATTGAAAAATTCAGATTGCAAATCTTGCCTGCTACTTGCTTAACAATCATGCCAAGGACCTGAAAAATAATATGAACTTGATCAGCATATAATTGAGTTTATGCATTAGGGTTAAGCATGTTAGTTCATAGAACTCTTTCCAATAAGTTAGTTATGAGCTAAATTAATGAGTTCATGAGTTGGGATCCAATTCAAATCATGTTACCCTTCTCACTGATATGATTGAAGAGGATGAGATTCCATGTCCCCCTCCTCAACCAACACTACATATTAAGCAAACACATGGAAAAGTTGAGAGATGTTGAAGCAGTCACTTTCGCGGTGTTTGTATCCCTTCTTTCCTTCCTCTCAGGGCCAAAATCACAGCCAAGCAGCTGGTCATTGGTCTCCAAGATGATGCAGTCAAAAACAGAAGTATGAGTTTGCAAAGGTGGATGCTGCATTGAAATCACTCATTGGACACAAGACAAGCAAATCTCATCCCCAAAGCCATCTTGACAATCTGGAGTCATGCATTCAAGATCATGAAGAACAACTTGAGTAGGCAACTCATCAAAACCAGTCTTTCTTCTCAACATCTTAAACCATTAGATATTAGCTTTTCAATTTTGTACATGAAAAGTAATACATGATTTATTTTTCATAGAACCCAATAATGATTAATTTATTCCATAACAAAACAATAGCATAATTTATTGCTGGCTAGTTTTCTGTTACAGATTGGAATCAATTACTAATCCCAGACTGTTCTTCCTCTGCATCATGGAAACACATATGAATATATAGCAAAAAGGTTTTGGTTCAATTGGGACAGTCTAGCGAGCCATGATGGATCCAAGCGACCACCGACCCGTTATCCTTCCACTGCCAAGACAATAGCATAGAACCCAATAATGATTAATTTATTCCATAACAAAACAATAGCATAATTTATTGCTGGCTAGTTTTCTGTTACAGATTGGAATCAATTACTAATCCCAGACTGTTCTTCCTCTGCATCATGGAAACACATATGAATATATAGCAAAAAGGTTTTGGTTCAATTGGGACAGTCTAGCGAGCCATGATGGATCCAAGCGACCACCGACCCGTTATCCTTCCACTGCCAAGAGCGGGAGGTAGTCGTTGCTCTGTGAAGCCAGCCTTACGCGGTTCCCTCCGCTCTAGAAACCAAGTGACCCAGAGCCTTCGCTCAGGCCACAGGATTCAACTCCTAGCTTGGAATGGGCGGGCCAGTAAATAGCCAACCGAACCCGACCCGCTAATACTGAGCCAATGTTCCAGCACCTCAAAGCCCCCACTCGGGTTACAAGCTTGCGTTACAAAGCTCGGCGGTTTATCAACCTCGTGTTAGGTTTATAAAGCGTAGTGTGTGATGTGAACTAAGCGATGTGGGACAAGTTGCACTCGCTTTGCCTCTTAAAATCAGATCTTAAATAAGCTCAGAATTTCGTCAATACTTTCCAGTGGCGATTTAGGGAGTTGAGTGAGGTCACAAAACTTTCAAGATTCCATTTCTCTCAAGGAAGATAACCAATAATAAACATTTCACATTCAAAGGAGTCTAAAAGAAAGTTTATAGTGTTGCTTGATTCTTGTGGATGCAAAGACATTGTTTATTGGTAACAATGGTTGGTGAAAATTAGTAACATCAGTTCAAACATTGACATAAACAATTTTCTCCCAGGAAACAGTAAACACAGATTAAAGAAAACAGAAACATGGCAGACTCAGATCTCAAAACAAGCAAGTCACCATTTATCTGATTAACAAGCAAGTCACTTCTGATTATAATAAAAATTATGCTGCTTTTCTTTATGTTTGGGGAACATTGCTAATTAACAAGCAAGTCACCATTTTTCTACATTATAGAAACACAAAGGATGGTGACATTTTAATGCAGAATATTGCATATTTGCAGATCATGCCTCCTCCTTGGCAAACAATCGTGTGAATGAAGGACCTGCAAAACAAGATGAATTAAACTAATCATATGCATTGATCAGCATAATTGAGTTAAATGGTTTTTGCCTCTCCACGTATTTGTGTAAACAGGGACGTCAACGCCACTCGTGGTATCGTATATTAATTATGATTGATTAAATGGTTGTAGCATTTTAATGTGCTAAATTAATCAATTCGTGAGTTGGAATGATGGGGTGGGAAGGGACACTGCATAAACATTGAATAGGGAACATATAGATCCAAATCGAAATCATGTTACCTCTGACTGATGATTGAAGTGGATGAGATTCCATGTCCCCCTCTTCAATCAACACTATATATTAAGCACTCTGAATTGTACATCAATCAAAAGTTTTTAAGTCTTCTGTTCTATCTTCTCACAACACACAAAGAATAAATGGCTTTCCACACACGCTCTAACAGCTTCCCTTCAAGGCCACACCCGATCGTTCAAGAAGTTGATGAACATTTGTGTAGACTGAGGTCGTCTGAGGCTGCCTCCACATCTTCATCATCAATATGCCACAAACTAAGTGGCCTCCAAGACTTGCATGATTGTGTTGATAAGTTGCTTCAGTTGCCTCTCACACAGCAAGCCTTGGCCAAAGAGCAGAATGAGAAATGGACTAATGAGCTATTAGATGGCTCTCTCAGGCTCTTGGATGTTTGCAGCGGCGCCAAGGATGCTATCTTCCAAACCAAGGAATGCGTACAGGATCTTCAATCGATCATACAAAGAACACGAGGAGGTGAATCTGGATCACTCACCAGTGAGGTTAGGAAATACTTAACCTCTAGGAAGATGGTGAAAAAGACAATCCAAAAGGCTATGAAGAATCTCAAGGGAATCGAAAACAGATCCACCTTCTCTTCCCCAAACCAGGACAACGAGTCTATTGCCATTGTTAACAAGTTGAGAGAAGTTGAAGCAGTCACTCTTGCAGTGTTTGAGTCATTGCTGTCCTTCATCTCTGGACCAAAATCACAGCCAAGCAGCTGGTCATTGGTCTCCAAGATGAAGAAACAGAAGCCAATGAATTTGCACAAGTGGATGCTGCATTGAACTCACTCATTGGACACAAGACAAGCAAAACTCAAAACAAAAGTGTCGAAAATGCACAGAACCAGCTCGAGAAGCTGGCGCCATGCATTCAAGATCAAGAAGGAGTTGAGTGCCTATTTAGGCAATTGATCAAAACAAGAGTCTCCCTCAACATCCTTAACCACTAGAGAGATATTAGCTTTTTTTATTTTGTACATGAAAAACATACATGTGTATACTACAAATACATCCTTTGATATCAAATTGATACAATCTATTAAGTAAATTGATAAACTTATTCCACAACAGTAATGAAATTTTTTCTCTGTTTTTCAATATTGAATTCTAAGTTTAAGTCACGTTCATCATAAAACTAGTTACAGAAATAAATATTAAGTTAATAATCATCAAGATTTAATATCAGAGTTCAGAGCTTATATACGTGTTAAGCAATAGAAACAGTGCTGGCTGGTTTTCTGTTGCAGGGACAATAGAATCCATTATCAATCTCATGCTGTTCCTCCACATCATGGAAAACGCATACTAAACTCATCTTTGTTGTTTTTGTCTGCCTCTTGCACAATAATCAACCTTAGGAGTTTGAAGATTTTAACAAGCAAACCATCTTCAAAAAATTTATGGTGAACCTCCATGAAAAGGGCCAAACCAAGTTTCAAATGGGCTGGAACACTATTGACTGTTCATCTTGATAAAAAAAAATAAAAAAAAAGCCCAAATCCACTCAAAACCCAAGTGAGATTTTGTGATTTTGTTGGAAAATATAGGTATAATATGGAATGATTCCCAAGTATATGCCAAATCATATGCTTAACAAATGATGTCACTCATTATGATATTGGGGTGGGAGATAGGGCATTTCCAACCGAAAAACTTATATGAAACGGGGATAGCATTGTTTTGCTATCTCTGTCCTATCACGCTATGTCAAGTAGAAAATTTATCACGCGTGACATAACGTGATTAGTCGGGGATAGCAAAACAGTGATATCCCCGTTGCACACTAGTGTTTCTCCATTCCCAACATTGATGCTTATTTTATACTTCTTTAATGTCATTCTTTGTCCATAAAGGAGTTGTAGCTCAAGTGATTAAAAATAGTTATTTTTACACCCGAAGTTTTAAGTTTGAATCTTCTCTCTCCCTTTATTGCTTGTATAAATAAACAAATGTTATTTTTTGCCCACTTTTGTCTTTGCAAATTACACTCTGAATCAAAGACATGGAAATTCAAAAGGAGCTATGCAAATATTGGGTTTGACACGGATCCTAAGCCGGAAAGTGCAATTGAGATGGAAAAAGTAAAAAAGATGATTTGATTTCTATCAGCCAAGACAAAATGAAATCATGTTCCTTAATTTGGCTTAATTAGAAACAAACATACAATTTATTTGCAAGCAGACAAGCACAAAGTCATTTTTATAGTCCTAAGTTGTGTCCAAGATAAGGATGATACTATAATTCACACGTTCGTTTTGGACATCAATTCATTATCATTAAAGTTCTCTCCAAACACACTTTTATTAAAGTTTGTTTTGGTCTTTAGTGTACTTGTGCATTTTATAGAGCAGGAACTTGGATCAATAGGTAATTAAAGTTGTCCAAGTGCAAGGCATCGAAACCTAATTTCTCAACTTCGTGATGAATTGTTGGTGTACTTGAAAAGGAATGAACTATGTTCCTTGCCACATACGGAATTCATTTTAGCAACTCTATGGATATCTGTATTAGCCAAAAACGAGACTTTTAGGCCTTCTTTGTTACACAAGACTACGACACAAATTGGACTATTTAGCACTAATTATATCTTCCGTCAAACAAGGACTTATTTACGACCTGGACTAAGTAGGATTAAAGGCTCTCTAGTGGGACTTATTTTAGCCCACTTAAATGAAGAGTTTATTTAAGACGTGGACTAAACACGATTAAGAGTTGTTTATATAACCAAAAGATTTTTTTATTAATTGTTACAATGGAATGGAAGGAAAAGGAACTTTTAACATAATTTTAGCTTATTTATCCACCTTTATCACTTGACCTAATCGCATTTTATTTGTCCGTTGATGTCAAATACCCTGAATAAAAGGTTTATTTGACCAAGTTTCAAGTAAAATTAAAATGTTTGTTTCAATCAATGTTCTCCAAAAGGAGATTTTGTCTATTTCAAGTTTCAACCAAACATTTTAGAAAACATGAAGCATTTTTTTGTTATTTGTGGAAGCATTTCTGTCACAAGCATAACTAATTCAGGATGGTTTTCACATGTTTTGCTGACCCATACCCTACCATCCATCCCGCTCCCACCATTTCACGCATAATATAAGTTTTTGGCTATACATATATTTTTATACTATTCAATTCCTGAAATTCTGTGTACGGGAGATATCCTTCACTAGCATTCATGAACATGAAGTTAAAGAAAATGCACCAACAGCCGCCCTCATACCCCACAATTTCTTTTTCTTTTTTTTAACTTTCTTTAGACTTGAGCTATGATTTGCTAGATAAGATCAGAAAATCTGTTCTTCCCACCAATGTTGACTAAATGCACGAAAAGACTTGGATAATTCATGAAACTACACAAAAAGAAAAGGAAAAAAGTCTTTTAATTCCTCTGTTCCTCCACCCTATATATACACCCATGCATCCACTGATCCTTTTAAAAACTCATCCATAAATCACAAACAAATTGACACAACAATGTGGTGCTTTCTTTTGGCATTTGTTTCTCTTTTGTTGTTGTCCTCCACCCAAGGAGGCACAGCAGAGCAGTGTGGGACGCAAGCAGGGGGTGCTCTGTGTCCAGGAGGGCAATGCTGCAGCAAGTATGGGTGGTGTGGCACTGCACCTGATTACTGCAGCACTGGTTGCCAAAGCCAATGTGGTAGTGGCGGTGGTGGCGGTGGCGGTGACATTGGTAGCCTTGTGTCACGTAACACCTTTAATCAGATTCTTAAGCATAGGAATGATGGTGGTTGCCCAGCTAAAGGGTTTTATACCTATGATGCTTTCATTGCAGCTGCCAAGTCCTTCCCTAACTTTGCTAAAACTGGAGATGCTGCCACCCAGAAAAGGGAAATTGCTGCTTTCTTAGCCCAAACTTCACATGAAACTACAGGTCAGTAATTCAATTAGTTTTAAAAAATTATTATCAATTTACCATATCAGAAATATACACAAGGGATTGATTTATCCCAAATTAGTGACCATTGTCAATTTTTTTGGCACAAATTGCTACCATTTTCATCCATTTTCATTTCATACAAACTATGTAACACTCTAATTAATTACCCTTTATTTTTTTGCAATCTGATTCATTTATTTTATTTGTCTCAACTAAATTACTTACTTTGCATGATGATTATATGTAAATGTCCAGGGGGTTGGGCAAGTGCACCTGATGGACCATACTCTTGGGGGTATTGCTATCTCAAGGAACAAAACCCTGGATCTTATTGTGCCTGGGATCCTAATTATCCATGTGCTGCTGGTAAGCAGTATTATGGCCGTGGTCCAATTCAACTTTCTTGGTAAGTACATCTAATTAAATTCTGTATCGTTTAAGTTATCAGAAAATCTTAAGTGTAACTGGTTGTATATAGTTATGTGTTCGTCTATCTAAAATAGGTACATGATTGTATACGAGCGATGATACGGAAATATATTATCATGAATTATGTAGCTAGAATAATTATGTGTATTTGGACTATAGGAACTACAACTATGGACAGTGTGGAAAAGCAATAGGGGCGGACCTGTTGAACAACCCAGACCTAGTTGCTACAGACCCTGTTATTTCATTCAAGACAGCACTCTGGTTCTGGATGACCCCTCAGTCACCCAAGCCCTCATGCCATGATGTGATCACCGGGAGATGGAACCCGTCTGGAGCCGACAAGTCAGCAGGTAGGGTTCCCGGTTACGGGGTCACTACAAATATCATTAACGGTGGACTTGAATGTGGTAAGGGCTGGAACGCTAAGGTGGAGGATCGCATAGGGTTTTATAAGAGGTACTGTGACTTGCTTGGAGTTGGCTATGGCAACAACCTTGACTGCTACAACCAGAAGCCTTTTGGGTCTGATCTCAATGTTATTCAATTGCCTGAAAATTAATTGTAATTTGTACCCAATAATGTAGTTCTTTTTTGTTTTTTTAGGTGGTTGGTGTCACTACTGTTGTGACACTAATTCATGTGATGCCTAGTTATAAGAATAATTGTAACTCTGAGAAATGAAATAATAATGAACTTTTCATTTAACTTCGCATGCTAAGAAGGTGTAGTCTAATGAAAAAGAGTTTTAACTTGAATATTACTGGTCTTAAGTTTGAACCCCCATGATATCCTTTATTTTTTGTCGAAACCCTCATAGCACCCTAAAGCACTTCCACCCATTTGCCATAGCAAAAAGCAAAGGCAAGTAAGGGTGGTTACTGTTTAAATGAATAGTATTTGCCCTAGTAAATTTTATTTTTTTCCCCCCAATACCATGACAACCCAATGGCAATTACTATTCACATTGGATTAATTTTATTTATATGTATGAGATTAATAAATAAAAAATTACTAGGTATTTATAAAAAAAAAAATAAAAATAAAAATCTGAATTTCTTGGATTTTTTTTCTTTTTTTTTCATGGACGTCATGCTGGCGTCAATACCCTCATGCAACAACTCAAGCTATTCTTGCCTTCTAGCTTGCCCAATCTTGGTGGAGCCCACCATCTGTTTGGACTAGATTTGATTGGTGGAGTGTGTTTTTGCAGCCCAGAGGGCCTTTTGCCCTGACAATCCAAATCGGTGGAATTGCTCTTAGTAGTGCGTGTGTGAGAAATCCTCATTTCCTTATAGTTTAGATTATCATTGTATTCAAAAATCAAAAAACAAACTTCATGCATGTTATGGTAAAGATTATAGAAACCGGCCAAATTGGATTGAATTAGATTAATCACTTTGGAGTGATTAGATTTTGAATGCTTATAAAGATGGAAAATGTTATTTGGACACCCAGCTCAAAACTCTTTTTGTCAAAAATTTCCAATTTTGTACCTATAATTAAGAGGCTTTAAAAATACGTCGAGCTGAAGTTGGAATTGGTTTGCAATTTTTGGATCAAGGCAAAACCCCTCTTAAAATCTCAACTGTAATTTAAATTTTGACGATCTTTCTTTGTTGGGCCAAATACCAAAAGCAAAACCTGTTAAAAGCAACTGGACTTTAAGCCCATATTCAAAAGAGAAAAATCAGAGAAGCTCAAAGTGAAACAAAATAAAAACTCCCCATTACCAAATTTTCAGACCCATTTGTCCATGACACCTCTCCTACCTACCCATTAGGTCCCTTACAGAAAATGTATATCTATGTATACAGATAAGATATTGCTCTCTCTGGAGAGGAAAAAAAACCCAAGAATGAAAGAAAAAAAAACAAAAACAAAAAAGCTAGAACGGCTAACACTTGGAACATTGACAGTAGTTATAAGCATCTCTCAGTGAGGGATGAGAGAACGCCTAAGCTGTGAGCCAAATTTATCTACAGGACCAAACTTTATTTTACCCTACGCATCAAACTAATTCATTAGAATTTAGAAGTTGAGAAGGTTGGGCAAAGGGGTCAGGTTTTGAAGCCAAGGGCTATTCATTTGGGTCGCATCAAACTAATTCATTAGAATTTAGAAGTTGAGAAGGTTGGGCAAAGGGGTCAGGTTTTGAAGCCAAGGGCTATTCATTTGGGTCCAAAATGTGTCTTGGGTCCAGTCCATGCTCAATCTTGGCACTTGGAGCTCTGGCAATATGTATGTAGGAGGAGGAGGAGACCCTTTGATCTCCATTGCCTTCTCTTCCTTTGGCTCTTTTGCTTCTGTTAGTGATGCATCTTCCATTTCTTGCTTCAATACCACATTGTTTTTGGGCATTTGTAGGGTCAGATCTTCCTGTGGTTGGCTGCAAAATGAGATGGTCTCCATTGATGTTGGAGGAGATGATGTGTTTGGAGAAGCATGAAAGTTCTTTATCTCTTCCTCCATTGCTGCCCTTTGCTCTAGGACTTTCAAGGAAGTTGCCTTCCTATATATCTTGCATAGCACTATGTCCTGCATTTACAAATTCAAGAAAAAATCCATTAGATCACTACCCAATTAAATGCGAACTGACCTATATATCAAACTACCTAATCAAATATTACTCATCAAATGTCAGGTGACACGCATCTATTTAGCTATGTCATTTTAGTAGTGTAATTAGTAAATCAGACCCGAATTAGATGTGAAAATAAATAAGATCAAACTAGATGCACTAAAGTTAATCGAGCGTAATTCTTGTTTATATCGGCCAATAGTGGCAAAATTTATTGTGTGCGCCTGACACACTGCGCCGGACTCTCACACATAATATATGACATTTATCGTAAAACATGTCACCCACCAATTATCCACCAAGCAAATACAAACACAGTGTGCACTCAATGACAAGGAAAATAAACCCATAGGACCAAATTTAAGAATTTTCATGGAAACTTCCCAAGATATAGTTAAGTGTACGGAGATAGATGCTTAAGACTCGTGTTTTTTTGGGAGACTCCTTGATGATGCTTAGACTTAATTACAAGACTTTGCTTCTAGTTTTTGAAACTTTGCAAAAGAGAATTAACTTTTTGTTAGACTTTGTGATATAATTAAAAGTCAGCACGTATTAGGTTGGAGGACTGACACCGATCGAATCTACACATTACCAGAAAAAAAAATTGCCAACCATTACCTTGAGATAGTGGCAGTTATCAGGCAAACGATACTCGTTCATGACCCAATCAGTCTTGGTTCCTCTTGGGGCTCTGCCTTTGTAAAAAACAAGAGTCTTTCTGAGCCCAATGATCCTCTTTGGATCTGAGAGGCTCACAATTTTGCGGTCAGAGCCGGTGGCTTTCCAGAACCCAGTTTCAGTGGTTCTGTTAGGTCTTCCTCCACTGCCATGCTTCCTGTCCCTTGGCACAAAAAAATACCACTCTCTTTCTCCAATCTTCGACAACCCTACAAGTAATTAATCAAACACCCATTAATTAACAACACCATTATAATAAATTAAGCAAATAAAACCATGCATAGAACTAAGTAAACCAAGTAATTAATGAAAGTTTACCAGGCAAGTCCCGAGGGTCATGGTGGTAGATATTGAGAAAACCAATTATGTCAAAACGCTGTCTCTTCCCAAAAACCACGCTCTTGAGGTAGAACTCAAGAAGTTCTTCTTCTGTGGGGTGGAATCTAAATCCTGGAAGTTCAAATTCTGGGATCATTTGTTCTTGATCCTTAGTGTTGTCTGCCATTGAAAATGTTGGTGACTATAAATAGTGTAGCTTCTGCTTCTTCTTTCTGCTTCTGCTTTCTACTTAGCTCTCAATTAATGTTGGTTGGTTGCACTTGAGACGTACACTCTCCACAGATTGTATTTATAAGGAGCGGGATTGTGGTGCAAAGCCATATAGACTCTTCATGATTTTATATGTTGGTTTGATGGAGAAGCTGTAGGACCCATTGGACTCAGTCTGCAATCACCAAGTCCATAGAAAATTGGAGTTATATGGGACTTGGGGCCCTCACAAACATGGTGGAACCCACGCGGTTTTGTAAAGTCGTCAGAGATCGTGACAACGATTCTTTTAAGTCTTTGCCATTTTGCTTGACTTCCATTTTCTTTGGATTTTGGACTTTTACTTGGAAATTCCAGGCAGAATGGAGCAATTTTCCAAGCAAATTTTCTACCACAAAATATTGATTTTTTTTTGCAAGCAAATGATGAACGACGAAAGATACAGAGCTTCAATGTTCAAAGGGGGGTCAGCTAGTCCATGGTCCATTCAATCTTTTTATTATCAGTTTGAGCAAGTCTAATTTTTGCTTGAGTCTCCTCTTGTTGCTTAGAATCAAATACAAAATGTCACCAACACCATAACCTTCTAGTTAATTTGGATATACCGAGACTTGTTGAGTTTCCTCCTCCTTTCCTTTCACATGCACAGAGAAAAATTGTTAAATATGAAGAGACGAGTCAACGGTCCATTACTAACAACGCTGATATTGTCTCCAACTTAACCACCGACAAAGCCCAGTAGATGTAAGGTTTTATCACAAAAGACCTTGGTGATATTAATAGTGGAACTATTCATTATATGTTGTATTTTATTTAGTTAAGTTTTCGATGAATGACTTGTATTCTTCAAAAAAATGAGGTGCTTTGCATGCAGCATTTGGAACAAAGTGAACTTTGGACGCAAAGTTTATAAATAGTATATGCCATTATTTCATATCATAGAAATAAAAATTCTTACAATATTGAAACCAATTTTACATCAATAACTTATTAACTACATATCAAAAAATATGTACACAGATGACAAAAATCAGATAAGTACCTCAATCATCATTAGACAACTGCTAATTTCAAAAGCTTAAGCTGTTAGAAAATTGACTAACAATGTATATCAAACTTACACCCTCTTACGTGGAGAGACATATCAATCAAAGAAAAGAGACAAATATTTAATATAAGTTCCACTTCCAACCATAATAAAACTATAAGACATATCAATCAAAAATGTGCTAGAACTTAAGTTGTTATCTAGTTTAGAGAGTCATAAATGTTATAACTATTTTTTAATTGGTCCATCTCTATTAAAAAATAATTAACATTAATTAAAGGTTTGAAATACTCATTAAATAAAACAGCATTAAATTATATGGAGTCACTATGAGTCATTTATCTCTCCTCAAATTTAGGAGGTCCTAGAGGTCTCTCTATTTTAGGAGGTGGATAGGGAGCATGGTTAAAGTTGTATTTTTCCAAATTCTCCCTAAAATTTGTCTAAGAAAGTGATTTAGAGAGCCCATTGTGGATGCTCTTAGAGCATCCACAATGATGCTCTCTATTTCTTAGTTAAAATTTGGCTAAGAATATAATAAAGCTATTTTAGGAGCTCTCTAAAAAATTTCAACATCAACCATACTCCCTAATTTGGAGAGTCATAAATACTATAACTCTTTTTGATTGATCCATCTCTATTAAAAAATAAAATAAAAAATAGTTAGCATTAAATAAAAGTTTGAAATACTCATTAAATTATAGGGAGCCACTAGAAGTCATTTCTCTCTCCTTAGATTTAGGAGCTCCTAGAGGACTTTCTATTTTAGGAGGTGGATAAGGAGCGTGGTTGGAGTTGCATTTTTATCATTCCTCCCTAAAATTTGTCTAATGAGGTAATTTAGGGAGCCCATTGTGGATGCTCTTAGAAAAGGTAGAACCACTTCCAACCATAACAAAAACATCTAAGTTCTAACACAAAACATCACATCAAAATGAGAGAGCAACTTATGATCCAACCAAAACAGTTGTAAATCCTTCATGCAACTTGTATTAGACATGTTACAGTATATTTCACCGGAAGGAAAAAAAAAGACATGTTAGAATACAGACCTATAAATCAAGAGATATGTAAAATATGGATTGTTCGTGCATTGGGAACATTTTTTTCAGTATTATTTGGCCTCCTTACAACAAATGAGATTTTAACACTTGTCAAATTCTGAAAGAAAAATAGTTAAAGGAATTCAACAAGTGTCAAAACTTTATTAGTTTTGAGGAGGAGCTACTTCTTACAACTAATGTGGTTTTGACACTTGTCCTTTTTTTTGTGTTTTTTGTCAATTTTGCTGGAATTTGACTATTGTCAAAATCTCATTGGTTTTAAATTTTTAAGGAGGTGCTCCTCCTCAATTTTAAGGAGCCAAGCCATGCTAATAAAATTGTTGCAAGAATATTAATAGTTTTTTATTTTTGCTCTACAAGAATATTCGATTCTTCCAACTCTCTAAGTTAATTTATATCAGAAAAATATGGGATCTATTCCTAACTTAAATCATATTAAAATCGAGAAGTATATTTCGAGGGAGTGCAAGCATAACAAGATCAACTGAGATTACTCCTGGAAATTCGGCCAAAATCATATGAAAATTTCGATTTAACTCTAATTAAAAAGGGAACAAACTTGACTCCTTAAAATTGAGGAGTATCTCATCCTTCAAATAAATAGAATTTTGACACTTGTGAAATTCCTTTAACTTCTTTTCTTTTGAATTCCTTAAGTTAAAAGTCCATTTGTTCTGAGGAGGAGCTTCTTCTTAGTTTGAAGGACCCAAACCATGCTCCAATTTTAAAGAAAAATACTTAACTTCTTCCCTGAAATAAGTAGGAGCTTGTATTTTCTTGCCAATCACAGTTTGACATGTGCGTAGAGATTTTTCTTTTTATGTTTTTGATACATTGTTTTTACATATGTGTCAAACTATAATTTTAAATTGTTTTTCCAGAAAGTATGAATGTCTCCTTACAGGAAATGAGAGAAGCATTGTAAAACTTTAAATTGTTTGAGAAGGGAGCTACCTGAGGTGGGTTGACTTGACGTGACCAGGCCTTAGATGTTAATCATTAAAAACGAGTTTTTTTCTTTGTTGTGGCCAAATAAAGTGCTAATTAATTAACCAAATAGTGCATTATTTAGGCAAAGTGCACCTAATTGATCAATTATAATTGGTGACCTACAATCTTCATACCAAAAAGTCTTAAGATAACGATGTGGCCATTGACAGTGACTTGACCACAAACAAAAAGCAAACAAGTATGAGTTTCCAAAGTGTGTTAATTCAAAGCAACTCCGCGTTGTTTAGCCTTCTTTTCCATACCAAATTATTAACTCATAATTAAACAAAGTTTTCTTTTAGAATAAAACTTGTATTTTCATTCTTCTTTTCTTTGGTGGCTTCGTTTTTATGGGACTTTGACTTGGAAGTCTTCTCTAAAGACTTCAAGTCTTCTTGTTTTATAAGTAAACGATAAGCCTCACCAACATCCATGTCCTTCCTAAGGTCTCTTACTTCTTGTAGTGCCCCTACCCTATGCTCTGAGACCCTTCTTTTTTCTTTTACCTTTAAGCAGAAAGAAAAAAAAACCAAAAATAAATTTACAAATTTAATTACCATTTATTTGCCCGTAGCTTTCTCTGTTATTTCCTGGAAACTTTCTGAGTCTTTGGAGCACTACTTTAAGCTTTCCTAATCTATTCGAAATTCAATCCAATCATGTTTCACATCAAATAATAGAACCAAAATTTCCTAATGTGTCGCATGATGATCGTCTGCATTGGCTTCTTCATTCATGGAACTTTGGGATAAGAAACACTTGCTTTTTTCTGTAAACATGATGTATTGGGATTTATTTTTGGGGGAGTTGCAAATCAGATTGGGAGTTATTTGGTTGTTTTGTTCTTCTAGTTCTCTACTTGTTAGGGCGGCACTAGAAATAAAGCTTCAGAGTTTCAGGTCTCTCCTAGCACTTTGAGGTAGTGAACCCTATTCATGCCAGCTACAAAAGGACTGCAAAAAAGTTGTAGCCCCGCAGAGAAGTCAGTCGTGTGCATGGAATTATTAAGTCAAGCTTTAAAATGGGAGGTTGATTGGCATCAAAATCTAGACACTATTGAAGCTATTGTTCCGGCGCAATTGCGGTTTGGGAATAATTTTGGACCATCATTACAATCCTTTAAATTTTCTCGTTTTCAGAATGGGAACCCAATGTTCTTTTCTTACTTGTTTTTGTTCCATATGGTCGTAACATGCTGTATTCTTTTCCAAGGTTTCATAATGAAAACCCGACTACAAATTGGATGCAAAGCTCTAGAAAGTTGTCATCCATATATGAAAGTCAAGTCCCATGCCATTAGAACCAAAGCACTAAGGCTTGATCAAAGATTGATGTTTTTGTTCTAGCAATTGCTATGTATTTGGCACCAAGATCCTTAGACTATTAGACTATTCATGGATCATGATTGTAGAGAGAAGAGCATCATTTGGGTTTTGAGATAGCAACTTATTACATTATTTTTTGCACACCAAATTAACGTGACAGTGATTCATTTGTTTTTATTTTGGATTCACTTTGGATCTTATTTGTTTACATACACATGAGAAATTGTCTAATTCTATTTGTTATTAGTAAAAGGGAATAATTGAAAGCATGTGATTGCAAGTGACCTATCACAATTGAACAAACAAAGAGATAGAACGAATTCACAAATTGTATTATTCCCAGCGATTTGTGGAAATAATGTCACATTTATCAAAGATGTCTTCATCAATCTTGATCAACACGTAAACCTTTTCGATATCTGAAAGCTGGTGTTGTAAGTTTGTGTCTCTACTCTAGTATAATTGACCCGTTCTATTTATCACAAAGAGCATTTTTCACTTACTTTTCATGATAAAGGGCAAGGGTATGAACAATAGCTGGCGTTTGTTGTTTTTTTGGTAAATATCGCGAGATGTCCCCACACTTGAAGGGTGGGATTAATCTCCGTTTGGGATTCGGCTTGCTCCAGACAACAAAGTGCTTCCAAAGGGTTTCGAACCCCTGCCATTGAGGCACCATGTAGCTTGCCAATTAGATGTGGTAGTTTGCCAACCGCACCACACCTTGTGGTTAACTATTGTTCGTTGTTGCACTTAGGTGTTTTGTTGGTGTGTTCTGTCTGGTTGGCCTTGTTGTTGTGTTGCCCAGGGGTGTTTCGGTTGTTAGTCTGTTTTTCCCCGTCTGTTTGGTTGTATAGCAGCTTTTGGGCTGTCTCCTTCCTTTCCCTTTTGTTAATGAAAGTGTGGTTTTTTTTTTTTTCTATCTATTATCAAGAGTAATTATTATTCACATTAGATTAATTTTATTTATACGTATGAGATTAATAAATAAATAAATTGTTAGGTATTTATAACTGAAAAATTCTGAATTTTGTTCAATTTTTTTCTTCATTGATGTCAGGCTGGCGTTAGCACTAACGTGAGCGCCTTAGGGGGCCTTTTTCCTGGCAATCCAAACCGGTGGAACTGCTCTAATGGAAGGGAATAATGGAAAGCAGATGACTATTTTCCAATCCCATGTGATGTATCAAAATTGAACCCCCAAAAAAAGAGAGAACAAAGGCCAATTGCATTCTCAAATCGTAACTAGCTGCCAACAAATTTGTGGAAATAATGCCATATTTATTAGAGATGTCTTCATCAATCTCGATCAACACTTAAATGTGGTGCAAATAGTTTTGTCGTTGTTCTCCCTTCAAACAATTTTGCTTAATCAGAAAATAAAAGTTAATGAATGTTGGTTGCATTCATTTCCAATCCCATGTGAGTACCACTATTCAGATTTCAAATAAAAGCCACCATGAACCCTGCTCTTGCGGGTTGATGATCAATACTCTCTCTCCTCCATCCAGACTGCCTTGAGCTGAGACAAAGCTTGTGCAAGAGCATCACTCTGTTCTGTTCTGTGCATCATCATTTGCCTTTGGCAAGGGACATCAGGAGGAGGACCAGACTGTGAGAGCAGAGCAGCTGCACGCAACATATGTCAAAGGAAAGGACAGCCACTTACTAACTAAACCCGTCATCCCCCAAGCTTCAACCCTTTAGCATACTCGTTTTGGTAAACCCTGCTCAAGCTTTATATATGCATTTGAACAATCACAAAAAGTGAAGTTTTTGGCAAAGAATCACAAGGATAAATAAATAAGTGAAGATTCGTTTGAGCAATTCTATTAGCACTAACTAAAACGAGAAAGACTTCTATGGAATGAGAATAACACTATTTTGTTATTCTCGATCAATAGCGTTATGATACATGATAACACTTTCACATGGTATAGTATTATATTGATCATGATATCACTCTTGCAACTAAGTTTTTCTCCAATAAAACCTACACACTCAATTTTACAAAAATGTAACAAACATTTCAAAACATTCTTTGTACTTTTTTTTTCTTTTTCTTTTTTGGTAAGAAAACATTCTTGATAGTTTCAAAAAATATCCTTTCACGTTATTTCCACACTTGGGATTTACCGTCAATGCCGTTGATATTGACACAGGCCTTTTTGGTAATTTAGCGCTTTTTTTTCCTTGAAGTAATTTGTATGAGGGTAGTATCGTAATTTAAATAATCTCGCGTTAGTCTCCCACCTTCAACATTCTCAAGTCAATAGTCCCAACGTCTCCTGCCATCACCCAGTCTTCGGCTCTCAACTCGACACCCTTGGCGGTGAAGGAAAATTGGATTATCGCCGCCGGTAAGTCATGCCGTTTTCTTCCCCAATTTTTCATGAATTTTCTTGTTTATTTTTTGAGACAAATTTGTGAAAGAAGAGACAACAAAATGTTGGCCTCTGCATTAGCACAAAATTTGGGTCTGATATTAATTTCTGTCATCAGGAGAGCAAAAAGATAAAAACTTTCATCTGGGTACAAGTCATATTAGGGATTTTTGACGTTAATTGGTTCCAAGTTGAGTTTTTGAGGCTTGATCTTGTTGTTGTTTGAACTTTCTGAGAATGGTTCATATTTGGGTAGTGCACGTCTCTGAATTCTCATTTCTACAGTGGTCTTGTTGTTCATCTCATCCATTAATTTTTTCTATCGATGTTGATGATGATTGTTTAAACTCAGAAATGTTTCTACAAATTACTATGAACTGTATACAGATAAGATTGTTAGTTGGGTTTTAACATGTGAGCCATCAATATAAGGAGACTTTGATTTGAGGACCTGAAAAAATTCTAACCCAAAGCTGTAAGTTTTTGAAAACTGTTGTAGATTCACTCAATCAACAGCCAAATAGCTATAATTTTTCATTTTGCATTACTGTGCATATCTTAGATTGTTTTTTTTACATATGGTAAGTTCTTATTGAGCCATTTTGTGATAGTAGCTGTTTGCTAGTTACGGGGTTTTTTCTGAGTAAAAGTGTACTGTGTTGATGTGGATCTTGATTTGGTAGTTTTTTGTTGGAATCATGGCTGTAATTAAGGATGATTGTGTGTTTAAATTGTGAAATTTTAGTTTGGATGAAAACTAGTGTGCCTCTGCCTATAAGCTGTGACAAAGCCTCAAGTGTTTTCTTCAAATTGGACTTGGAAACAGGAATTTATTTTACAGATACCATGGTTGAGCAAGTTAAGAAAGGAAATAGGAAAAACATAACTTTTAAAGGCCATTCTACTTTCACCAATGTAAAGAACACGCCTTTTAACGATCAGATCCAGTTTTAAGTACTGCAGTAGCATCATCACCTGATGTTTGAGACTATATGAAGGTAAGTGCATAATGGTTTTACATTTTTTTTTTCTCTCTTTTCTTAGCATAAAGGTGCAAAACATGTTCTGTTGTATTATTGCATATTTAGATGAAAGATTTCGTGTTGATGAATTGGTGATTGGATTGCCTTAACTATGATGAAGGGACACAACTGCTATAGACAAAGGTATTTGCGAGGACTTGAGATTATCTCTGACTTGAGCTTCCTCCTTTGATGATGGCTTTCATAAATTGAAGGAAGAATGAGGAGATCAAGTTAAGAATGAGGAGATCAAGGTGATCATAGATGCCAAAGATATCATTCTCCCAGTAAAAGTGCCGGACGTTTGCGACATCAATCAAAGGCATCAATGGGTTGGACTTGCCTACCATATTTGAAGGCATTTAAAATTTTTGCAGAAACCAAATGGTTGGATAGTGTAGTAGTTTATCTACGCATTTAGATGTGTGACCATTTTCATCTATGTTTTGTAGATGAGTGTTTTATATGACATGGTCTCATCTCATGGTGCATAACATGAAGCTTTTCTTGACAGACATGAAACTAGATTTTGCTACTGAAGAATCTGAAGAACAAAGAACTTCCGGCTTCAGAATTATATATTGCAGCTGCTTCTATATAGAAATGAGAACTTGCTTTGCTGGGATTTTTTTATCTGAATTCGCAACTTTTCTGAAATTAAAAAAATGCAGTTGATAATTGAAAACTATGCTTCACTTATTGATGAGCGGGGAGTGATTACGACAAATGTATAAGGTTTTGTTTTTTTATTGTATGATATTTTATTGAATCAAATTGATAAAAGACATGTGAGATAGAATGAAAAATGTTTAATAATAATAAAGCTCTTGTGAGATTTGCTGATTGCATCAGGCAGTCAACAAATCTAAAAGGTATCACACACACATAACGTATATGGGACGTCACAAAATATCCTTTATGCTCCAAAGTTGATTTTAAAGATATTTATGATTTCGGAAAAAGAAGATGAATTAATAAATAAACATTTTTTTTTAGGAAGAAAAGTTGGGGGAGGAGAGGTTACCCAATCTCAAGACCGGGGTATATCAAGCCTATTTTAGTCTTTTTTGATTTTTACAAACTACTTACAAAAAGGAATTGTTATTGGCAAAACTTGAATCTAAGACCGAATAGCAAAGAAAACAATCTTTTATCAACTCAACCAACTCTCGTTGCACCCAATTTAATTTTCATTTCGATTACAATGTTACCAGCTATTGTTTTACACCAACAACAAAGGGAAAGTTCTTCTAAAAAGATTTTTCTTTTTCTTTTCCCAAACGATGACTCTAAAAGGCAACATCTGAAAAAGTATAAAATAGAATGACCAAAAGATTGAAAAAGTTAAAAACAACAAATAAAAAAGCTGTAGGGGTCGCGTACAGTCTGGTCACTAAATCAAAACCCAACCCAAACCAAACACAAGGTTGGCCAAAAGGGACCCACACTTGCTCTCTAAACCCATGTGGGCCCCATATAACTCAAGGTCCCCAAATGATGCAAAATTTTTAAATCATCGTCTCAGCCTCACCACCACCACAGTACCTTAAAACTTGCAGAGAAAAAAGAAGAAAAAGAGAAAAGAAAAAAAGGGAAATTATAACACCACCAGTAATGGCATGCAAGCCCTAGTGAGCAAATGAAAATAGAGAGAATAAAGCTGCTCCTGCTGCTGCTATTTTTTGGACCTTGCTTATTTTTCTTTCTTTCTATGTAATCTTTGTAAATAAAATCCAGAGATCACAAAATACAAGCTTGATGATAATGCAGACTTGAAGATAAAGATGGGCCCTTTCTTTTTTATAAACTAATTTAAAACATACAAAAGAAAAGATTTTGGACCAGTCAGTGTTCGTTTTTCCTTTTTATCTCCTTTTCAATCAAACCTTGTCATACCATTATGGTATGGCTGGTCTTGTTATGACCAAAATCAGACAGCAAAAGCAAAGCAAAGAGCCTAAACCACCTTTTTTCCCTAACTTTCATCCTTTTTTCATTTGTCTACTCTTTACAAAGCTATCTCAGTCTGCAAAGTAGCTGCTCCATTGAACCCCACCTGTTGCTGCTGCTGCTGTTGCTCAACCTCCCATCTTGCTTTGGCTATGGCTCCATCATGCACAGGCACGTACTCCTAAAACCCCAAAAAACCAAAAAAACAAAAGAGCCATCATTTACAACCCAACAAATCCAAAAGGAAATGAAGCACCAAAATGGTAATTTGATCAAGATTCTTTTCCTAATCACTCGACAGTCTATTTTTCCATTTTTGAGCTTCAAAATCATGGAAATCTGCACACAAAGTGTATGACAGAAATGAAAATAATTTGAAGTCACGCTCATACAAGTCACAAACAAAAACACACAAACCTCAAGTTTTTGAACAAGCTCTTTGGCATTGGGGGCAGAGACTATGATGTGGCGCTGAGAAGGCTTGATAAAGCCATCATCCACGGCTTTGTCAATAAAAGTGAGAAGGTAGTTGTAGTAGCCATCAACATTGAGCAAACCCACCTGCAAAAATTGTTGGCATAGAATAAAGTTTCAAACTTCAAGGCAAAGACTTTGATTGCTCATCACTGTTTCGCTGGTGGGTTTTTTTATATGGTCTTACAGGTTTGTCATGGATGCCAAGCTGTGCCCAAGTGATCACTTCTAGCAACTCCTCCAAAGTTCCATATCCACCTGATGAAAACAAAGCAGGAGATTTTATAAATAAAAAAAATCCAATTGATTAACTTAATCAAATAAAAGAGTAAAAGGCTACAACTTTATCGGTAGAGAGAGAGGGGACCTGGTAGGGCTATGAAACAATCAGAATGGCGGGCCATTTCTGCCTTCCTTTGGTGCATGTCGGCTACTGGCCTTACCTCTCCAACTGTTTCACCTGTTATCTGTGAGGCTCAATACCACACATGCATACGTTTTGAGAGGCACCATACATACTTGAAGGCAAAAAGGACTTAACTTTGAACCAGTACTAAAAAAAAGAAAAGAGATTTCCACAAACAAGAAAGGAAGGAGAAAACCCATTTGAAAGATTGACAGATTATGTACCTCTTTACACATTAGAGTCCTAGGTATGATCCTGTCCAATGTGAACCAAATACAAAGAAGAAACAAAAAACATTGGTCAAGTGTATATGAAAAAAGAAATTAAGAACTAAAAACATGTGACAAAACCCAAGAAAAAGTGAAAGACGGCTGATTGTACCCAAGAACATTCCCTCCACCACGATGAACAGCCTGAGAAACCAGACCCATGAGCCCAATGCTACCACCTCCATAGACAAGGTCCAGCCTTCTTGACACCTTGACATAACCCAAAAGCTCAGAATACAAAATAATAACATACCAATAAATTAAAAGTTGAAAATTTTGGACTTTTGGAGGACCAATGAAGAAGTACCAGCTCTTGGGCTAATTCAATGGCAGCATCTTTGTAGCAGTTCCTCTTTCCAGTACTGCTGCCACAAAACACACAAACCCTCTTGAATCTTGATCTCCCAACTTTCTCTTCCATGTCCAAAGCTTTTGATATTTTCAATTTTGTTGGATGTTTTTGCCTTAGACTTTGGCCAAAGTGACTCATAAATATGGAGGAAGCAGAGTGCCAAGTAAAGAAGGACCAACCGCTATATATAGAGCTATAGACTCCACACAAATATGACTACATGACTAAAAGGGTAGGACCCCCAAAAAGCAAAATTGCATTTTTAAAATTAAAAAAAATATATTTATTAAAATTTTGAAAAATGAAAAATAGAGAGAAGGAAGGAAAGGAATACTGTGGTTCTGTTCTGTCAAACGGATAGAGACGAAGTAAGACAAAAGGGCAAAGCAAAAAAGACACAGTGGGAAGTCTGTGCGCCATTCAGAGACCGTTCCTCACCGATGTTGACACGTGTCTTACATTCATGGAGGAGGCTTGCTGGTTTCGTGCCTTAGCTGGTAATTAAGCACCCATTTGCAAAGAAAAAAGAAGAAAAATCTCATTTTTGCACACTACCTTGTGTGGTGGCGTAGCGCCTCTTTCTCTTTCTCTCTTTCTCTCTTTCTGTCTGTGTCGGTTTTAATGCACGCAATCATAACTTGGTGCGTATTTACACGTGCAGAGCCCTTCTGCATCAAATCAAAGATCAACAACACTAAAATATTGGTTTTTTGGTTTCTTCGCTTTTTGGATTCTTGGCATGGCTCAACTTGAGGTTTTATTTAGCGAAGGAGGAGGTAGGCCAGTGAAAGAAAAAAATCATAGCTAATTAACAAATTTAGGATGTATTTAGCGAAGGAGCTTGGTTTTACTGACCTAACTTTTTAAGCATAAGTGGGATTCATAGTGGGAAACACCGAGAATGAAGATATTGTCACGAAGATATTATTAACTTTTACAAGTAGTTTTAAACAGATGTGGATGTGCTGAGTTTGAACTCCCTTTTTCGTAAATTGGATTAGATGAAAGTATAATATTTTTTTTATTAAAAAAAGTAAATTTAGTTATGATTTATCGAGATCAAAACCAAATATTGGCTTTAAGGAATTTTTTTTTTGGGGGGGTTTGCAAATCTTCATTTTATGGGTTATTTTTAGGTTAAACTAACAATGGAAATACCAACTCATATTATATTTGTACTTATCGAACATGAGAATGCGTTCTTAGATAATGTTAACTCATTCTTTATGATTTACACCGACTACAAATTATATACGATGGGATGAGAAATTGACAATCCAATTTATTTGGATTGAGATTTGGGTTGGGTGCACATTTCATTTATATCAAATATCAACATCTTGTAATTTGTATTGTAGTTTTCTTTTTTTCCCAATTCCTCTTCTTTATCTTAATTCTGCCTTTCTTGCCTCTATAAACAAAACAAAAGAATGAATGAATAGGGTTACATGTGTGGGCTCCAACCTTAACTGTAAAGAAAATGTAGAGTTATTCTCTTCATCAACCATTCATTGCATCTTTTAATCCTTTTTGTAACTTTTAAAATTTTGATCAAAGTACTTAGAAAATACTAGATAACAGCAACATTCAATTAATGTGGCATTGTCGATCAACGATTTAAACATGGTTTTAGAATCGTGCTCTAAAAAATCCATTTTTACCGACCAGCTTTGCTTGAAGGGAGGAAAGCTCCAATTCCATATGAGGTAACTCAAAATAGTACTTCCATGGTAATAGAGTTCAACTGCTCTACGCAACCACCTTTCTTGCATGAAACAAATAGTTACTGCCACACAATAAATTAAGACTTAATGACTGGCATTACCATCATTATTGCATGCATTATGCATAAGATAATGGTTGGTTACTAGGAAATAGCATACATGCTTCACATTTTGTTACACCGTATTCCACTTCCCATATTAAACCTAGAGATCCTTTTTATGATTATGATGTAACTTTCTGATGATAATCATCATAAGGGATCAATGGTTTAGAACCCTAAACTCACTAACTTATGTAACTATAAATATGTATTACCCTCTCTTTGTAATAAGAGCACTTCCAGCGTTGAGCCCGTGCCAGGGCAAGAGAGGGTCCAAGCCCCAAATTCGTCTTCTAGCGAGCTGAAGCTGCCCAGCAGCTGCTGGGTCCCATGAAACCAGGCTAGCCCAAAGGCAAAACGAGCTCGCGCTCTAGCCTGAGTTTGCTGGGTAGAGTGGGGAGTGAAAAAAGGAATGTGTAGTAGTGTATTGGGGAGTAATTATAGTGCAGTAGTATATATTTATTGATACTATATTCTAAAAATGAGAGATCTTAAGTATATATCGTTGTCATTTTACAGCATAATACAATAATTTCTCAAAACCGATATATGGTGTATGACTCATACATATGATTATTTTTTAGGTTTATAATTGGGTGGTCCTCTTGCAGGGTCATGTTGGTTTCACTGGACAATAATGCTGGTTACTGAGTCGGCTGTAGTACTATAATAGAGGATGAAATATCAATCACGTTTCAATAACATGTGCCACGGCGCATTTACAGGGAATGCACACAAGAAAACATCAATGTTCCAATATATATCTGATAGCAATTGCCATGGGCGGTGGCATGAATTACTGCTCGAGAAACACTTCCACAAAATGGATAGCACTCGTTTTGATATTCTTGATCAATAACACTACGTTATGACACACGTGATTACTTTTTCACGTGTCATAACATTATTAATCAGAAAATCAAGACAATGAGATCCCCGTTGCAACTTTTTCTCATTACACCATATACAATCAAATGACGAGACCACAGTGAAGGCTGTAGATGCATACACCATCTGCTCGATATAATAATGTCGAGAGATGGCGTTTTATTTATGGTTTGCAGTGTGAAAAGAGATAGGCCAAGGGCATGGTGGCATTTGCCAAAGCAGTGCGGCGCAATAATTTTATTTCTGCAGCATCGCCCACTCCTCTCCTATGTCTATCAATCAAATGTATGTAGCCTTCTCTTTAGCTATAGCTAGGTTGAATTTAATGCCATCCTTTATTCTCCTTTCAGTTTTTAGTTGCTACCTATGGAGCTTGGAACTTGTTCTTCCTCTTGGCGTTGTGTAATCTTTTGGGGTAGCTGAGTTATGAGAGTTGTTGGTGTTGCTCTCCCTTGATTTACAAGCATTTTGGTGTTTGTTAGTCATGTGAATTTGAATTGGGATAAATGCTCCTAAAAGAAGTAAATTAGAAATAATCACTATTATAAAAATAGAGTAAAAGATTTAAATTTTCGATGAATCATTCAGAACTACACATATAAACATAATTTATCTCGTTAATGATTCTGATTCAGTCTCGTAACATATATAACATGTCAAACTTTCGGATTAAAAAAACAGTAGATGAGTTAATTACATTTCTTTTATGAGCATATTATAAGCAAAGCGTTCTTTATAATAAAACCAATGCACTGCAGATCAAATACTAAGGTAGTTGAGCTTAGTTTAGCGTTTGTTAGTTAATCAAAATTGCACATTTAGACGTAATTTATCTGTTTAGTGGTTTAAATTCAGTCTCGTAACATATAAATAACATGTCAAACTTTCTAATAAGAACAAACCACTTACTCAAACTTTCTTTATCATAAAACCAATGCACTGCAGATCAAATACTAAGGTAGTTGAGCTCATTTATGCCCCATGATTACAAAATTGAAGGTTACAAGGTAGGTTTTGTTATCTACACTTCATTTAAGAACTACTTACCATTCTTTTTTCTTCTTAAAGAAGACAAAGAAAGTGGAGATTAATTCCATCTGAGTAGCTAGAGTTGTAGAAGAGGCGTAGGCAAAACATAGGCTGCGTGGGTTGTGGTTGTGGGATTAGATTGGAGAGCAAAATCAGCAAACTTCTTTCAGCCGTTAAATCGTCCATAATGAGTGTGCTTTTCAAGAAGCACTTTATCAACCCTGGGAAGTGAGCTCTTCAAAAGTTGTCCATACAATCAACCCTAATTACCGCCAAACCCTTTTCTCTCTGCCTAGTTGACGTACTGTGTGTGATTAACTTGCAGGCAGGTAGCTATTGCCTAAACATGCCTATTTCATTCTAGCGCAGGTTATTGTGCAATGTGCGGCGCCCAATTCAAATCCATCAAATCAGTACTGCCTGTCAAGGAATGTCTGATAATCTAAATCCATATGGTAACTTCATTCCAACTCCTTCTCATTTTGCACACGGTAGATAAAAATAAGTTGTTTATCAAAAATATAAATATAGTTTTTTATACATAAGTAAGTGATTTTCAATCGTTTGATGCATTGTGAGTAAGTTTCATCTATTTATGCAAGACGATATTTATCTTACAATCATTTAATGCAGATTGAATAAGTTTCATCTGTTGATGTAAAACAATAGAATTTCATAGCCGTTTAATGCATACTGTTGATGCAAGATGATCTAATTTTACAGTTCGTCTCACATGGGTGGGCAATTTTTGAAACTGTTTGCACTATATACCCACAAAGCTAAAAGTGACAAAAACAGAGAAACTGCATATCAAACTAGAAATGCTACATGCACCAATATTCAAAGTTCAAAACTGAGTTTTATATTCAAAGTGAGTAGGCCCTTCCAGTGTTCTATGGTAGGATTGGAGTCTCATTCATGAGTTTGGTCCCATGAAACAGTTGAAGTTAACATTCAATTTCAACAATTTGCTGTTTGCTCCGGTCAAATTCCCTCTCTTTTTTGGACACGAACCAACTATTCTCTGTATGTTTCTGATGTTCCTAGAAGATGGGCGCTTTAGTGAATGAGACAGAGGGATGGGTTTGAATGATGGTGTGTGGAGTGGTCTTTACAGTTTACGTACCCAACTTTTCCAACTAGGAACATCAACTTGAAAAGATAGCTAGCTTTTGCACCAAAGTATACATCCCAAACCAACCCTTTTATTGCCATGAACATTACAAATTTGTAATCTACAAATGGAGCCATTTGGACATAATATATATGCTCAAACGATTCAATTAACACATATAAAAAAACTCGGAGGAAGGATTCTCGCATGAAAAACAATGATTTGTACGTTCATTATAGCGAGAGTTCGACATATATATGAGAGACGTTTAAGACTTTGATTTGACTATTAAGATCAATATAGTACTAGTTTATGATAAAGGAGAAAATGACATGTAGAAATAGGAGGAATTAGCATGTTGACTACGGTCAATCCCTATCTGGTTCAAAGATGCCCATATAAATATTGATTAATTTGGCTACCTACCTCTGCTTAAACCTAAGATAAATGAATAATATTAATACCAATCAATTGACCTTCCTTACCTAACTTTAACTTTAAGCCTATCCATCGATTTAGAACTGTCTCATTACACACAGTTTTCAATTTCACGTCTCTTTCAATTTCGCCTCTGACTTTCGTAGGCCATGTATGAGTGCCACATATATAATATCAAAGTATATTCTTTATGTTTTGTTCCTCGTATAATAATAATAATAATAATAATATAATATGCCACTTGGCAAGCTTATGAAATTTGGGCTCAACTGTGAAGGCATTGCCCATAAGGAGGCCCAACTATAAAAAGCATGCCCTGAAAAAGGCCCAACTCTAAGTACGACATGATGAAGTTGTCTAATTCCCCCTCCAGTTCTCATGTGAACTGCATGAGGAAAGAGCCATTCGATCTACGCAGCAAGAAAATGTATGAATTGTGACTATATAATCGAATGTCTGATATATGTTAACATTTGTATCTTGCTTATGGTTTTCTTCTACCTTGATTTGGGATATTGGTGTAAACTAAATTCGATTATTTTAATAAGGTTTAAATAGATTTCTGGTCACTGTGCTTGTACCTAAAATCTATTTTAGTCCCCGAGTTTTCAATTTCAACAGATCTGTCACAGAAGCAACTTTTGTCGGTTTTTGAATATGTAATTTCTTTTAATTAGGTAAATTTAAAGATATATAAGAATATGAGAAATTGAAAAGCCAGCAAACAAAGAGAGAGGTGGGTAGAGTGGGGAGAGAAAAAAGGAATGTGTTCGGAGTAGGGATTTTCTCCTTCCATATTATTACTTACGTGGAATATTCTTTTTTGATTTATAGTTAAGTAAATTTGACTTTCACTATTTTTCCCATGTTATATTAAATTCAGGTGTTCTGATATTTTTGTTAAGCAAGGTATTTTAAGGGTTCTGCCTTCAGTGCCTCATTGTTGTCCTTCTCGTTAGCTTTTCCAACTTCCGCGTTGCGAATTCGTCTAATTTAATTTTCCATCTCTTGTGGATGGACAAAGACCGAAGATTTTGGGAAAATTTTAATTTGGGAATTCTTTAGTTTCTACCATTGTTTTTCATTCTATTTTCTGGTTAATAAGAGAGAAATCTGTATGCATATCAGGTGGTATATTGTTGAGCAGTTGATATTAGTTGGTTGATGATTCAATGGTGTATTGGTATGTATGTACTTAAGAACTCAATGATGTTTGGAGGGCCAGATAGAACCTGTTTTGTTTGTTTATTTTTTTATTTCCACAAAACTGATTTTGTTTAAGTGAAAATAATTTAAACTAATCTTATATGGATTTTTAAATCAATTTTTTCTTCACCCTTAGATTTAATCTAAGGTGGGTGACTACAAATTTCTTAGACCTTGATGACCAAGAGAACAATACAAAAATGAAAAACTAACGTGAGAGATTGCTCAACAATGGCACTTGAGTTGGGCTGATTCATACTTCTCCTGACTCGGTAGCACACTGTATCGCTTCATTTTGGGAGCAGCCTCCTGATTTTATTCAGAAGGTTTTGCTTGACGAACTTGTGTAACCTTTGTCTTCTTCAATATTATCGCTAATTTTCAATCCAAAAAATTAAAAAAAAAGGTGAGAGATTGGCATCGGGGAAGATAGGTCAGCCACCACCCCAACCTCCAAAACCACATTTATTTCTCTTCCCATAATTTTATTTTGTGTTTGCTATTTATATATATATATATATATATATTTTCCTTGTGTTGGAGATTTTGGTTTGGGTGCTTGTTGTGAATCTCAAGTGGTGACTAGGTGTGGGAAAAGTATTCACAGGCACTAATCAATGAATTTGAATGAAATTGATCAACTACAAAGAGATGATACATGGACCGTGAGACTCAGGGAAGTGTGGTCCACAGCCAATCCCATGCATGATGTACCGGGAAGTTTATCAAGATTTTGCATCTTTTTTTTGTTTCCTTTCACAACTAAAAATCTTTGCATCTTTTGTTGGTCAAACTCTTCGTATGTTAAAAGCAATTGGGGTGTGGGTTGGCAATGAACAGAAGGCCCAATAATCTTTAAAGAAGGCCCAAATATAAGTAACACGAAATTTACATGTTACATATTACATTACACGAGTTGAAAAGTAACAAAATTTGACAAATAAATCTCTAAACACATAAAATACGCCTAACCTCCTAACTCTAATGTTACAAACGAATTGATTTTAGTGTATGCTGAACTATATTATGTGTAATCAGAGAAGCAGGGACAAAACATCCAACTTTAAGCTCATTTCCAGATCCCATCATCACAAGTAGAGCAACCCTCTTTTGCAATGTCAATGATTTGAACTCTTGTGTCATATATCATCCCAGGTTTCCAGTTAGCAGGGAGCACATTCTTTGCCCAAACCGTCTTCCCATCGAACCCGGCCGTCACCAAGAACCGGAACTGTAGGGCCCCTGCCGGAACCCTACTCGTGTCCCAGATTGCCCCATTGTTTCGAGTCAGGAAACCCCAATTTGAAGAACCAACCTGAGCAACATCAATGGCTACTATTTCTGTCTGACCACCTTGATACAGAATTTTGATTGCCAAGTAATGTGGCTTTTGGCTCGATTCTTCCACACGCAAGGCTAGATTTTGGTTTTTGTATTCACATGGTACCCTGTCACATACAAAATGAATATATATATATATATATATATCAGAACAGAAATAGTATAGTTTTATTTTCTTTTTGGGTACATTTTTTACCGTTACTAGCATTAATGTGATTAGGTTTTTTTGTCTGTAGGACCTAATATTTAAATGTTGGTCCACAACACAAATGATATATATTTTTAATATCGTCGGTGCAAATGCAACAAAAGCTTTATGAATTTCTGGAAAAAAAAACCAATTTAATATACTTGTAAATTCTAATTTTGGCGTGTGAGATTTGATTAATTTTTTTTTATAATGAAGTTTCTAATTAAAACTTTTGCATATGCTTACCTCTTATATTCGACATCGACAATGCCGTGTCTCAAAATGTCTTGGCCCAAACCCTTTTGAGCCATGGCCATGAAAGCTCTGCTGCTGAGAACAAAATCTGTCTGATTACTTTTATTGAGATCAGTCAAAGTAACTCTGGTCCCTTGTTTTGTGCAAAGAGTTGTGTTCTTGCATCTTATCTGCAAGCAAAACCAAATCAATACAATGTATGGCATAAGAATTTCAGCCAACAAATAAAGAAGAAAATAAAGTACCTGGAAGCATGCACCACAGCCAGCTCCATCTTTGTAGAGGGAAGGCACACCAGCTGCAAGGTGTCCTCCACCAAGTCCCAAGGCCAAGGAACCATATCCACAAGCCCCAGCTGCATAAAATCCAAAAAACAAAATTAACCCACTAATTTATTCACAAAATCATCAACTGGGTTTTAATCCAACGGAGAAATTAAATCAAGGGTAAGGAGATTAAGAAGCTGATGATCTTACATGAAAGTGCAGAGGCTGTGGAGAAATAGGCTGCCTTGGATTGGTGCCTACAGCGGTCACAAGCAGAGGCAGAGGAGATGAGAAGGAAGAAGAGGAAGCAAAGAAACAAAGCCATTTTGGAGTTTTGATTTTGCTGATCAGAATTGATTGCAGAAAGTTATAGTAAAAGGAAGGGAAAGCCGTGGGCTATATATACAGAGTTCAAAAGATTGGAGAAAAGGGTGGGTGGACTGTGGACTATGGAGGACAGGTCAGCATGTGCTGAAAATAAAAAACTTCGGACTTATTTTTTATTTAGTATGGGTTTGGTTTGGTTTTGTTTGCTGTAAGTGATTATGTGGGATATTGGGATATTGTGGGCAAGCTATAATAACAAGAAGGAAAGAGACAGGCAATTGCTGAAATGCAGGACAAAGAAAAGTGGAAGATTATGGGTTTTGTCTGTCACCGACTCTTTTTGAGGTTTTTTTTAAGGCTCCGTGTAAACATGAGACTGGTGCTGCCTACGCACTTATGTGTCAATTCTGCAGGCTACACATTGTGGAACCCTATCGTTGGTGAGGGGACAAACTTTTTGCACTTTGAGGCCAAGTCTCATAATTTTTAAGAATTGGGAAGAAGAGGATATATGGTATAAAATACTAATTAAATTCAATGTGTGTGCATAATATATAATTTTCTTGTATTTGGTCAACAGGCTCCAGTCCAAAGAAAATAATTTTGACTGGTAGATTAATGATCTTAGATTCGAATCTTCATAATATATTAACAGTGTGTGAGAAAACTCTCTTTCCTATTGTTTCACATATATTTATATAAAATTTCTTGCATAGGTTATAACAAAGAAAAAAGAAAACTTTTATGGGTTCTTCTTTAATAACATTTTGGGGTCTCTTTTTGGATGGGTTTAGAATACAAATGAATAAGATGCAACAAGAAGTTGATGCAATTAAGAAAAGCAAGCTTGGCATTTTCCATGATCTTAGAGATGCTGTCGTGTGTGCATGAATGGCCCTAATTAATAAGAAACAAAAAGGAAATTTTATCTGAAAATTTAAATTAAAAAAAGGGAAAATGGAAAGAGAAGAACAAAAAGGAATAGGGAAACAGGGAAATATACGTGTGAGAAGATGATAAGTTTGGTGACTACGATGATTGCTGCTTTATGAGTGTGAGTGGAAAGATAAGAACAAATGTAGGTCGACGCAACGCAACTCCCACTTGTCAAGCAAGAAATGAATATATCACCAAACGCATCACAGCTAAGGTTAATTGAATTATATAATATACAGCAAGGCAATTGGGGGGACCTTTCTTCTTTGTTGATCCCTTGATTAAATGGTGACGGAAACTGAGAATCACATTATGCATTGATGAGTCTTAGATGTGGTACTAAGTTTGAGAAAAATTAAATTCTATGATATCGTTACACAGTTACGTCGATGACATATTATCATAATATAAGTGAATTAGTTACACCAACGGTATGATAATATTAGGGTTGAGTTTCAATTTCCGACCACTTTGAATAATAACCATAAACGATGTGTTCTTTTCTTAAATTCCTTTCTCCGCGTAATGCTTTATTTTTTCCTTAGTAAAAAAGCTTGACAGCACTGAAAACCATCCTTTTCAAGAAACAGCTGCATTTTGCATCATCATTTATCATTATTTCATCACCACAACTCTGCAACGATGGACTCTCACTGTCCGCCACCATCAATTGAAAGCTCTTGTGTTCCAGCTGTGGTGCTCTAATTTACCAAAAGAACAAAAAGAAAATGATGCTTCTAATTTTCTTGTAATTTTTTTGGCACAACTTTGCAAAATCATAAACCATGTGAAGAAAATCAAGCAAAGTTGCGGATTGATTGGGGGATCTTTATTTGCTCCATGTGGAGTAATTCGCTGAAGAAGTCATCAAATGCAAATCAGATGGTTGCAAGAAATTGAACTAAAACAATATGCGATTTAGGTTCCAGTTACATATAATTAGATGGTTGTCCGTTAGACCTCTTGCCAAATCTCAAACAAATCCAAAAATAATGAAAATGAAGTCATGTGTCCTGTATGATAATGCAGCATTAATAACTTCGTGCACAACTTGTTTTAATTACATGATCTGAAAAACCTTCTTGGTCCATGCAAATGTTCATATCCTGCACGAGACAATCAACCATGATATTGGATGATTGGGAACAGAATTGGAATTTGAAAGTGGAGGGTTTATATAGGAAAAACAAACATTTGGATGACCGTTATCTTTTATTAACGGAAATGGGGAAGTGGAAAGACTTCTTTTCAGAAGTACCACTAGACTAAGAGTTGGCGTTTGGATGTCCTGGTTATTTTTGTTCATTACTGATGAAATAAAAAGTATATAATTAAACGGGTGGCTTAGCTAAGTAAACAAAATGAGACTCAAATCTTTTTATTTCCTAAGCAAATGTGTAACTTATAATTGGAATTGAATAGCTTGATCTAATGACTTCTTTCCTATTCAAGCTCTACAATATTTACTTCTTCCCCTTCCCATACTAATTAGATGTATTGTTTATCAACTCAAAACAAGGATCATTGCCCTCTCCTCTGTGATCTTGCAAGTCAACATGAGAAACTCTTCACAGGTATCACTTTGCCTTTTCAGAGAGGACTGAGATGATCTCGGACCGAGCTTTTTCAAGTGCATTGGACAAATTCTCAGGCTTCCTCCCTCCTGCCTGAGCAAAGTTGGGTCTTCCGCCCCCTCCACCGCCGCACAACTTAGCTATAGGTCCTATGAACTTCCCTGCTTGTATTCCCAATTGAACAACCCCTGGGGTGAATGCAGCAACCAAACTTACCTTGTCAGCACCTGGACAAGAGCCCAGAATTACAGCTGCTGGATCTTCTAGTGTCTCTATCAGATATTCGGCTGCTTTTTTTAGTGAATCAGCATCAGTATCTTCCATGGATTCAACTAGTACCCTGTAATATGAAATTTTTCCCAAAAAGAGCAACAACCAAAATTAATTAAAAAAAAATTCAGAAAAAAAAGGTATGTTCAGTATTAAGAGCAAGAACATATAAGCAAATAATACAAGGCACTATTACATGTTGGTGCAAAACCAAATAGGTTAAAATATAAGATAATGATCGTGTAAAAATAGAACTCAGTTAATACTTTCTCAGAGTCATGAGATTGCTTGGGCTATAATGCAGACTTCAGTACATAAATTATGAGTTTCTTATCATTTATAGGTAGGTGATTCAGATAAGGACTAGTTAAACTCCCTGAGAAAGATGGTGCTTATTTGATAAATGGCGACATAGTTACAATGCCCAAGTAAACATGTTGGCAGATTTGTACCTAAATTTTTCTGAAGTTCCCACAGAAATCACTTTGGTTGCCATTATTGATGCTTTGTAAACTGCTGCCTTTTCACGCAAGGTAGAAGCTTCATTTCTCGTTATCCGTAACTCCTCTAAGAGATTTTCTACTCTGGTTGTTACTTCTTCAGCTTTCACCTTCACAAAGGCAACATTACACAATAAAAATCCTAGTTCCATTCATTCAAACAGCATTTGAAAATTGAAAAAGAAAAGGGAATGGGAAATGAAAAAGAGAGAACAAAAACAAAAACCTGAAAACACAAGCCACAGTGGAAACTAAATTAAATAAGTAGCAGATGCGAAAGAGTAAAAGAAAACATACTTTGAGGGTGGAACATAGCTGTTTCATATGATAATCTCTGGCATTGACATATTCAATAAAGGCATCACCTGCCACAGCTTCTATACGCCTGATTCCAGATGCAATACCCTGTTCTGAAATTATTTTGAAGCCACGTATTTCAGAAGTATTGCTCACATGGGTCCCACCACAAAGTTCCATGGATATGCCAGGAACCTCTACGACCCGTACCTACAGCAGGTCATAATTAAGTGAAAAACTCCCCAACCAATTTAATGTTCAAGTGTGTTAAAGTAAACAAGTTGCTTTTGGGATCAATAGAAGGTTTGTAGCAGATTTAGTATTTGAGAAAAAGTAGTAACATATAGAAGTTACAACAATGGTCATAATCCAAAGACATGCATACCTCTTCACCATATTTTTCTCCAAACATTGCTATAGCCCCTGCTCCTTTGGCATCAGCAAGAGGCATCACTTTAGTTTGAAGTGGTGTTGCATCTCCAACCCATTTATTAACTAGCCTTTCAATTTCTGCAAGCTCATCGTCAATAAGTGGTCGATGGAAGTTGAAATCAAATCTTAGACGCTCAAAAGCCACCAACGAACCAGCTTGTGATGTTTCCTGACCTATAACTTTCTTAAGTGCAGATTGCAGCAAGTGAGTAGCAGTATGATGAACCTGCAGAGTTTGACAAAATAAATTCTAATTGATTAGTGAATAACGTGTAATAGATACATATATTTTGACTTTTCTAGTTGCAATTAAATCAGCTTGTGAGCATGAATAAATAGATATCAGAATCTATAGATAGCTTCTATATGTCTGTACCTTAGCCCGCTGCCTTAGTTTTGCATCCACTGCTGCTTCCACTTCTCTGCCAACTTCTAGAACTCCCTCTCTGATTGTACCCTTATGAACAAATATGTTACCCATAGATTTTTGGACGTCTATTATCTCCATAACAGCCTTATGTTGGTTTTCACCTTGTGGGACATATAAAAATCCATGATCTCCTATTTGCCCACCTGATTCTGCATAAAATGGAGTCCTGTTCAGCAATACTTCTACTTTACTTCCTTCAGAAACCTGTAGAACAGGGTTCCCATTCACTATAAGACTTTCCACTACGGCTGTTGCTGAAAGGGTTTCGTATCCGAGAAATTTGGTGTCTGGAACATCTTTTGTAAGTTCTGCACTAGTTCCCATGGCAAGTTTAACAGCACTGTGTGCAGCCTGGGATTGACGCCTTTGGTTTTCCATTTCAATATCAAAACCAGTCATATCTATACTTACACCACGCTCTTCAGCCACCTCTGCTGTTATTTCGATAGGAAACCCATATGTATCATACAAAAGAAATGCATCTTTTCCTGACAAGCGGGGTACCGTCCTACTTGCTTTTGCACTTAATAATGCCTCAACTAGCATTTGGTCAAGATATTTTTCCCCTCTCTCCAATGTCTGCACAAATTTAAGTTCTTCCCTTTTCAACTCCTCAAGAATGCGAGGTGTTCTATCTTTTACATCCGGATTTATGTGGGTGCTCAACTCTATTACTTTCCCTGCAATGACAGGTAAAAATGCTCCTTCAAGGTTCCCCTGACCATCCCCCTTTATACCCAGCATCCTACCAGTACGAACAGCCCTTCTAATGAGCCGTCGAACGACATAACCTCTCCCAATATTTGATGGAACAACACCATCCGATATGAGATATACAATTGCACGCAAGTGATCTCCAATAATCTGAAATAGAAAAACTTACATGAACAATCCTACCAATGTGTTGGTTGAACTACAAATTTAACAGAAATTGAAGTCTCTTAAAGAAGGGCATACTTTGAGGTTCAATTTTGAATGATCATCAGCTAGGCCGTATGGTACTTTTGCCAATTCTGAGGTCTTTTCTATAATTGGATAGATCAAGTCAGTTTCATAGTTGTTTGAAACCTGCAAGAAAAACATTACTTAATTAATAATTATTGAACAAACTCATATGATACTTGTGTTGCAATCAATGCATGCTGTGGTTAACAAGCTCCGTAAGCTTACTTGTGGAAGTACTAATTTTGTATAGAAATTTAAATTCATTATCTTGTAAAACTGGCAAATGAAATTGATACCTTCTGAAGGATGCGAGCCATACGCTCCAGGCCAAGCCCAGTATCTATATTCTTCTGTTTCAAGGGTTCAAGCGAACCATCATCCTTCTTGTTGAATTCCATAAAAACTAAATTGTAAAACTCTATAAACCTGCTATCATCATTGAGATCCTGAAAATTAAATTAATCCAAAATGTGAAAGAAGGAAAAAGCATTGCTGTAAAGTGTTCAGAATTTAAACCTTCTCCCCTCTTAAAGAAAATTTTGAAAACCATATACATACAGTATCAGAATATCCCCTCTCAGGATGGAAATCATAATAAATCTCAGAGCATGGACCGCAAGGACCAGTAACTCCACTAGTCCAAAAGTTGTCATCTTCACCCATTCTCTTTATACGCTCAACAGGAACACCCATCTGAAGCAAAAGCCATGATATGTTACATTCCATTCTTACATACTTAACATCAGTTATAGAACTAGAGATACACTTGAACAGTTAGTAGAGGAGAAAAAACATAAAGTCTCATATGATATCTGTGATTGGGATGCTAAGAGCATATTGCAAAGACACAGAAGGATGTCCTTCTCATAAGAAGTGACAGGATATAGGCATAAAGGTTTAAAAAAACACATGTGAAAAGACCCACCAGAAAAAATGAAATGTTCAAAATCACAAGGAGATTTATCACATCATGTTGGGGGAAAAAGCAGTTTAAGATACATGCGTAATGTACATGGAAGTATAGCTAATAAAGAGAAAATGGATGAGCAGAAAACACCTAACAAGATAAATGTACGTAAACTAAAAGCAATTATTAGTGACCTCATTTTTGGCCAACCTCATCATGCCAGATTTCAAAAGCTTCATTATCATCTTCAAAGACACTAATCCATAATCTGTCAGCTGGTAACCCAAATCTGAATGAAAAAACAGGTGTGCAGATGTTATGTTTTCATGAATAGCAAGAGTATAAATTAATAAAAAAGTAACTGATACTAAGATGGATAAATGAATAAAAATATGTAAAAACAAAAAGGAAAGTTACAGTTTCATAAAAGACTGCACTTTTCTTATAGAGAATTTCCTAAGGTTCAAATAAGAAAGATCATTTCCTTAAGAAGGGGTTCAGATAAGATTCTTTGGAGCTTTCGTATGCAAACAGCAGCATGGATGCCATATCTATAAAGTGAATTAGGTGAATCATGGTTAACTACCATTCTTAGAATGATTGTTTTAATGAGAACAGCGATCATGCTTCAAGCAATAACCAGAACTTATAAATTCACATTAACGAATGATTGATAAAAAACATAAACTCTTGCATACTCTACAGTTGAAAGCTCCCATGCCCATCGGATTGCTTCTTTCTTGAAGTAATCTCCAAAACTGAAATTTCCAAGCATCTCAAAGAATGTATGATGTCGACTTGTTCGGCCCACATTCTCCACATCATTTGTACGTATGCATCTTTGTGCAGTTGTAGCACGGGGTACTTGTCTGGGAACCTAAACAGGATCACTGAGTACCATTGGGAAATCTAGAGATTCTCTTTAACTGTATCGTCATGACAGGTTTCTAAAAAGTCTGTGTCATACCTGACCAAGGAATATGGGCTTAAATTGGAGCATGCCTGCAATTGTTAGTAGAACTGTGGGATCATCTGGTACAAGAGAAGCACTTGGAAGAACTTTGTGACCACGGGAAGCATAAAAATCGATAAACCGATGGCGTATGGAATCCCCGCTCACAGGGAGATCCTTGGACTTACCCTCCATTAATTCATCAACTGTAGACTGTACAGATGCTGAAAAGCAATGCAGTAAAAACAATATCCTATGAAGATAAAACAATAAACTCTTAAACCAAAATTCATACAATTAGCCACAGCTACCTGATGTACTTCTAGTGGTAAATTGCATACTCCGAATTTGTTTTACAACACAGTGCCTGCAGGGAAACATATTGGCAGACAAGAGGGCCACAGTTGCTGTGGTAACAAAATCTGAAAAAAAATTCCCAAGAAAATCGATATTCAGAAACTAGTGCAGGAACAAAGTATATGGGAATAATTTTCAGATATATATTCTTCTCCAATATGGAGGTATTTATAGTACATACTGGTAAACCCTGAAAATGGTTAAAATAGGAAAGTAATTTCCTAAGTACAAAATAGGGTAAATCAAATTGGCATCATGCAATAATAAGAAATCAACTTAGTGAAATCTAGCGCCACTATTATGTGAACTTAGTGAGAACTCTTATTATTGATGAACAAGAATTGTTTTCCTTTTACAACTTTCAGGCATATTATAGGCTCCATATGAATTATAGGCATATTATAGGCTCCGGAAAAGGTAACATATTGACACTCAAATCCTTATGTAGAAAAGGAGTTGGGTTGTACAGCATCCGAAACGAATGTCGCAAGTCCGGATATCTGATAAAAGCTAATTTGGGACCACAGAAAACCCTAGAATGATTAGGGGATTTTGTACGACACCAAACAGTAGAATCCAATAGGAAGATTTCAAAAACAAAGTTTATACAAAACTTAAGTGTGTGCAAACGAAATTTTACATCAAATAATAAATAGATTTTGGTGATATACAGAAAATTTGAGGTTGAATATCAAAAGACAAACTTGGACCCAGAAAAATGGGAGAAAAAAAAGAAGATGAAAAAAAAACTCCATTGTAAAAGAGCTAATAGAAAGTTACACAGACCAAGCTACAAGTAAGGAATTCAAAATTGGCGTCAAGAGTCAATTGGGTTTTCTTCTAACAACCAAATAGCAGCTAATAGCTCAGTAATTGCTCTGCAAAGCTATGAGTTGGAAGCAAAAGAGTAAAGCAGTAGAGTTGGAGAAGAAAGTACCAGTGGACAGGGCCAATTTGCGATTTGGGTAGATGAGGAAAGTCGACTTGGGCAATAAGCTTGAGGTGGGAAGTGGAACAATAGCTTTCCCTCCATGGCTACTGAATAAAGACTGTGGAAGCTTCAAGCTTTCCATGGCTGTCCCTGCAAATGTCTTTGCGCTCTGAATTTCAAATGGGCGTTTATATACGTTGGAGAGAAGAGAGAGGATAAGCCTTTCCTAGAGGTCCACGTATTAAGAGAGTCTATTGACATTTTCTGTGTCTTCTAATTTTTTCAAGGCCCTAAACAGATAAAAAGTCCTCCAATGGTAGTGTGGGCTTGAGGAAGCCAAAATTCAGTGACCAAGATCCAAACACGCTCAACCATTTTCAAGTGAGGTTTAACAAAACGTATCTTTTTCATCAAACGAAAAATAAGCATAGTTTTACTTTTTCTCATGTTCGAATCCTTATGACATCTTAATAGTGTAACTAAATTATACGTGTATTATTTGACTGAATACGGGACCATGCAGTCACTGAGTCAAGCTTTTAAAAAATAATAATAAATCATTTAATCATTTCAATAAAATCATACATAGCCGAAATACAACACCAAAAGTCACCTCAAGTATCAAATAAATTTTTGCTGAATTAATTACGATAATCCCATCATTGCAATTAGCTTTTCCAACTCGAAGAACACATACATATATAGTGAATAAACTCTATCAAAAGCTAAGGCAAGTCCTTCTCAATAAAGGAAAAGCCGCTTAACTATGATTATATCAATTTCATAGCATACCAATTGATATAAATTTAAGTTGGTGCTTTAACCAATCCCTAATGTCACCGAAACTGTCTCTCAAATGAAAAATGCCTCCTAATTAACTAGGGAAGAATTAACTAAATAAAAAAATAATCTTAATTTCCTTATCAATGGCATGTTTCTATTTACTTGTAAATAAGAAATTAAGTTTGAAGCCATGATAAGAATTGCTAGGAAAGAAGCAGTGTTGATGATTGGCAGTGTGTGTATTTTACCAATATCGGTTGTGGAAGCTCATCATAAGTTATAACCCTCTTTATTTCTCTCCACACCCTCACCGAATTTTCCCTTCATTTGCTTCTAATTCTAGTGAAGATATTAAAAGTAGAACTGCTATTACAACATTCATGAAAGTTGGCAGTGAAATTCTCCACATGGTAAAGAAAAAGATGGGATCCGGTAACTCAAGAAATCGAGTTGGATTAAGTAAAAGTCCATCGTCAGATGTTCCGGTCAGAAAAGAGTATTCATCATTATCTTATATTCCTAACATTGGAAAAGGAAAGAGTAAGATATCAAATGACACAGATCATATAACTGTATCATATGGCTTCCACTTGATAATGGGAGAACACTAGCATCCTATGGAAGACTATGTTGTTGCAGAGACTAGGAAGATTGGTGAGAAAGAGATAGGATTATCTCTCATATTTGACGGCTATGAGTGCCATGAAATTCCTGCATACTTGCAATCTCATCTATTTAATAATATCATAACAGAGCCTGATTTCTTGGTAGACATAACAAGTGCAGTTCGGGGAGGATATCTGCCCAGCAAGCTCCTCAGTTAATGCACAAGGCCTCACAATTGTATATGGTATTCCACTTTCCCGTACTAAATCTGACCCAGAAAAAGAAAAAGAACAGAAAAGAGCTAAGAAGTGGTATTTTGATACACTGACTATATATAAAAATACCAAACAGCTTGCACTGAATTAGTATGAAACATTCAACTTGAATGTCAGTATAAAATCCAATTCCTTGTTTAAGCAAACAGCAGGAGGTTGTTTACTTAGATCAAGTCCAGGCCTGTCAGGTCGGGTAACTCCTGCAGAACCTAAGTGTACGAAACAGAAAGTGCACCTGGCAGATCAATTATGTTTAGTCATAAGAAGATAATCCAACAAAATGAAAAGAATGTGAAACCTGGGACTAATAGGACTCTTTTAGATATGCTCGTATGCTTGATAATGGGAGCTTAAATGCCTGTTCCACAAAAGTAGGATTCAGTTTCCCATCAAATTCAAACTTGCTAAACATGAGCTGCCAAAATTTTGAATCCCATCAGTAAACATAGAAGAAAATGAAGTGAAAGAATAGACTAAAAGAAAGTGGCTGCAGAAATGTGCCTGCAATGACACAATATTGCTGGATTCAAAAGGTGGTGCATATGATACAGTTCTTGCTCGAAATATCGGCTTCAAAGAAGAATCGCTATTCAGTAGGTTTAAAGAACAAAAGAAAAGAACCAGACCCACCCTAGCACCCAGATCCGCCTAGCGCCGCCTAGACCCGCCTAGCGCCGCCTAGATCCACCTAGTGCCGCCTAGACCCGCCTAGACCTGCCTAGCGACGCCTAGCGTCGCCCAGACCAGCCTAGCTCCGCCCAGACAAGCCTAGCGCCGCCTAGACCCGCCTAGACTCGCTTAGGGCCACTTAGCGCCGCCCAGACGAGCCTAGCGCCGCCCAGACCTGCCCAGGCCGCCTAGGCCGATTTTTCGTAATGCAGAGTATGGATTGGAAGGAATGGTTTCAACAAGAGGGGATGTGTACAGTTTTGGAATTGTAGTGATGGAAACATTCACAAGAAGGAAGCCAACATATGAGATGTTTGTTGGGGAAATGAATTTAAAGTAATGGATTGCAAACTCACTATTACCAGATGCAATGATAGATGGAGTTGTGGATGCCAATTTGCTTGGGATTGGGATAGAGCAGGAAGATGATGATCATGTGAGGTTGAAGAATTGCATATCAGCCATTATTGGATTAGCTCTTGCTTGCTGTGCAAAATCACCAAAACTGAGCAGTTGAAGCTTTTTGCAAAGAACAGTACGTATGAGTATGACCCAAAAACGGAAATAAGAAACCTTTTGCAAAGAACACGGCTTTTCTTTGTTTTTGGGAAGTAAAGAAGACGGCTTTCCAAGTTGGGTTTGGTTCCTTTGAAAGTCCGTTTAAAGAAGGAAGAGAGTTTCATCACTCTCCAGTCTCATCCAATTATTCAATTTTACTGTCACACCAGATGGGTCTTTTTATTTATTTATAAATAGTATAGCCGAACGGCTATACTCGTGTTAAAAAATGGTATAGCCGCGCGGCTTTACTACAGTAATTATAAAAATAGTATAGCCGCCCGGCTATACGTGGGTTTTTTTTAACTGTTCGGGTTTTTTATTTATTTAATTTTTTTAAAAATAGAATAGCCGAACGGCTATACTATTTGTATATAATGTAAAACAGAATTCAAGCAATTTCAGTTACAATTGGCAGGCATTCTAGCCTAGTTTATGAATCAAAGCCTTACCAGAGTGACTGAGAAACACTAACATTTTGGAGGCATTAGCAACAAGAAATGCTATTCTTGTGTGGTTCCCGAGAAAATGAAAGATCATGACTGACCTGAGTACTGGAAAGTACAAAACTTGAGGTTGAATTTCCTTTGAAGCCAAACAGAAAAACCCAAAACTGAGCAGTTCAAGCTTTTTGCAAAGAAGAGTATGTATGAGTATGACCCAAAAAAGGAAATAAGAAACCTTTTGCAAAGAAGAGTATGCTCGATGCTTTGCACTTTCAAAGAAGAACTCGTATTTTATGTCTGCTTCAGGGGTAAAATATCCCTTTTCTATATGATGACATTTAAGGTAGGTTGTTTCCTCTGAACATTTCTCTCATTCGACATATCTAGCGTACTGGTTGATTAATTTAAGATAAGATACTGAATATGCATCGTCTATGAAACTTTTGAAGTGCCATGCATAAGACAATCTAAAAAGACAGTGGTGCTTCTGTACCATCCTTCAAAATGCTTACTCCACCATCTACTTTGCACACACCTATTGAAAATAAAAAAAAAAAAAAAAAAAAAAAAAAAAAAAAAGAATTTTTCAATCTACCCACCACTTAATATTACTTCCATCCAAATTTACAATGTTCGGGTTGATGAGGTCTCTGTTCACTGAACTTAAATTTGTCAGTTTGTGATGATATCTGGAATATGGCGATTGCTTACAATCTGGCTGCTCCTCTCACAGGTTAAAACCAAGCTAAAAGGTCATCAAAAAAGCATAACAGGCCTTGCCTTTTCTCATGTTCTTAATGTGCTCGTATTGTCGAGCTCTGATTCCCAGGTATGAATGTGCGAGTCCATATCTGTGCATGTCACTGTGCCTTTAAGGCTATAAGCAATGAATTAGTGACTAACAGAATTAACTTATCACAAATAGCCAAGCCAAAACGGATCAATGTAGTATTCAGATAGTTTATAGTTCAACTTCATAGGAAAGGAAAATGATTCCCTGTGGTTGCATTTGACGATTCACATTGAAATCATTCATTTATCCGTAAGTGGAGAATGCTTTTCTAAAATGCATTTCTCTAGAATTGTGGTTTACTTAGTCACTAAGGTGTTGCTTGCCTCAGACCTTTACAAAAAGCTGTTGGTTTTAGACTCTTGCTTTTAACCAATATAGTCTTTCTGTTTCTGTCCTTGAACTTCATGTGCAAGAGAAGCTTCAATAGTTTGACTAGGTGTTGGTACTAATCACACATTTATAAATTTCCTATGTGATTGTAGAAATGTGATGGTGGAGACGAGGATGATGGTGGTAAGACTGCTACTATAGGTGATTAGCCCAAGCAATGAGCACAAAAGGCTGGTGGTGGTGGTGAGCAAGTTAAAGTTCTGAAGATATTTTTTCTGTTTTTTCTATATATATATTTTTTAATGTTTGTGTTATGTTGATGTTTCCAAGTCTGAACTTGAGTCACACAACAAGGCCAAGCATAGTGTTGAGGGTGATACCTTTATTTTGTGAAGGTTTTGGTGGTGATCGGTTGTGGTTTTATATGTTCAAACCTCAGTTTTTCTATTTCTTTAATTTTGATTAATAATTTACTTTAAGAACACTATTTTTAACTGTTTCTTTATTGTCAGCCACTTTGATTTACCACTTTTCATTCCAAAATGAATCTCGCGCACTAATTGGGTCAAATTACTCTTGGTTTACATTGAACTTGTATACTTAATGCCGGAATACTTGCTCTATTGGTTGTGAGCCTTGATTGCTATGGCTAATGTCTAGCTAGTCAAAGTCCAATTTCCTGTAAGCTTCTAAAATCTGCCTGTAGTGTACAGAAAGTGCTTGCTCTATGAACCCTTCTTAGTTTTATAAGCCGCAGCATTGGAATTTCCTTCTTGATTTGATATAAAACTGTGACATTGATCTCCATCTTTACTTTTATGCTGAGGCGAGCTGCAAACTGTGTGCGCTGCGCTACCATAGAAATGGTTACAAGCCATGATTCTGCCAATGTCTTTAACTTAACATTCAATGCCAAACACATGTTATGTATGTATATTTTTAAAATCATTAGAAAACATTATATAAGCTATTCATACCTAGAAAAGAAAATAATAATACAAAAAAAAAATTCAAACCTCTATACATCATCAGGAGGTTTGGACCACATCGTGATCAAGGCTATAGCCTGCAAATGAGTTTATAAGCATCTCAGAATCTGCAAAAGCTTTTGGCTTCCAAAAATAGCAAAATACAGCCACAGCCCACAATTAAGGGACATAAGTCGGGCTGTGACCTCAAATGTCTTGCTCGAAATATCGGCTTCAACGAAGAAAATGGCACACGTACCTGGAAAAAATGCGACAGACCCACCCTAGCACCCAGACCCTAAACCCTAAAGAACCAGACCCACCCTGGCACCCAGAGCCGCCTAGATCCGCCTAGATCCGCCTAGCGCCGCCTAGATCCGCCTAGACCCGCCTAGACCCGCCTAGCGCCGCCTAGACCCGCCTAGGCCCACCTAGACCCGCCTAGACCCGCCTAGAGACGCCTAGCGTCGCCTGGACCAGCCTAGTGACCCCTAGCGCCGCCTAGACCTACCAGCGCCGCCCAGCCCCCGCCTAGCGCCTCCCAGACCCGCCCAGGCCGCCTAGGCCGATTTTTCGTAATGAAGAGTATGGATTGGAAGGAATGGTTTCAACAAGAGGGGATGTGCACAGTTTTGGAATTGTAGTGATGGAAACATTCACAAGAAGGAAGCCAACATATGACATGTTTGTTGGGGAAATGAATTTAAAGCAATGGATTGCAAACTCACTATTACCAGATGCAATGATAGATGAAGTTGTGGATGCCAATTTGCTTGGGATTGGGACAGAGCAGGAAGATGATGATCATGTGAGGTAGAAGAATTGCATATCAGCCATTATTGGATTAGCTCTTAGTTGCTGTGCAAAATCACCAAAACTGAGCAGTTGAAGCTTTTTGCAAAGAACAGTACGTCTGAGTATGACCCAAAAACGGAAATAAGAAACCTTTTGCAAAGAACACGGCTTTTCTTTGTTTTTGGGAAGTAAAGAAGACAGCTTTCCAAGTTGGGTTTGGTTCCTTCGAAAGTCCGTTTAAAGAAGGAAGAGCGTTTCATCACTCTTCAGTCTCATCCAATTTTACTGTCACATTGCTCAGAGACCGCCATTATTGATCGGGACAAGCATTCAATAAATATATATATTTTTTGGCTGACGTTCATTGGTTTTTGTTATCACTTTGTCTTCACTCTGCAAAGCCATCTGGCTGGCTTACTATTTCATTCTCTTATTATTATTTTTTAGTTTTTTTTTGTTGGCTTATTAAAAAGACCACTATAAAAGTCGAAGTACACTTTGGTTATTAGTTGTTACTTGTTAGTCAATTTACACGACTGCCAGTGTTCAGTGTTGACCATTAACTGGTTGTGTTTGTTTTCTACTTCTGAGTGGTGTTTGTTGTTTTTGGGCAGGAATTTGACTTGACAAATGAAAGGTTCCTTGTGCAGGAGATGATCTTCCATCCTGCTGATTTGGGTTTGTCTTATTTTCTGGTTTCGAAGTACACACTTTTTGGGTTTTAATTTGATTCTTGAAACAAATACGATGTATGATTCTTTGTTGTTGAATGAAACATTACAGTATCGTTTTGTGGTTCATGTTGGCTAGGGGTTATTACTTCTGCAAGTTGTTGCTTGATTCATGCAGATTAGCTGTTTTTGTAGAATATGATACTGTGTGGCATAATAGGAGGTATTTAGAAATTCTGTAACTTGTGTGAACATTGTATGTGATTTAGTAATGATTTTTGCTCATTCCTTTGGGAACTCTATGATTTCTTACAAAGCAAAAGCGCTAACTTGGACCTGTTTTGCAGGAATGAATCAGGATGGGCCAGCGGAGTGCATAGTTCTAGCTGTCAGTTCTTGCCATCTTCATCTTCACCCTGTACTACGTGAAAAGTGACCTTCCAAACTCTGCATTTTACTTTAAAGAAAAAAAAAAATAATAATTGTCAGTACTTACCCGTGTGTCTGAATGTGTAGGCCAACATTATTTTAACCGGGGGAAGCACACTATTTCCTCGACTTGCTGATAGACTGTATGTACTGATCTCTTTTCCGTTCAATTGTGCAATGCCGGACTTAATACTAAATTATCCTTAAGTTTGTATTGATATTTTTCAGAGAGAGGGAGCTGCGACCTCTTGTTCCTGATGACTATCAAGTGAACATAACTCCTCAACAAGAGTAACCTTCCTCCTGATCTGTAATACTCTGTTTAAGCATACCTACGTCCAGTTTTATTAAAATTGTCCATGTTTTTCCAGCCCCATACTAGGTGTTTGGGGAGGAGGATCTCTGTTTAGGCATCTTTGGCCAGTGACTATACAGCATCAATCAACTGCATGATGTGGAGCCCTGATGGTACTTTTAGGTAAGCATAGGTGTCCTTGTTTGTTCAGTGTCTATTTAATTTTATTCTCATATTGTGAAGTAGACACCTGCTAGTTCATCACAAGAAAGTATTATCAAGAAATAGGAAATGAATCTTAAGCTGGTTATGATCAATCAGATTTCTGCTGCAGGTGTAGCGTACTCTAAGCACATCGTGCACATACTCCAATGGGGGTAAATTGACTTAAGTATTGCTGTGGTTGTCCTCTTGTTTTCAGATCGAGGCTCATGTGTTTTGTCACGTGTGGGGAGGATAGGGTCATTAAGGTTTGATCTAGGACTTAACTAATTCTAAAGTGATTCTGCAGGTTCAAGTTCAATGTCAGTTATGATTTTTCAATATTATGCAGGTGTGGGATGTAGTCACTGGGACTACTAGTTAAAGTAATTAAAAAGAGCAATTCAGATTATGCTATTCAATGGGTATAGCCGCGCGGCTCTACGTTAAAAAAAAAATTATATTTAAGGACTCTCGCTGCACGGTTATGCATTTTGACTGCAACACCAGGAGGCATCGGACCAAAGATCTTCATATCAGGGTCTTTGTCCTTCCAGTGCTCTAGCAGAATTGGACGTAAATAGCCATGCACCAGCATAAAAGGCAAGAATCTCCCTCTGAGAAGGGGGTTTGCCTCCAAGATCTCTAAGAGGATTTCTCGCAGAACGAACGTATGTTTTCGGAAGAGACACATCCCTTCCTATTTTAAGGCCGCCAATTATATCAGCATTACAGAGGGCTTTGATGCAACGTTCCATATGGCGCCTTGTTTCATATGAAGCCTATAAAAGCCAACCCTTCATATTAAGAATACATGCACACAGAAAGACACACACACACACACACATGTAGGAAATTGCAGTCATTATGGGCTCAAACAAGCACACGTTCATATGGTGTTCCACTTTTGAAAATGGTCCTTTGGTCGGTTTAAACAACCTCCTCACTAGATTTTGTAAACACATGGGCCAATATGATATGATTCATTTGAAAGTGAATGCTTAGATCATGAATCTCAAAACCATTTTGGAATCTCATTCTACTCTCTTTGTATCTTATCAAAATAACAAAGAAGACATTAGTCACCCAAGCAAAATCAAGGACAAGGAAAGATGCATGGAGAGCATACCCAGTCATGGCAAGCAACAAGAAAAATATCTGCTCCACCAGTTCTGTTCCAGTAAGGATACTTTGCTGCAATTTTTTCATTATATTCCTTCAAAAATTAGCGTAGGTTTGTGCGGTTGTGAGAGTTACGTACATACTCTAGCATCCGTGAACTAAATGGCATATAAAACAGATGCGCCTTTCATGGATCCTTCACAACAAAGCGCTTATATCCCTGCATCAGTTTCATGAACCATCCCTTTGAAGCATATAACCTCTTGAGTATTGGTTGATGGAAGATGGGCTTGTTTCCATCCTTGTAGATATAGATTTTCAGTGTGCGTTCCGTAAGTTCATAACTCCTGATAAAGAATCACATTCCTGTTAAAAAATAAAAAAGAGCATCACTTGATAATGGCAAATTAGGCTATACTTGTTACCCAAAAAAAAGAAAAAAAAAGAAAAAAGAAGGCTATACTACGGTTATTTATTTATTTAAAAAATAGTATAGCCGCGCGGCGAGTATAGCCATGTGGCTAAACGTGTTTTGACACGTGCGCACCTAATCGCTAGGTGGGTCCCTTTTTTTTCCCCTATAAATAGTATAGCCGATCCTTTTTTTGTTTTCAAAATAGTGTAGCCGCGCGGCTATACTCGGGTATTTTTAAAAAAAAATTAGTACAGCCGTTCGGCTATACGTGTTTTCACACGTGGATGTCTAGGCGCTAGGCGGGCCCTTTTTATTTATAAACAGTATAGCCGCCCGGCTTGACGCATTTTTGAATTATTTAATTTTTAAAAATTATAGTATAGCCGAGCGGCTATACGCTTAACAGCTTAAGGGTGTATCATCCAGTTGTTGCGGCGCATCTATCTGAACCCAATCAGTTTGCATAAGGACTTACAGATGGTGGAGTGCATGTACTTAAGCCATTAGAATCATAAGGAAGATGGGGCACTTCCTCTCCGATTGAGAATGGTGCTGGGCCAAGCACCGCTTCTGGAGCAGCCGGTTCAGATCAACCCCAAAGGTGACATTTCCGTGTGCATGACTCCCAATGAGGATTTTGAGTGTATCTCTTCTGTGTGATCCCTTCTCCTGGTTTCACCATAATTTATTTATTTATTGAGGGGAAGCTGCAGATTTAGGTATTTATAGTTTTAGAATACTCGAATTAACCCAGTAGAATTCGTTATAGTAGCATACTAAAGATAATTTTTAATCTTCAAGAGTTTTTCCATTATCGATGGCATTTGGTGCGACAATGATCAAGAAGTACAAAAGTTGTGAACCTTATTTGGTGGTAGAGATGACAGATGACGACATAGAGTTCCTTGTGTTGGCTAGTCATGGAATATGGAAGGCGATGTCCAACCAACAAGTTGTGAATTCTATTAGAAGCATAAAGAATGCCGAGAAATCAGCAAAACACCTCACTAAACAGGCATTCAATGCTGGGACCCTATTATTGTTACTTTGATATTTCTTGTTTAGTTGTAAGATTTCGGTATTTTTTAATGCGAGATTTCTATCATATATCATATGATGATGTCATGCTTATTTATGATATTTTTATTCTCTCCACTTTGTAATTTATTTAACCTCGAAAAAGATAGAAGCTTAAAAAAGATACCAAATAAGCCTGTTTGTTGTCCGATTTAAAACATCTTAATTAATTAAGAATAAATGTTAACTAAACAAAGAGTTTTTGTAATTCCCTATAATGGTTGTTTTCAATTTGCTTTGGAGAGATAATGAAGATGAGGGAATATGGAGGAGAATGAAGGGACATGATGATCAACTTCTACAATCACTGTGCATGCTACAGGAACCATGCTTTCACCATTTATCACCACAACTATTCTCACCCATGGAAACGATTGCCAGAATGAAAACCGTAGTTGTGGTGGTGAAGGAAAAAGTTGGGCTAGATTCATAAAATAAAAATATAGTTCTACACATCATGTAATCCGAATGTGCAACCAAACGCATTGGCTTGGTCTCCCCCCAAGCCAACACAATATTGGCGCAACATTTCTTTTCATCTCTTCTTTGTTTTGGCTTATATAGAGAGAATTGTCGGGTCTTTGGTAGGAGACTCTGGACTGAAGCTTGAGGGTCTTTAGCTAGAACAAAGTTCTTAGCAGTGCGTCCTATATATTTGGAATGAAGCTTTTCGTTTGTGTTTTTGTTTTTGCCCAGATTGCTTTCCGATTAGGGTGATTAGTCCAACTTCATTTGGGTTGGATACTTATCATTAACCGAGAAATTATTGTATATAATAGTAAAATCAATACGAAAAATTGTACACATGTTTTTTTTTCAGAAATCTTGTCGGTACGAGAAAAATTTTATCGATCAAAGGGGCTTACAATCCGTTGATGAAGAGTCCTGAATAATTAAACTAATGAAATTGGTTGAGGTTAGAGTAACAAGAATCTAAACCAATAGGAATTGATTAGTTGGGGTTTGTTCACATGCCAAAGACTTTTGATTCCCTCTCCACCAAAATAATAAAAGACTTTGATTAATCCCAAATATCACAAGAACACCTTTGTGAGCCATAGGTACATAACAATGGCCGTCGTTCAAATATTCTGAGTCTTTAATTATCATATACACGACCGCCATTGGTTTCTTCAGTATGCTTCCTTCCTTCCTATTATTCTAATTCCTAAGAATTAGGGTCAACTGAAGACCCTTCTTTCACAACAGGTCACAGACTCAACAACATATACAGAAAAGTTGGCCTCCTAAATATTCAGACCCAAAAACTAAATTTAAAAAGTTGCCTAAATATCAAGCCTGTGACTACACGTCGTTTTCTGAAGCATCTAATTTGGCCTGCAACTAGGGCTGCCCTACTAATTTATATTGTGACTTGCAGTGCAATAAATAATTATGTGGGCTAGCTATACAGTCTGGTGTCGTATGATTGAGCTTATGTAGCCGGCAATATAGAACTTTCTTTCTTTCTCTAGCGTCACCTGATTCTGAAGAACAAATTAAACAGAGTTTCTTACATGTGAAAACCAATAAATAAGAAAACCAAGCGTGTTGCTCTAATCTATTGAATATTCAACACTTTGACTGTAATTTCAATTTGGAAATATTGTCCAAGATATCATCTATATTTCTAGTAAAATCGTTTGCTCAATATTTTAATTAATTAACCACTTTTTATGTCTTGGGCATCATATGCAAAACTTCAGACTATGACACTTAGTTTGCATAAACAACATCACAGTTGCGATCGAGAGAGTGTCGAAGAATATGAAATCGTACATCAGAAATTTGTTCAAGTAAAATATAACATATAATAAATGGTGGCACTAGTAATAGTATCAAGACTTTTTACATATAAGTTCACATCTGTGGTATATGAGGGTGGTTAAGTTGAGGATAATATCGATATTGTTAGAAATGGGCCGCGAATCCATGCTTATGAAATATTATCAATGAGAAGAGAGAATTGAACTTTCCTTATATGGATATGAAGTAAATGCTCCTCTACTAAAACTATATAATCATATATAATATGAAGATAACATACCAAGAACAAGTGACTTTTCTCCTTGAATACGATGAAATTATGAATTCTTTTTAGTACTTTAATTACCAAAGGTATGATAGTTGTTTATGTAGAGGACCAGACTAAGACTAGTTAAAGTAGATTGTCCAACTTGGAATATTTTTTAGTGTAGCAGCCACATTGACATATGGTATTTTATACATGTGTTATAAAATGGGTGAACAATGTAAGTTGATTGATAACACAACGTGTCAATGTGTGACGGTCACTTCTCCAAGTTGAAACCTAAAAAGAATTCTTTGGATAATTAATTTCCTTTCTTAATTGCATTCCTTGATTAGGCCGACTAATAAGACTCCAAATCCAAATCTAAATGTATTGGTTCCATACTCTTATATATGCACGTGATACTTTAGCTCAATAAAAATAAATAAATAAAGCTGTAAAAAAATCTGGTCAGAGAAAAATGAAAGTTGACACAATCTTGATCTCAACATTTGGATGTACTTAACAAGATTATTACGGGTTTTCACTGAGACAGGCATTGACAAATTGCAAGAGAGAGAAAGAAAAGTGTGTTTAGCACTAATTAGATTATTAAAGAGGTGGTTAAGGTCGTTTCATCAACTCTGGAAGACTGGAACTGGTAGGAGGTTGATGAGCAGACTGTTTTAGTACATTAATATTCTTAGGAAAATGATATGTGTGTAAGTCTAATTTACGTTATCTAGAAAACCTAATCAAGGTGATGTGAATATTCAACTAATTTTCTTAGGTAATAACTTTAGTATCTATATGTGCAAAAAAAAATACATGTAAGAAACTAAAAAAAGCACCAAGAAACCTCGGTATTAATATTTATGTTGTAATAATTACTTTGCGGCTTTCTTGTAAACACATTTTCGGAGTGTCAATAACAGTTCTCTAGATTAAGCACTTGTGGATCATAGCTATACACATAGGACACAGAATAATGTGACAATGGGCCGAACTATTATTAAGTTTCTTAATTATGTTATAGATTCCTTAAATTTTTCCTAATTTTATATGCCCATTTGCCCTTATTATAAAAAGGTCCCTAATTTTATACCAAATCTTCAATCGTCATTTCTACATTTTCATGCATCACATGTATTAATTCTTTTTCCAATTTGTCTCATACGTGCTTCTCCATTTTGCTTAAATTAATCATGTAAGCTAGGAACATTATTGTTGGTTAGCAAAGTGGATGACAACAACTCAAAGCAAGCAGCCATATACCATATGGCTTACATTTGCTAGGGACCCAGAGAGATTAATGCCTTGGTTTTCCAAGTCAATTAACCAAACGAATGAAACATGGACTTGGTCCAAAGTCAAGAGAATAACAAAAGGGATAAGGGCAAACTTAATAATATGATAATCAAGTCCAGCAGCTTTAAGCGTGGATCCAATCTTAAAAACAGTATGTCATGACCCAACAACAGTGAAACGTACCTAATTATATATAATTGATAAACTATGGCCGCCAACATGTAGTTTGAATAATAAGGTTGCTCCACCATATGAACACTTCTGTCCTATCTGTTTTCCAATGGACGAGCAATGATTAGTACCCAAATATAAATTAGTATCAGGTCAAAAAACTTGTACTGAATTCTATGATAAATTAGTGCCAGAATTTATCTAATGAGCATTGCATAGAGGTCTATAAATAGACTATATAGTACTAATTAATGTGAGTGGCTATACTTCTTGTGAGAAATTAAGGGAGGAGGAGCTAGAAGAGCTAGCTGGTGGTAAGAAATAACAAAATGTCTGAAGTAATTGAAGAGATAACCCCCGCCCCAATAACACCGCGCCCGGCGGCCACCATAGAGGATCCTCCGGAGTCTATGTCACGGGCTGCGTCTGTGGCTCGGGTGCCACCTCTCCAGATCCCTGCTCCAACCACAGCTGTCAATGGTGATGGTGGTGGTGGTGGCGGCGGCGGTGGTGGTGACCAGATAACACTAAAAACCCCAAAAGCTTTGACCCCAAAATCTCGTACCCCACGGTTCATGACTCCAATAGGGAGCCCTGTTAGGAGGGCTCTCAAACTCACAAGGCTTGATCCCCAGGATGCTTGGCTTCCAATCACTGAGTCTAGAAATGGCAACGCTTACTATGCTGCCTTCCATACTCTTTGTTCTGGTATTGGAATTCAAGCCCTTATTCTTCCTGTTGCCTTCATCACACTTGGGTGGTAAGTCACCATTAATATGTTATTAATTTAAAAAATCTTGTTAAGTTATTTTTCAGTATCTTTAATTATATTGTGCTTTTTTTTTCTTTTTGTTAATTTGTTTTGGTTACTGCAGGACATGGGGGATTATATGCATGACTTTGGCGTTCATATGGCAACTTTACACTTTATACTTGCTGGTCCAGCTTCATGAATCTGCTGAAACAGGCCTACGATATTGCAGATACATTCAACTTTGCAATGCAAGTTTTGGTAAGACTTACCATTTTTCATATGTTTAAGCTAAAATACCCAAAAGCCCTGTTTGGAAGTGATTATGCAAAAACGCTTTTACTTACCTCGCAGTGTTTTTTTCAAAAAGTTTCCAAACTAGAAATTCTTCTCCAGAAAGTGCTTGTGTAATTTCCAAAAACACTTTTGTCTATTTATGTCAAACGCATCTCAAAAGGTTTTTAATATTTTCCGAAACACTTCCAAACATGCATTTAACTAAAAAAATGGATGAAATAGGAGACAATTTGGAAGCAATTTCTACTAAACCATGCAATCTTTTTCTTTAATTTGCTTAGGTGAGAAGCTAGCACAGTTCTTAGCCTTGTTCCCAATCCTGTACCTATCGGGCGGCACGTGTGTAGCTCTGATCGTCCTTGGAGGGTCAACAGCAAAGATGTTCTTCGAAATTGTGTGTGGACATACATGCACTGTAAAGTCATTAACACCAGCAGAGTGGTACTTGGTGTTTACAGTCGTAGCTTCGATTCTTTCTCAGCTGCCCAACTTGAACTCCATTGCTGGAGTGTCTCTTGTTGGTGCTATTTCTGCTATTGGCTACTCCACATTGATCTGGGTTGTGTCTCTGGACAAGGGCAAGCTTCCCGATGTGTCTTATGACCCCGTGAAAGCCGACAAACAATACATTTATTTTTTTGATGTTCTTAATGCCCTTGGAATGATTGCCTTTGCCTTCAGAGGCCACAACCTTATACTTGAGATCCAGGTATGTTCATTAATCTCACAATTTCAATTGTATAGTTGTTCAATTAATTAACAAACCATTTCTCTTCCTTAATAACAGAAAAATTATTTTAGAACCCCGACTCTGTTTTTTTAAATGAGAAACAGGATTTGTCGATGATAATTTGGTCTAGTGGCACATAGTTCCGAGTTCAAATTGAATAAAAGTTATATATAAAAAAATTGAGAGAGTGAAGACAAAATATTGAAGTTCATAGCATCTTATTCCCTTGATTCAATTTATTAGAAAATTAGCATATATTGGCCCTAATGTCAAACAAGTGGATATTTTTAAATTCTAGTCCAAATTTTGTTAATTAGTGTTACCCATGTGAACGAATTATTTTAATTGTGGTGCCTACAAATTAGGTCTTCGTCTGCATGACAGATGAAACTTCAACTTGTGGGCCAAATTATTAAAAAATAAAAATAAAATAGTTGTCTTTACTGATGATCATATATGATATGTTGACTTTGACCAAATGATGTTGAAGCTGCAACTACAATAGAAAGCAACTTCAATACAAAGCTTTTTGACTAATTTTGTATATTTTCCACTAATTGAGGTTTTCCCTTAATTACAGGCCACAATGCCGTCCAGTGAAAAACATCCATCACGCGTGCCTATGTGGAGGGGTGTCCAAATTTCCTACACACTCATAGCAATGTGCATTTTCCCTCTTGCAATTGTAGGCTATTGGGCATACGGTCAAAAGGTATACCATATCCTAAACCAATGTTATATTGTCATATTATTAATTCGAATTATTATTTAAATGTTTGAAATTAACATTTTGATAATATATTATATATCAGATATCTGATAAAAGAATATTTAACTGTGACAACACTAATATGTTTTCTCATTGACAGATACCAGCACAGGGAGGAATGTTTGCGGCCTTGTTCGGCTTCCATGCCCTTGACACGTCCCAATTCATCTTAGGGCTAGCAAGTTTGTTTGTTATAGTCAATGCATTGAGCTCCTTCCAAATCTATGGCATGCCGATGTTCGACGAGATGGAAGCACAATACACCAGGAGGTTCAAGAAGCCAGCTCCATGGTGGCTGAGGGCCATTGTGAGATGCATGTTTACTTATGGATGCTACTTCATGGCTGTGGCCATCCCCTTCCTGGGAAGCGTGGCTGGTTTGCTAGGAGGGATTTCATTGCCTGTGACATTGGCCTATCCATGTTTCATGTGGATCAAGATGAAGAAGCCTAAGAAGTACGGCATAAGTTGGGGGGTTAACTGGGTGCTTGGGGTTGTGGGGATGATTTTAAGTGTTATGTTGACTGCGGCTGGTCTTTATGTTGTGATTGATACTGGTATTAAGGTGAGCTTCTTCAAGCCTCAGTAATTGAAAATCAATGTCAAATAGATGATATATTTGTTGCGTCCAGAATTGTAAACTCTAGCTTGCTGCCCTAGCTAGCCATATGTAGTTTTGTTTTGGGCTTTTGATGTTTAAAGAAAGTGATTGAAATTTGTAGTGAAATGTTTCCACATAGTCAAGGAGAATGCACGACATCTATGTCTCAAAAATCTAATTGCAGCTTCTTAATCCACCCAACAATTTGGTATGTGAAATAATCTGATTGGGCAATCTCCATATTATCCACTTCATTCTCCTCCTGGGCCTACATAAGGTTATAAAATCTGAACAAAGAATGAACGTTGGATTTTCTTAAAGAGAGGGCCCAAGGCCTAGCAGGCAAAACAAACAAGAATAGCCAGGGACAAAGCTCAATAGATGAAAAGGTTATTGACTAGAACACGTAATACAAATCCGCCTTGGAGCTAAAACCGTATACTTAACCATTAATAGCAATAACATTTCTCAATGGTAGGCTGCGTGGGGAAATAACTATATGCTTGTCACTAGCATTTGCATGGCAGCTCTACACCGTATGGCTTGGCTACTCGTACAATTATGAATCTGATAACTCTAGGACTCCTTAAAGCAAAGAAAACTTAAGAGTTTCTGTTCGCACGATTTTATCTCCACACGAATATCATAATTTGAAAAGCACAATATTTACTAGGTTAAAGTATTTTACAACATCTTAAAGAGGAGTATAATTTTCATAATAGGCTTTGTTATTTCGGTGTAGAGATCAAATTGTATGTGTTAGTATGAAATTTGTATTGTCATTTCCTAGACTCTAGCATAGGTAGAAAATTAGTGTGTGAAGAATTGTTACTAGACGTTTTGGCACAACTCATTCAACCCTATACTTCCGAGGCATGCCCTGACCATATGAGAATCTTGACCTCAGGTAAATCATGACATAATCATGCATTCATTATAAGATTCCTAGTTGGAGTTATTTTCACTCAAGTATTTTATGTTAATCTTATTTTTAATAAGATTAGATTTTATCTCTTGAGATTACTTTCCTAGTTCAACTCTATTTTAATTGAAGTTAAAATATTATCTTTTCCTATTGTGACTTTGCACGTTGCTTACCTCTTAGTTAATTTGGTTTAAAGAGTGGCGTCATTACTTTGAGTCCAAGGTGAATCAAATCTCTTATTGATGATAGGTTGTGGTGCAACAGGAATATTAATATTCGTGGCCTATTGTGCTTCTCTCCAATTAGAGAGAACAAGTCTTGTATAAAAGATCATGTGCCATTCTTTTATGATGTACAGCTTTGAGATATTTGTTTTGAGCATGTAGAATTCTAAGAAAAGCTGTTGTGCATATATTTGAGATAAATCATCAAGTGTTCAATGTTTACTTGGTGATTTATCAAACACTTTAATCATTCGTATTGCATTCATATGCATGTCGGTGACTCATACGGTTGAGGGCACCAAGACTGTGGTGGCGGTTTTCCTCCGGTGAGCTTGAAGCAATTGTGGCCAGTATTGCGTTCAACATAAGGAGTGTCGAAGATCATCCCGTGACAGAAGTTGAGTTACGAAGAAGTCGGTAAACATTATCTAGAATGTGTCTAGGATAAGTGTGTGAGTACTTCTTGTAATCATCGTTCTATAGTGGATTTGTGTTGGACTGAGGAGTCCCGTGGATTTTCCCCAGAGGTGGGGTTTTACCACGTAAAATAATTCTCTGTGTGTTCTTTTATTTTATGCCCAGCACGTTACAGGATTGATAAGCCATATCAATCCTGCTACCGAAGTTTATTTTTATTTATTTGATTAGAATATTAAATTGGCCTATTCACCCTCCTCTATGCATTTTGAGTCATCCTGCAGGTATTTTCAATATGGGTGTGAATAAAAAGCACACTAAGCTAATTGACAAATAATGAGTGTGATCCATTGACTGGTACAGAGTGCTTTTTGTGGCCCAATTTTCCCAACTTGAACTCCATAGTTAGGAGGTTATCCTTGATTGGTAATATCAAAGCAATTGTGCATTATATTATAAAATTTGAGTCTAGCAATGCTTTTTCGGCTTTAATTGCTCAAGGAGATTATGTGTCATATGCTTGCTAGATTATGTATCAATTTCTCAAGGGCTTCAACTTAAAGTTTTATAAGTGGCATCTAGATTTTTGGTAGGATCATGGTGGACCAACATGGCAACATATATTATTAACATGTTTGATTCTGATGCTACTAATTTAGGATGATAACGTTTGGGTTTAAAAGTTGATGTGCTCAATCATACTCTTTGAAAGAAGGGCATATTGAGCAGAAGAGTCCAGCTGGTCACCAGTCCTCTCCTATTGATGGATTCTTCAAATAATTTATTTGAGGGGCACCTTTTAGGGTCCCGTACGAATTTTTTTCAATGATCAAAACCATCTTTTTTTAAGTCTACATTCATAAATCATTCATACAAATAAATTAGATAAATTGGAAACCGTTTCGATATCCAATTGTGTCCTAAAAAAATCAATGAACACGATTCTTTAAGAAAGTACTATCATTTCAATAATTAAATTGAGTAGTCAAATGATATCAAATTCAAATGATTTTTTGTAGAGACGATCTTTGAATGAGTATCTACAAAATAGATGGTTTGGATTAGTGAAATACGATATGGAGTGGGCCCTACAAGGTGTTCATCATATAAGCTTATTTAAGGGATCACTCAATAGAAGCTATAGATTGGAAATTCCAATACTAATAGTCACATAAATGCATCATACCCTAGAACAACAACATGATCATCTTGTTGCGTTGTAAGATTAATTTAAAAGTTTTTAGACTATCACTTGTATGAACAAAAAATAATTCAATGATTTTAGGTTTTGTGTGTAGCAATTTAACTGATGTCCTTTTCCTTAGGCCACATTGTATACAACTCACTATATGTACACTTACGTGGATTCAAATGTGTTTTCACATCAGCAGCTGCAATATTTAGAAAATTATCAAGTTTTAATTGAATCTCAGTCTGAATATATGATCATCCGCAATTAAGAGAAACTAGAAAGCTTAGTCATTAGATTAGATAGAAAAAAGGCAGAAATGAATTATAATATCTAATATAGTTTACTTGCACGTTATAAACAAGGTTCCGGTGAATTCAACTTGGAATAATTCCACTATTGGGCTGGCCCGACTTCCGAGCAAAGCCAATAAGTGATGAAGATTATCACCATATTAACAATGTGATTTAATCTAAACTTGAGTTTTTCTTATCTTTCTTTTTATATAATACTAAATCGTGGACGGTGGAATGACTAGAAGAATTACATCACTAGGAAATTTCCTTGCATTAGGATGCTTTATTTCTTGGTTTGAATGCACGAAAGCTCTTGCTCAAATCTCCTTCACTTTACTTTTTTATCTTTTAATCTCTATTGATCGTTTGTGGTTTTTTTTATCTTCAAAGCAAAAGTTTGTACGTAAAGCTAGTATGAATGCTTGAATTTCCAGGCTAAACTTTGCCACTCCCATGCGCCCTTTCCTTTATTCAGTGTATGAATGCTTGAATTTCCTTGCCTAATTGGACCCTCGGGTGCAACTTAATTAAATCCTCAGGTCCATCATCTATAATATCAGATTATCTTTCTTCTTCACGTTTTCATCTCAGGTATCAGATTGCTTTAATTTTAGCTCCTGGTGCATTCAGAGAAACAGATATGGACTCCATTGAGTTCTTTCAAGTTTTCATCATAATCATCATACTCATCATGACTCTGTTCTACATCTACTTCAGATCATTAACATCTACTTCTTCTTCTTCCACTTCTTCTGTTGCTGCTGTTGATACTGATATCCTCCCTCTTCAAGAAAAGTATGATGTGTTTTATTAGCTTCAGAGGTGAGGACACCCGCCTTACTTTTACCAGCCATCTTTATGATGCTTTATGTAGGCAGAAAATCGAAACCTACATAGATTACAGGCTTGTGAGAGGAGATGAAATTGCGCCTGCACTCCTCGAAGCAATCGAGAGATCTACGATTTCAGTAATCATTTTCTCAAAAAATTATTCTTCTTCCATTTGGTGTCTGGATGAACTTGTGCATATTCTAGACTGCAAAGAAAAAAAAGGCCAGCTGGTTGTACCCATTTTTTACGACATCAGTCCATCAGATGTACGAAAACAAAAGGGTAATTATGCGCTTGCATTTCGTCAACTTGAAAAACGCTTCAAGGACAATATCGACAAGGTGCACAAGTGGAGGGATGCTTTGACAAAAGCAGCCAATCTATCTGGGTTTGATGCTTCAGAAAAAACAGAGTAACTAAGTCTTTAACTTATATTTTTGATTACTTCTTGTGTGACTATTTCATTTCACAGACATACATACTAACTGTTTGTTTGTCCGTGATCATATATGCTAGGTCTGAGGCTGCTTTAGTTAAGAAAGTTGTCGAAGATATTTGGACAAAATTGATTCATGAATCATCATGTGATTTAAAGGGCCTGGTTGGAATCAAAAGCCGCATCCAGCAAATCGAATCGTTATTATGCTTGGATTCACCAGGTGTTTGCTGTGTAGGTATTTGGGGCATGGGTGGTATTGGCAAGACCACCCTTGCTGATGCTGTATTTCACAGGCACTCCTCTAAATTTGAAGTTTGTTGTTTTCTTGCAAATGTCAGGGAGAAATCAGAAAAAACGGATGGACTAAATGACTTGCGAAATACACTTGTTCGTGAATTATTAAAGGATAAAGATGTAAATATCAACACTCCGTCTATACCCCCTCATATTCAAGATAGGCTCAGGCGTACAAAGGCGCTCATTGTTCTTGATGATGTGAATGCTCGAAAACAAATAGAAGTTCTTGTTGGTGATCATGATCGGTTTTGCCAAGGAAGTCGAATCATGGTAACTGCTAGAGATAAAGGCCTACTTGAGCAAAAAGTTGACCATGAAAAGATATATAATGTTGAGGGATTAAGTTTTGATGAAGCTCTTGAGCTCTTTCATTCGCATGCTTTTGGAAATAAGTCTCCAACAACAGATTACACTGAGTTGTCAAGAGAGGTGGTGGATTATGTTAAGGGCAATCCATTAGCTCTTAAAGTTATGGGGTCCTCATTCCGTCGTTGCAAGAGCAAACAAGAGAGGGAAGTTCAATGGAAAAAAGTGAAACAATTTCCAAACGAAGAAATCAATCAGTGTTGAGAATAAGTTACGATGGATTAGGAAAACATGAGAAGGAGATATTTCTTGACATAGTATGTTTACATAAAGGCCGTTGGAGGAATTATGTAGAAGCATCGTTAGATAGTAGTGGTTTTATTGGGGAAGAGGGAATCAATGATCTTATTGATAGTTCTCTTATATCAATTTCAATAGTAGATCAACGGATAGTTATACATGATTTGGTGCAAGAAATGGGTAGGGCAATTGCTCGAGAACAAGGCAGCAGGTTAGTCATTGCAAACGATGTCTATCAAGTTTTGACAAATAACCAGGTAGTTTAATTATTCACATTTTCAATAAACAAGTCAGATTATTCCGAAAAATGTAATTTGGATTAAACTTTTTTTGTATATTATATTTACATTTATATTTTGCTCTTGATTGTCAGAGCGATGGACATGTTCAAGCCATATCCATTGACTGGCTTGAGATGGAAAAGCTACACTTGAGAGATGCAAACTTTGAAAAGATGCATCAACTGAGATGGCTACGTGTCGATTATCTTACATTCCCTGGAATTGGTTCAACTCCATTAATTGGTTCTCCTGGTCTTCCCAATTCTCTTAGATGTCTTGAATGGTTCCAATATCCTTTGAAATCTTTGCCATCAAAATTTTCTGCTCAAAATCTTGTTGTCCTTGAAATGCCATACAGCCAAGTTGTGGGGCAACTTTGGAATGAAGACCAGGTATATTATATATGTTTATTTAGTTCTTGTATAACATGTGGCCTAGAAAGTAATAATCTGCGAGCTAAGTTATTAATTCTTGTTTAATTTGTTACAGAGTCCTGTGAACTTAAAATGGATCAATCTTAGTGAATGCAGATATCGAACTGAAGTCCCAAATCTCTCTCGGAGTCTAAAAATTGAGCATATAAATCTTTCTGGCTGTCAAAGTTTGGTTGAAATTCCTTCGTATTTTCAACATCTTGGCAAGCTTACTTATCTTGGCCTTGGGGGCTGCACATTTCTCAAAAATCTTCCCGAGATGCCATGCAATCTTGAAGTCTTACTTTTATCTGACACAGCAATAGAGGAATTGCCATCATCAATTTGGTCTCACGAAAAAATATATCTATTAGATATTACACATTGTAGAGACCTTAAGAGTCTTCCCAGCAACACTTGTAAGTTGAAAATCTTGGGTTCTTTTAGTCTAGACGGTTGCCATTCTCTTTGCGAGTTTTGGGAGCTTCCCAAGAATACAACTGCAATTAAACTGTCCAAAAGCCTTGTGAGTCTCCCAACGAACATTTGTAAGTTGAAATCTCTAGAGAGGCTTGATCTCTTTAATTGCTATAACTTTCAACACTTCCCAGAAATATCGGAGCCTATGGAACATCTGGAGCTTCTAAATTTATCAGGTACAACGATTAAAGAGGTATCGCCATCAATTGGAAATCTAGTTGCGCTTCGACAATTAGATCTTAGTGATTGTAACAACCTTGAGGTTGTCCCTGATGACATCTTTCGCTTAACCTCATTACAAGAGTTAAATTTGAGTTTGACAAAAATTAAGAGCATGCCTGCAAGCATCAAACAAGCTGCTCAGCTGTCTCGCCTGGTCCTCAACTATTGCGAGGGCCTTGTATCTTTACCAGAGCTCCCCCCATTGCTGCAATGTCTTGAAGCACATGGTTGCACATCATTGAAGACAGTGTCAAGTTCAAGCACTGCACTCACACAAGGTTGGGAAGAATATATGTTTTCTCGAGTGCTTCATGAGAAATGTATATTTTCTGATTGCCCAAGGTTGGATCAGAATGCACGAAGCAATATAATGGCTGATGCCCAACTTAGAATTATGCGAATGGCAACTGTGGGAGCAAATAATATATTTGCACAAACAGCAACTGCGTCGTCAAAGTTAAAAAAAGAAAGAAACAAGCATATGTCTATGATGATTTTGATAAGGTCTCTCTCTCTCTCTCTCTCTCTCTCTCTCTCACGCACTCATTGTGTCTGTCTAACTCACTTTTGTTGAAGAAGTTGCTCTTTTTTTTTTCTTCACGAGTATAATAACTATGATATCCATGTTACAAGAGTCTTTTGTTGCCATTAGATGTTCAGGGAGTGAAATTCCAAATTGGTTCAGCCATAAAAGTGAGGGATGTTCAATAAAGATTGAGCTTCCTCGTGATTGGTTTAGCACAGATTTCTTGGGTTTGGCTCTATCTCTTGTTGTTGACTTTGCTCCATGGGATATGGAGATTGGATGCAAGTACACCTTCAAAACTAGTAATGGTGAAAGCCATGAAGTCAACCATCCTTTGTGCAATCTGCGCAGGGATACTATGGGGTTTGAAAGCATAGATTCGTATGAGGTGTTTGTGTTGTGGTATAATAATATCTTTGAAGAAGTTGTAGAGGGAGCTCAAAGCCCCACTGCGTTTTACAAACTTGTTACTGAGGTCAATGTTGACTTCACCGTACTGACTAATGACCTCAAACTCTATTTGAAGGGGGTGGAGGTGAATGGGGAGGAGGTGAAGGTGGAAAAGTGTGGGATATGTCTGTTGTATGGCAAAGATGTTGAGATGATAAAGCATAGGGCTTTTTAAATTCAAAGGGTTATCTTTTGATTTGAGCTGTTTGTTTTGCAAGCCTTGTAGCTCAGGATGCTTTGAAAAGCACACGTATATCATAATTTGAAAAGCACAACATTTGCTAGGTTAAAGTATTTTACAACATCCTAAAGAGGAGTATAATTTTCATAATAGGCTTTGCTATTTCCATGTAGAGATCAAATTGTATGGGTGTAAATAAAAAGCCCACTAAGCTAATTGACAAGTAATGGGTGTGATCCATTGACTGGTACAGAGTGCTTATTGTGGCCTAATTTCCCAACTTGAACTCCATGGCTAGGAGGATCTCCTTGATTGGTAACATCAAAGCAATTGTTAGGATTAGATATGTCTTTCTTGTTTTAACCCTTCGCCCTCTCCATCGCCAAGCTTTTTGGCTGAGGATGCTGTTTAGTTTGTCACGCCCCATGTAATATTCTTCATTGAATTCAAGTATTAAATTTTACATCAACTGGATTTCTTCTTCAAGTTGGAATGGCTTCATTCTTAATCATAAGCACAGGGCTTTGTCGATAAGCGGTTATGAATGTTTATCCTTAAATTCAATTTATTTTTATTTATTTATTATTTTATGGTTTTGAGGTGTTTGCAAGAAGGTGCTTTTGAGTTGCAAGATAAGTTCATGTCATCCTCACCCTCCTTTTCTCGCTATAATGACTTTGGTTTTTTTAAAATAGAAAGTGGCAAAAATTAAAGCGTGCCCAGTGGACGTGAGAAGAGCTGTCATACGCCGTCGTTTCGGAGTCAAACTCTCTCCTTTTGGGTTTTGGATTTTACAGAGAGAAGCAATTGGGACAAAGGATGTGGATCCCAATGATGACACGTTATTTCTTCCCCATCCATGTTTGGACCCGACCAGACCCATAAACAAGGTACCTGTGAATCCTCCCTACTTGGAGCAATTCCCCTAATGAGCAATTCCCTCCCGTGTACCAAAAGAATTTGAAAAGGCAATTACGAATAAATGTGTTTGTTTTTTCTTTTAATACAAAGACATTTCTTGATTCCCATTTGATATTTTATTATCATGCGGATATTCAATATAGATTATTTTTCCTTTCTTTTTTCTTTCTCTAAGTCCCTTTCTTTTCGATAACACTTAATGACTAATGAACATCATCATCATATTAAATAAAGTTAAATGAATGTAAGTTAATCTACATAATACATAAATCTAAAGAATTAAATTCATAATCCGGGAAATTAGCGGGTTTAACCGCACGATAAAAATTCATGTTATTTTTGGGTTAGTCCTCCAAAATACATATGTAACCCATTTATTAAACGGGTCGTGTCCAGAAAACTTGAAATTTCTACCCCCAAACTCAGAAATTTTATCTACACGCTAGCGTATCATAATTTGAAAAGTACAACAATTACTAGCTCAATGTATTTTAGAACGTCTTAAAGAGGAGTATAATTGTCATAATAGTTTATGTTATTCGAGTGTAGAGGTCAAACTTTATGGATGTGAAATAGAAGCCCACTAAGCTAATGGATGGATAAATAGGATGGAGCGAATTGTGATCCATTGCTGGTACACAGTGCTTTGTTGTGCCCAATTTTTCAACTTGAACTCCATAGCTACGCCTAGGATCTCCTTTTGATTGGTAACATCAAAGCAATATTGTGTATAATTTCTCAAGGGCTCAACTCAAAAGTGTTAAAAGTGACATCTAGATTTTGGTAGGATCATGTTGTAGAACAAAATGGCAACATATATTGACATTTGTGATTTGATGCTAC